CTACTCACTGGGTCGATCGACACTGTTCAACTGTAAACTGGTTGATTAGAACGCACTCTACTTTCCTGGGCGCAACCTTATCAACACTTACAACTGTGTGAGTTTCACATTGCCTATTATCAATTATACTGTTCTCACTTACACGCTATTGACTTACCTTGACCCCTTAGTGTTATCTATTGCTCCACTTTTAACCGTGATACTCTTTAAATCTCCTGCTTAGTTAGTTAAGTACATCTCCTCCACTACATTCTAAATGCTTATATCTTCCTTGAAAATCCGCACTATTTCTCCATAACTGTTAACTGTATTGCATTGATGCCTAACCAATAGTTCATAAGTTGTAACAGCCGGACAAGTTTGTGAAAGGAACTTGCAGAAATAGTGTTTCTCAACAGGATGTGAGACATAGAGCACCAAGTAGAACACAAAATAGTTTCTTTTAAACATTTCACAAGAGCCTAACAACACAAAAGGAGGGAGGGTGGAGTTACTGACCAGCAAACATTGATGGTGTGGGCGATGACTTCAAACCACCCATGTTTGTGGGGCAGAACATTTTGTTTGCTTTCGGCTCTTTAGACTGATGAGGCGACTCATAAGTAACAATTAGGTTGCTCTTATTCACTTGCTACTTCTGAGGTTCATGTATCCAAAATTGTGCTGAGGTCGCTATTCTGTCGAGACACCCGCAACATTCTTACTCAGGCGCTTACAGTATGACATTCGATAATAATATTAATAATAATAATAATAAACAGTTAGACAGTGAGAACGTTTAATCATCAAAGTTTTATTTTTATAATCTGTACTCTTTTAACTGAAATTTCGATTTCAACGTACATAAGTCCAGCTTTTTTTCAACTTCTTTTCTTTCCACTTGACACTCGAAGACTCTTCCTTTTTTTGCTGCACTCCTCCATATGTGGGTTATATTCTTTTATTCCCATAATTTACTTTAAGTTTAGTGGTCAGTGTGAATTCTATCTTGACTTACCACTGTATCGACTACTTCAACATGACAGGCTAAATAGTGTTATATATATACATTTGCTACACTGCTACCTTTTTCTCTCTCTTTTCTCCTTTCTCAGAACCCTATTCACAGTGCGAAATCCTTGGCGACTCGGATGATGAATTAGATAAATCGTAAACCTTGTAGCTCAGGTGGATGATTGTGGTGGTGTTTTGTTCTCTGAGCTGGTTGTTTTGGTTGTGGAGCTTTCATTGTTCTTCTGAACAACATCATCAGCACGAACTTCAGATAGAAGTGAAGCATTAGAATTTCTCCACGTTTGGCCTGTAGCTTGTTCTGCTGACCTCGATCTTGATTGGTTGTTGTTGACATTTGACCTGTCGTTGTTTGCAACTATGTTTTGATTGCCTCCCTCTTTTGATCTGTTTCTTGATCTAGTGTCACCTATGATTTTCCTGATTGGTTGATAAATTGGGTCATAGTTCCAGCGGACAAAGTACGCACAACAGTAATCATGGACAAGGAGGAATATGTCAAGAAAGCCGAGGAGCTACTTCAGGACAAAAGCGTATATAAACCAGTCGACACAAACCCCATAAAAAAGTTGGACAATCAAATCTCAAGGACTCTAAATAGGCTTGTCAAAACAGGACAAATATCAAAACAAGATCAATGGAGAATGAAATCCAATGGACCAACAATTCCACGATTCTACGGTAGGCCAAAACTCCACAAACCTAACATCCCACTACGTCCTATTGTATCCCTCCCCGGAACCCCGACCTACAACTTATCAAGAGAGATCTCAAGGATATTAAAACATCTGGTGGATGAATCCAACTACTCCATTAAGTCGGCCACAGAATTTTTGGATAAACTCAAGAGGATTCAAATTGACAACGACGAAACAATGATATCCTTCGACGTAACAGCCTTATTTACCTCAATAGAACCAAGCTTAGCCAAAGAAACTCTTTCTCTGCTCCTCACCAACGACACAAATCTACACAAATATACAAAACTTCAGAGTCAAAGTTTGCTTGAACTCATCGACCTATGCTTAACAACATATCTTCAGTTCAACAACAGAGTCTACGAACAAATAAAAGGAACACCAATGGGATCACCAATATCAGGACTCATCGCCGAAGCGGTAATGCAGAGACTGGAAGCGTCGATTCTGCCAGTGATCAAGCCAAAAATGTGGGTTCGCTATGTAGACGACACATTCGTTATTATCAAAAGGAATGAGCTGGAGAACATCTACAATCAGATCAACAACGTCTTTGAGGACATCAAATTCACGATGGAAAAGGAATCAAACAACAGCCTATCATTCCTGGATGTACTAATCACCAGAACTAACACAGGAAAACTAGAAACTCAAGTATTTCGGAAGCCAACCCACACCGACGTAATTCTCAACTACGATAGCAACAACCCAAGAACCCACAAAATCAACTGCATACAAACTCTGTTTACGAGAGCGAAGACACAATGCAGCACATACGAAACATTAAAAAACGAGGAAAAACATCTGAGGACTATCTTCCAAAAGAACGGCTATCCACGCAACTTCATCAAAAAACATCAACCAAAACTATCATCAGGAGTGAAATCAAGCACAGGAACAAATAAACGCATCATCCGACCATACATGATACAGGTGTGGCATATAAACCAGCTGAATCACTTCAGTCAATCCTATGTAGACCAAAGGACAAAATGACAAAGGAAGAAAAACCAAATATCATCTACAAAATAAATTGCTCAAATTGTGAAAAACACTACATAGGACAAAGTGGACGACCTCTTCAGCTCCGTTTACGTGAACATCAATTAGCAGTCAAACGCCACGACAAGGCTTCGCTTATATCAATACACACCGACAATTATGGACACACATTTGATTGGAACAACGTGGAAATACTAGGTAGGGGGAGGACAAAGAACACTAGAGAATTTTTAGAAGCTTGGCACTCAGGTCAATTAGCAATCAACAAACACATCGACATTGACCCAATTTATCAACCAATCAGGAAAATCATAGGTGACACTAGATCAAGAAACAGATCAAAAGAGGGAGGCAATCAAAACATAGTTGCAAACAACGACAGGTCAAATGTCAACAACAACCAATCAAGATCGAGGTCAGCAGAACAAGCTACAGGCCAAACGTGGAGAAATTCTAATGCTTCACTTCTATCTGAAGTTCGTGCTGATGATGTTGTTCAGAAGAACAATGAAAGCTCCACAACCAAAACAACCAGCTCAGAGAACAAAACACCACCACAAAATCGTAAACCATCGAAGAAATAGCTTAAGAATATTAGAGCTTGAGTTATTTTGTAACATCCACAAGACTTAAAAACAGCCAATTTGTTTTCGATGTCTTAATTTTGATGGATTCCGAACTATTCCACATAGAAACTATTCGTATTCATCATTCTTTGTTTCGTCTCATTTATGTAAATATTTTCTAGGACTTAGGTATATCTTTTACAACTTCTAAGCCCTAGACTTTGGCTGAAATCAAGCCGAATAATTGGAAATAAAATTTACAGTTCGATGTATCGCCAGAAATAATTAGTCTAATCAAGTGATCAAAGTGCTGTGTATCACCAGGTAAAATAAAATTCATAGACTGGGCACTTAGTGCAATACTACTGTCAGATAGAGAAATGCTTTTGCCAAACAAAGAACAATATCTTATACTAACAATGGAAGTTAGCAAAAAGTGTAAATAAGAAAAGAAACAAAGAAATACGTAACACAGGAAACGTACATTTAAGGGGCTTATCATACAAAATGTCTTCTGTACTATTATTGCTAGTAGTAGTTATAATCGCGTAAGAACAATTTTTAGGTCTTTGGAGTATGTAGAAATAGGTGCTCGTTTTCGTGGAAACGCATTCACGAGTAACTCAGGTGGCGATAGATAATGGATCAATTCTCGATTCACTAATCAATGTTATGGGATGCCATCTATGGTAATGAAGGCGATTGTCTGTTAAAACTGTCAACTTAATGAAAAAAAATCGCCAAGCGGTTGCATGTTTGTGTTTGACATTATGTACTGTGGTTCGCACATTAGGGCCGGTTTAGAAAATAATTTGCTATAACTTACGAGAGATCTGCAAGAGACGGATCTCAGAGTTTCGCGTACAAAACGCAAAATGTATACCTGATAGGTGCACTAGATTCAAAGTTGTCACCCACTTCTAGGGGCATCAAATCTCGACTTGACTCATAACAGCGAAAATCTCCGATATATTTACCAACTATCTGTTTCTAAGGAATGAAGTGCCCTCATTTCATATTGTTAAATCTAACCAAGTACTTATGCCTCGTGAAGTCCAGTAGCAAGTGTTTTGGTTAATATTAACTTGTTCCTTTTGGTCCACTGATGGTGACTTATGGAAAACAGCCAGGTTGTTTTCTGAGGACGTGTAATATCTCTCGGAATTTACTACGTGGTATATTACTATCATAGGATCTGCTTACAAGTGAAATTTATCAGACATATGAGAATGATTTCCAATCACCTGCGTTTTCAAATCTAATCTAAACTATATTTGCTGTAGAGCAAGACTCTGTAAAAAGGCTTGTGCTTATGGACGTATTAGGTCATTATTTCAATATAAGACGGTCGTAGATGGATCTAAGTTATACAGTCAATCTCATTGCAGTAGCTATCACGTAGAATGTTTCATACATATTCTGGTAATATTTATTCAGTAATTGGTAATGTCCAAAATCAGATTCTTCCTATGAAATGTCTTTACAGTTTACTAAAATGTTTGTGTCGGCATGCGTCAGTCGTCACGTAGATCGACCACTCATTGTCATTCTGCATCACTACTGATAACTAAGGTTCTTACATTTACCGTTTGTTTGAATAAAAACATTATAATTTGAAGTTAAAAAAGTGAAAATCCAGTATAATACTCCCCTTCGTTTTGCTGGGTTGCGGTGTTTATCTGGATGTTCGCATTGGATGCCGACGATTTTGAACTGAGAAAATATGGATAATTCGTTTGCGATGGAAGGTCCACTTAGTAAATGGACTAACCTCGTCAATGGTTGGCAATATCGTTGGTTTGTGCTTGACATAAGCCTAGGGGTTTTGTCTTATTATACGGTCAGTCCTCTAAATTTCGCGGTTCCATTTTTTAATGACCTAGTTTCAAGTTTTCTCAAAAAGTGATTGACTTTATATCTGAAGAAATAGTTTAGCGTGCATATTACTCATATAATGGAATCGTTTATACAGATTTTGTAATCTACTATTAGCTTTGTATTGGTACTGGTTAAAAATACGTTTATTTCTTCTGATAAATGTTTCCCTTGTTCAAAATTCTGACATTTTTCTGTGCTCAAGTACTGCGGATGGTGACTGGTTGTACTCGTAAATATACTCCGAAACTTAGTTTTACTTACAAAATAACAGGTTGCAATCTGTCTTCGAAAGTGATTGTTCCGGGTGGTGTTTGTAAGGGATGTCCATTTTCTCCATTCCTGATCCACTTTGCCATTACATGCTGTTAGAGATGATCTTTCATCGTCTTACTTTTCAGGAGTTGACCTACCAACATACTTGTCGACTAAAAATCAGTGGATGATATAATGTTGAGGAAATGTAGTCTGCCGAGCATCTTGAGCATCAATACAAAAATGTTGGGGATGCGATTCTCTCCGTTGAAATGCAAATATTGCTTCATGATTGGCTTGCAGCTGCACATAAACTAGGGTTTGGAAGTGAAGCAGTGGAGAGGGTTGCGGCCCCGCTAATCTTGGGAGTCTCATCAGTGCTGATGGCCTTGTGTGTGGCGAAATCTCATCATGGATATAGAAGGCTCGATTGGATTTTGCCAATTGGCGTCACTCATGGCGTATGCGAGATATCGGTTTGCTAACCAAAGGACGAGTCTACTGCGCGGTAGTTCTCTCTGTTCTACTATATGGATGCAGAACATGGCCGGAAAGAGTGGAAGATAATTGGAGGTTGCTGGTCCATGAAGTCACTGACAAGTGGACCGAGTCATGTCGGTAGGTGTCGACTACCTGGTTGGGATCCGCGAGATGATAGTAATCGATGGTCAGGGACCTTGAACGACCGCATATAATTGTTTGCAATGGCGCAAGTGCATCTGTTCTTTTTCTCCTCTCAAATTTTGTTCCTCTGGATCCTTCATCACTTTTATCTCTCTCTATTTAAGTTTATTTCACTGGTTAGTACTTCTTGAATAATATCTTCGAACTCTAATATCTCAAATTACTACTCATACTTCTACCTCAACTACTATGAGATTTGAACTGGCAATTCCATCTCCCTGTGCTAATGTGGTATGGCAACTTGAACTAAGGTATGTTTGTACGAGGTTCTACGTCGTAACTGACTTGCCGACGGTTGGCTGTCGTTGCTCCCTTTTCTGTCGATATTGCTTTCGCTACCCACCATTGTTTGCAGTCCTTCAGTAGGCTTCTTATCAGCCTACGCCCAAGCTGATTTCGCTCTTCATCATGTTCAGAGTCAGGTGGGATGAGTTTCGAACATCCATCAGTTTGGTGGATGCTACTGAGATCCACGGCTTCACCCTAGTCTTATGGTTTACCTTACTAGTGGATATCACTGCTGTTTCCACAGCTTTTTGGTTATCACTTCAAGCTGCCCCTGGATGGAAATCACTTACATGGTCGCCTAACTGTTTTTCTAGTTGTCCCTGAAATATATTCTTAGCTTTGTTATCATTAAGTAGAACCCTAACAGGTTTCCTTACGGTGTCTTTCCTACGTCCAGTAATTCGCAAACAAATACACGTTTGCACTAGAGCATGATCTGAATCTAGATATGTGCACCAGAACGAGCGACAGTCTTCTATCGAACTCCTCCATCGGTGGCTGATAGCGATGTTGTCTTGGTGGGTCCATAGTTGAGACGACTTTGTGATTCGCCATGTCAAGAAATGTTTTTCTTTATGCTTAAAGTTAGTGTTTGCTAGGAATAGACGGTTATCTGAGCATAGTTGCAGCTATCTTGTAGTGACTGCTCTTGTCAATCTTGACGACGTAACCGCGCTATTTTGGCTGGAAAGTATGTTTATGTAGGTCCTATTTTGCCAGGCAGGTCGATTGGAGACCAATGTGACTGAAAGCAGCTACTCAAGATCCTAATGTGATGTCGTGCTGCTGACTGTAGAGGCTTGTGACATCAGTAAGTTGTTTCTTTCGGATTTCGAGCATCCGCAGGGATGCTTTCTACTATTCTCAAAGGTCACTCGTGAAAAGTAAGAAGATGAAAGTGTCGTCTGTGAATGCTTGATTATGTCATAGTCTAGTGGCGATACGGTAATCGGACACTGGAGGTAAACAATGCCGATAACAGTTCTCTGTAAGCTTTAACTCGACCAATAATTTTGGATCAGAGGGGCTGTGTTAGGTTTATGTACTTCTCTAGTGCAGCTTTCACTAACAGATACTACCATACACTTTCACGATCGACAGAGTCAAACGCCACCGGAAAGTCAGGAAATACAACTTTTGTCTGACGTCTTATATGTGTCTGTATTCTAGAACCTGACAGTGTGTGAATATGTGGTATATACATCGACATCGTGGTCGAAAATCAACTTGGTTTTTTTCGTGGCTGTTCTACTTGAGCTCTTATTTCGCATCAAAGCATTATTGTATCTAATATTTTGGATACTGCGGTAGTCGAACTGAATACCTTGTGTTTGTCAAAAAAGAACTTTGGTCCCTTGTAATAGACTGAGACAATCAATGATTGAGATCAGTTGGTTGGTATTAAGTTCATTTCCCAGATCCTAACTAAGATCTCAATTAATCTAATTGCCAAACAGGACCACCATCCTTAAAAATCTTGGGGGTTAGTCCATTAGATCCTGCCGCTTTCCCTTGCTTTAGATTGCTTATAACCTTTCCAACATCATTGAGTCAGAGGCGTTACATCAAGTTACCATTCAGTTCGCCAAATCACCTAAGCACCGAGTTAGAGTTAGGGTAGGATTATCAACTGAAATTCTATAGCTGTAGACGTAGTAGAAGTATTAGCAGCAATAGAGATTAGGGTTGGAAAATATGATTCGGGGAGTAAAATTAATCGCTTATCAAGTTATTCTAGAAATTCGGACTATAAGTACCTTCCTAGGTAGGAAATTAAGTTTTTCATGCACAATGTAGATGGTGGACGAATCTTACTCATAGACTTGCCTGCTTGATATCGTCGGATACATACATATTAACGTCAGTTGGTATTTACCAACTGAACGAGTGAATCTTACTATTTTTTTTACAGCCCCTCACACCATTTTCCGTTACAGGGCGGTCTAGATTATGATTCCCTAAGTATTTTTTATGAATTCGATCTCACTATTCTTACCTTGCATCGATTCCCTACTAGATCATTTTAGGAATTCACCTAATTCAAACATTTGCATGCGCACAATTTGATCCCAAAATTAGATATTTTTCGAGTCTTGTTCTAAAGATTACCATATTTTTGTTATTAGAGACACCATCCCTTAAATGTTTAGTCCTTGAGTGGGTTATTTAAGTGTATTATGAGGAAATCGTTCAAATCTGCTTATTTTTCTGTTTTAGTCTAAAGAAAAGATGATGCGAGGCGATAGACGTGGATGTGTTAAGTTGAAAAATGCTCAAGTTGGAATCGATGATGAAGACGATAGCACGTTCACCATTACTGTTGATCATAAAACATTTCACTTACAAGGTAACCTTACTTATTTATTCTCCTCCTTTGATATACCTTTTTGTTCATACATTTCAAACTGCAGTGTTCCATGGTTCCGTGAAATTCCGACTTGTATTGTATATGAATCGTATAAACCTCCAGGAACCTGAAAAAACAAATTACTGATCAAGAATTATTAGTAGTTAAGAGGATATACTTTTGGCACTTTATCTCAGTACAGTTTATATTGATTTGATTCTAGTTTCTATAGGAACCAGAAGTGGATGGTATCACTATCTGATTTGGAGATAAATTTTACAGCATAGAAACTTCACGAAATTGTCATCAAATGTATTTGTACTTCCATTTCATGTTTTATCCTTAACCTTTACCACCGAAACATAGAAACGACAATTTAGAATGATAATGGCCATTATTTGAAGTGAATTATGATAGCTGTAATAAATCAATTACCATTCATTTATTATTTGTTCTGATGAAAGTCATAAAGCAACTGGAAGCACCAGAGGACAACCGCGATACTAGATCATGCTGTGTAATACCTCGAATTACGATAAAAAAATGAGCAAATCCAATTATTTAACAATGAGGTCAAACGGTTGCGACTGAATAGTCTGTCAGACATTCATATAAAATGTACATTCTGTCATAAATGTGCATCATCCAAAGTTTCTATATCACATCAGTACAATGAGATGAAAGTAACAGGATGAACAACTAAGGACTCGAAATAATAGTGAAAACATGTGTATAGAGGAACATTAGAACCTAGTAGAAGATAGACAGTAAATACATTTATGCGATTGTGATTGATTCTGAGCCATTTCACGCGTCTCCAGTCTGAAATTATCATGAAAGTGCAGACTCCAAGCAGGCAGTGAGAATTAATGTGATCATTTAACTTGCTTGCATCCGAAAAGTGACAGCACCCATAATCTCCGGTCGACATTCATCAGATGATGGAATGTGACTGACCAAATGCTGAAATCAATCAAAACGTATAAATGCAGTTGTACGCTTAAAGTCTAAATCTGTTGATTTAAAAGAGTAAAATAGAGGTTTTGCAAATAAGATTTGGATGAATATCTATAATCGATTGTGAACATATATATATATATATATTAAGCAATATTGGACTTTAAAATAGCAAACTGAAGAAAAAAGACAGGAATGTTGCAATACCCAAATTCCATCTATTCACGACAGTTTTCCAAATTGATTCTAATCCATAAAACTTGGACTTCAAAATAAATCGGAAGAAAATTACAGACCAACTACATATATTGTTCATCATACGTTTTAGTTTAAGACTTCGTACGTATGTACATCAGTTCATGGTGCCATAGCAACTGTCAGTTCAAATCCAATAGTGGTAGCGATTGCAGATGTTCTAGCAGTAATGGAGAAGATTAGGGTATAATTCGGTCACATGAAGTTAGAAAGATAATGATAGAGATGATGAGGAATTCAGAAGGCTAGAGTCTGAGAGAACACAAAGAATGAATGCACCTGAGCCATCGCAAACGGTTTTGAACCATGTCATTCATGGTCTCTAACCATCGATTACTAACACCTCGCGGACCCCAACCAAGTAGTCGACACCTACCGACATAACTCAGTTCACTTGTCCGTGACTTCATGGATTTATGTCATGTTTTGGTCTGGCCGCCCCTAGCCTTCTTCGAACCTACTCCTACACCGTAAAATAAAGCTCGACGAGGCAGTCGGTGGTTAGGCATTAGTAATACACATCCCAACCACCACAACTGATGAAGTTTCACTACTTCATCTACTGACCTGGACGTGGATTCAGAAACCAGATATTCAAACTACGTAGGATGGAGCGAACTGCTGCGCAGTACACTCTTCCTTCAGTCAGCAAACGGATATCTCGCCTACTCCATAACTGACGCGAATTGGCAAAAGCCAATCGAGCCTTCTGTATACGTGCTGAGACTTCGTCAGTCAACAGGCCATCAACACTAATGAGACTCTCGAGATAAATGAAGCAGTCGACACGCTCAACTGCTTCACTCCCTATCACTAGTTCAGGTGCCGATGTAACCCAGTTTCGAAGCAACATTTTGCATTTCGAGGGTGAGAACCGCATCCCGAACATGGTTACATTTTTGCTTGGGGTAGTCAGTGTGTGGTGTGAACTACTTATAAGTTGTATATGACGTGAGCGTCAACGTAATGTCTGGCAGCAGAAGATGGGGAGAAGACCAAGAAAGTAAGAGTTAGAACACAATGGAATTTGTACGAAACGCATGAATAGTGACAATGGATTGATGTTTGGCAACAGGAACAGTCCAGTTCGATATGATGAACTGATATTTTGCAAATTAACGATTTACGATATGGTTTTCCGATTTTACTGAGTAACTCTGTAATTTTCGTTAAATACAATTCGGTTGCCCCACCTGTGTTCTCGTTCAATACAGGTGGACTGAATTTTGTCAGCGTCTTCACCAAGTAGAAATATGTCATCGGCATATTGTAAGTCAGCAAGCGATTTTGCTGGTAGAAGGCCCACTCCTGAATATTCAGACGACGATGTGATAAAATTAAACAAGAATGGAGAGTAGACATCCCTGACGGACACCACTTGAAGTAGAGAATTCCGAAGACAGTTCGCCCTAAGCTCTCAGTCGACTGGTATTGTTCGAGTAGAGAGCTTGTATAAGGTTAATGTACTTCTTTGGTCCGTCTTTTGATGACAGACAGTGCCACAGAACCTCACTATCCAAAGGCTCAGATGCCGCCTTATGGTCCAGGAACACAACTCTTGTCGGACACATAAATGTGTGTCTGTGTTCCAGGACCTGTCGTAGTGTGAAGACTTATTCCCCTATGATTGTCACAATAGGACTTTTGTTCTTTCTTGTAGACTGGGAGAATCAGAGATTGAGACCAGTCGGATGGGATTACGTCCAGTTCCCAGATTCTACCTAAGATCTCAGTCAACCTAGCTGCTAAAACTGGACCACCATTCTTAAAAAATGTCGGGGGTCAGTCTATCTGGTCGTGCTGCTCTCTCTGGCTTTAGATATCCTATAGCCTTTTCAACTCCATAAAGAGTCGGTGGACTTACATCGATTTGCCATTCAGGATGACTGGAGATCGTGGGTAACCGAAGTGTGACTGAAGGCGATTTGAACTGATCCCTAAAGTGTTCTGCCAATCGATCCAATCTCCTGGATTGAGAATGGATGATAAGACCATCATTTTCCGAGATAGTTTCATTCATATGCAGGTTCCTAATACCAGTTTCCTTGATGAGTCTGAATATTTGCCGACTGTTGCCTATCACCTCTGCCTTTTTCATCTCTCTTGCTTTTGCCAACCACCACTGTTCGCGGTCGTTGCGTAGGCTTTTTATCAGCCTGCGCCTAAGCTGACTTCGTTCTTCATCATGTTCAGAGCCAGGTGGGATGAGTTTCGAACATCCATCAGTTTGGTGGATGCTACTGAGATCCACGGCTTTTTCCTCGACTTATGGTTTACCTTGCTAGAAGATATCACTGCTGTTTCCACAGCTTTTTGGTTATCACTTCAAGCTACCCCTGGATGGAAATCACTTACATGGTCGCCTAACTGTTTTTCTAGTTGTCCCTGAAATATATTCTTAGCTTTGTTATCATTAAGTAGAACCCTAACAGGTTTCCTTACGGTGTCTTTCTTACGTCCAGTAAGTCGCAAACAAATACACGTTTGCACTAGAGCATGATCTGAATCTAGATATGTGCACCAGAACGAGCGACAGTCTTCTATCGAACTCCTCCATCGGTGGCTGATAGCGATGTTGTCTTGGTGGGTCCATAGTTGAGACGACTTTGTGATTCGCCATGTCAAGAGATGTTCTTCCTTATGCCTAAAGTTAGTGTTTGCTAGGAATAGACGGTTATCTGAGCATAGTTGCAACAGACGGTCGCCATCGTCTGTTCTCTGAGCTACGAGACCATAAGATCCACTCGCCTGTCTTTCATTTTCACATAGTTTGCCTACTTTAGAATTGAAGTCACCAGCCATTATTACTACATCAGAATGCCTAACTTTTTGGAGTAAGTCCGAATGCTTTCTGTAAAACCCGGGAAGCAGCATCAGGGTTTTCGGATACACGACTACATCGAGTTGCTTCTTTATTTTGACACAGTGTAATCAAATTAATGACTTTACTAGGATCCTGTATGCGCGTTTCCGAGACGCAGCATACATCTATTGCGCGAGATTCTAATGTCATATCTAAGGAAGCCTGTTGCCCTATTTGACACATTGTCCGTACATTAAAAGCTCCAACATGTAGTCTAGAACGGGGTTTTAGGAGACCAGGAATAACTTTTCTTGAACTCGCATCGTTTGCATTAGCGGTGCAGTGAGATAAAGGAATGTGAGTAGAGTTGGTCGTGGAGATAAGAGAGGTATTCGGGAGTGTAGGAAGGACTTGATTGTGACCAATTTCGATCTCGTGTGCTGTTTCGGGTAAGAGGGCTGTTGTCACCTCCTCCCTGCCCACACCGTGGAAGGGTGTTTCTTGAGGGGCTTATAAAGGAAGGTAGATTGGTGTCGGTCTTAGAGACCTGAGAGCGTGACCACAGAGTCCAAGGGACAACTGCTTGAGGCTGGTCACGCAAGGACTTTTTAGGAGAGGTTTTTTAAGTATTAGCCCTGCTCTTAAAAGCTATTCGTGGGCACCCTTACTGCTGGATACGGAAATCCGTGAGGTAGGGTGAGGTGTGTTATTATTAGGGTCGATCTTTTCTCACCCTTCCTTCCTTGTGAGAATGCAGATGTTGGCATCTTTACAGTTCAGTCGATCAGCAGGAGAAAGAAAGGGTGAGAGTAAGCAACCTTGCCCTAAACCGGTTTTCATCGCGAACGGGTCTGTCAGCTGTCCTCGGTGCACGATTTTGCAGTTTAATCCATCATGAGAATTCCATATGACGTTGACCATCTACTCGGGGACGCCGTAATGTTGAAGATGCCTCAATATTGTTGTCCTATCCACGCTGTCAAATGCTTTCTCTTAGTCAAGGGTAATAATGAGTTCCATCCAATTGATTTTTCCATAGCGTCGTGATTTGGTCGGTACACAATCGATCTTGAAGGAATTTTCAAACTGTCGATCTCAAAGTTGGGTGTCCACGGAGTCTTTCATTCTGTTAATCAACAACCATTTGAAGTCTTTGCCTAGTATTGAGAGAAGTGTGACGCCTCTGTAGTTTTCAAACTTTCTGAGATCGCCTTTCTTTGTTACATTGATCAGGTATTCTTCTTTTCAGTCCGTTGGTACCTATTATTCCCCCCAAATCTTGTTGACGAGAATGTGTAGTGTTTTTGAAGTTACTGTAGTGTCCACTTTCAATGCCTCTGCTGGTCCCGCTGCTTTGCTGCTCTTGATTTGTCTTACTACAATGCTAATCTGTTCAATGTTTGGTTGATCAACATTAGTTGGGAGACTCATGGATGCAGCTGCAATGATGGGTGGGTTCAGTGGGGCTAGTCGATTCAAGAGTTCTTTAAAGTACTCCACCAACCTGTTCCGCTGTTCTTCAGTGTTGCTGATGACTTTGCCTTCCTTGCTTTTTACTGGTCATTCTGGCTTACGATAGTTGCCAATGACCTTCAATGTTGTATCGTACAATTTTCTCATGTTTTCTTCTCTTGCGGCCTTCTATGCAGTCATTAATAGATCTTCCACATATTTACGTTTGTCAGCTCTTCTTCACTTGCTTGTTTGCTTTTCTGTATTCAGCTTCTGCCTTGACATTCTCTGTTCTTGTTCAGTTGACGTTGATTGATGCCTTCTTATTCCCGCCTTGAAGTTTATCAAGAGTACCAACAGAGACCCATTCCTTGCGATGGTGCTTCTTGTGACCCAGAACCTCCTGACGTGTTGAAGTGACTGCCTTCTTCATCACCGTCCAGTTGCTTTCCACGGTAGTTTCCTCTGCACTGAGTAGATCATAGAAGGCTTGGAACCTACGGCTGAGGTCTACTTGTAATTCTATCTTGAGTTTTACAGTATCCTTAAGAAAGGCTGTATTTAACTTTTGTGATGCTGTCCGCCCCGTTGTCCAGTGTTTCTTGAGTTTCAGTTTCATCTTGGCGACTAGTAAGTGATGATCTGAGGCTATATCAGCTCCTTTCTTGGTTCTCACATCCTCCATCATCCTTCCAAGATTTTTATTGATGCCAATATGGTGGATTTGATTCTGTGCGGTATGATCCGGTGAAATCCGTGTAGCTTGTGTATGCATTTATGTGGGGATGTCGAGCCACCAATGAGCAGTTTGTTCAAGGCACATAGGTTTGCGAATCTCTCACCGTTTTCGTTCCTTTCTCCCAGTTCCTGTCGCCTCATGATGTCTTGATATCCGATATTTTCCATGCCAACCTTGGCATTTAGGTCTCCCATCAGAATGGTCAAACCCATTGTTGGGCATTTCACTACGTTTGATTGCAGCCTGTCATAGAATTGATCTTTAACGTCGTCATTGTAGTCGTTGGTAGGTGCATAGCATTGGATGACGTTCATTGTAGTGTCTTTTTCTTTGTTTTGAAGTGTATGTTGATGATCCTGAGTTCATGGGATTCCAATCCTGTCAGTGCTTTTGTGCTTGTTTTGATAGCGTCAGTGCAAATCCTTGCGTATGTGAGGCATTTTCTACTACATGACCGGAGTATAACAGCAGCTGTTCTGAAGTTGATCTTAGTTGTCCAACCTGCGTCCAGTGCGTCTCACTGATTCCAAACACCTCCAGGTTGTATCTTTTCATTTCTGCAGCAATTTGGAACAGTCTTTCGGTCTCCCACATTGTCCGAACATTCTGTGTCCCAAAATTAATTGTTGCTTAACCTTAATTTATCCGGGCTTGGAACCGGCAGTAGCTCGAGTTGGCTTCAGACACAGTTGGTAACTTCATAATCCATCTGTTATTTAGTGTTATACTATGAATTCTACTGTTCTGTGTAGCCTGAATAATTATATTTTGAATCTCTCGATGAACGGCATTGTTTTGTTGTACAACGAGTGAGTAAATATTCTTGATTTTATTTTAATGTTCTCAGCACGGTACTAGTTATAAAAATACTGCGAATAATTACGTACAGTTGTTAATCTCCAAGTTCAAGTATAAAATGAAACCAAAGGTTCATATATTTGTTGTTATTAGGTGCTTGTATTTTAATCTTACCTATTTATTTAAAGAGAAATACTTTGATCTTAAAGTTTCCATTGGATTGCCAGACTTTCATCGATTATCACTCATTGGTACTTAGGTCAAAGTTGGCCAGAGTGAATATTGTAATGTTTACTGCTTTGGGTAAATCATTTTTTACCTGATCTTTATCTAGTTATCATAAAAAGTTATTTTTTCCTATTCAGCCCGTGACTCTGATGAACGTCAGAAGTGGCTAGACGCTTTACAAGAAGCCAGAGATTTACATACACAGAATTATGCTCTTCTTAATCAGGTTAGTGATATTTATGATGATTCCTCAAGCTGTCGATTTTATTTAACCGCACAGCCTATTTGATGGATATACAAAATGACTATGTCATTTGATTAACTTTTTTGTTAGCTTGGTGGAGTTCAATCTATGTTATCATAAGCAGCAATTACGGTTTTTAGATTTTGGTGACTGATAATTTAAAATAAACAGTATGCGTTTGCAACGCTTTTGTGTAAATAATTCATAAATCTGTTAACGTCAGCTTTTAAGACTGCATCAGTGAGAATCACGTTCATTTTCTAATCAATGCATTGATCTCTCAGATAGTGCATGAAATATAGTCGACCACAAAGCAGGCAGAAATGATCGGTTTTATATTTACTTGCCGACTTAAATTTTTCAACATAAATGTAAAGAATATTCTGCTTTAGATTCTTCCTTTACTTAGTAGAGTTTACGTGATGTCAATATTCTTATCCCCGATGATTGAGCCACTTCTATTTATATGAACGTAAATTACTGTTCTCTATCACATACTCGCCTTCAGATTTAAGGAACGTATAATTTGTCAGCTTCCTTCCCACAAAATTGATTTCAAGCAATTTAGTACTTTGGACAATGCAATAAACAATATGTACTGAGATTAAAATAATATTTAAAATAAACTTAATTTATTTATAAAAAACAAAAGTAAGATTTTATGAACGTCATGAGATACGTCACTACGAGAATCTGGTTGACCGCGGTAAGTATTTTGAACAATCCTAGATGAATGTTTAAATATCTATTTGATTGATTATTCATTACTTCCCCTTCACTGTTGTAAACAACACTCTCGTCACCCAATGAGTATGAACTGTGTCGTAGTACATGACTGCGTGGTTTTTCAAAAGCATTTTTAGAGAAACATTGGGTCTTCATGAGCTTACTTGAATAGATTGGCGTACTGCTCTTATCATACAAAGATGAATTAACTTGAAGTCATTCTTGTTTATCAGACCAAAATATTTTTTAAGCCTGGAACTGTTGAATCCCACAGTGATTAAAACAAACATTATGTGTTCCGTGAATTTTCTTTTGCCTAATGAATATACTATCCAGAGCTTTTGAGATGGCAGATCAATAGATGAAGTATTGAAACTTCATCAGTTGAGGTGGTTGGCACATGTGTTATGAATGCCTAACCACTGACTGCCTCGACAAGCTATGTTTTGTGGTACAGGAGTAGGTTGGAAGAAATCTATGTGCGGCCAGACCAAAACATGGCAGAAATCCATGAAGTCACTGACAAGTGGACTGAGTCATGTTGGTAGGTGTAGGTTATCTGGTTGGGGTCCGCGAGACAAAAGTCACCGGTGGTTAGAGACCTTGAACGACATGGCTCAAAATCGTTTGCAATGGCGCAAATGCATCCATTCGTTGTGCTCTCTCAAATCCTAATCTTCTGGAATCGTCAGCACCTCTACCTTTGTCTTTCTAACGTTATCTCACTGAATTATACTTCTGGAATAATATCTTCAAACCCTAGTCTTCTTCATTACCATTAATACCTCTACTATCTTTATCACTATGGTATTTGATTTCACATTTGCGTTTCTGTGCTAATGTGGTTATGCTAATGTGGCAACATGAACTTATGTACATACGTACGAAGTTCTACGTTGCAACTGACTGACTGACTTAGAATTTTGGCTCAATTCATGATTCTGGAGAAGTCTCGTTTTCCTAGCTAATTGTTTTAACCGTAGAGCTCTCATTGTTCTTGTGAACATCATAGTCGGTACAAATTTCATCAAGAAGTGAACTATTCGAATTTTCCTACATACGATTAACAGCTCGTTCTGTCGACCACGATCTTGATTGACTTTTATTGACCTTTATCCTGTCACCAACTGTCTGTTTATTTTAATTCTATCTCCCTTTGATCTGATTCGCGTTCCTATATTTCTCCTTGGTCTTTCAGATTGGTTGAAAAACTCGGGCAGTTTCGATATCTGTTGACTGCTAATTAAACTGAGTGCTAAACTTCTAAAAATTCTTTAGTGTTCTTTGCATTCCCTCCATCCAAGATTTCAATTTTTGCGTGATGCAGTGATTTGTTCAGTTGAAGCAATTTATTTTGTAGATGACGTTTGACTTTTCTTTTTCAGTCTGTCTACTTTTCGATTACTTGTTAATAAATACTTTAAACGACAGACATTTATATAGTTAACAGAGGTGGATATCGGCTAGCAGTGGAATCTAGGACGCGCATTTCGTCCTATCTGGTACTCGTCAACTGGATGTTCCTGCATCTCAGAGTAGATGTCCACCTCGGGACTCGAGCCTAGTACCTTACGCCTCAAACACCATCGCGTTATTCACTTAGCCACTAAGTTCAGGTAACCACTCGCTTGTGCAATCGGGTAAAGATTAATTCAAACAACCAATACAAATGAAGACATTTGTATAGGTTCCTGTTCCGTGAGAGTTAAATTTCCTGTCATCAGTCCTTTGTGGTTTGGTACGATTTTAAGTTTGCACTCGCTAATAATGCGAGTGCTCGTTGCGTGTGTAACTATTGTTATAAATCAGTAACACAGGCAATTGGTGGGTGCCAAGTCCAAATCTAAGTAGAAACATTAGCACTAAGACAAGTACGTTTACATGACCTTTGGCCATGAACAAAATGTATCAACTGTTGCAGCCTATACGACTTACCTTATATATAATGTTAGTTTTCAGCAACTAGTAATGATTTTATCCGACGTATAATTTTGTGTTTTGTAACTGCATTCGATTAATGTCGTATTCTTAGACTCAGTCCCTATCGTATTGAACATAATTATCTTTATTTTTTGATAGCTGTTGTAACAAAGTATTTTTTACACTCATCTTTACAGACTAATCGTTTACTGGAACATCCTTGTTGTCTATCGGAATTCGACCGCCGTATCGTAGAGGCAGATGCGTTTTTACAAATCCTAATCGATCAACATGAGGTATATTTAAGAAATTATTCCTAATTTTCAAATTTTGTTTATTTATCAAGTTGATCTCCTATAAGATTCCTATCTAATCGCTAACATTTCTTCTTCTTCAGTTTATTTCGACGGGTAAACCACCACACATGAAACACTACGATTGCAGCAGCAAAACCGTGTTTAGTATTTCTACAATTTCATTTCATCCTTTTCTAATCTTTCATCGTACCATTGTTACTTTGGATTCCTTGTACCCTCTCTCCTTACTGATCTCATTTGATACATCCTCTATTCCTTTACGAATATCAACTCAATGAGACAACTAGTAATCTTTGCTTAATCTCATAAGCAAAACTAAGATAATCTCTTAAATTTGAAGTAATGTACAGAGAATCAATGTTCAGTGTATTTGAAAACTTATTCGTATGACAACAATTACGGCATAATAGTTATTTAGTGACTTTTTAAACTGTGTTTTTGATAAGGCCTACAGACCATGTTCTACGATAATCAATTTTTATTTATATTCGTGTGCATTCTCAGTAAATGAGCCCAGCTGAAATCAGTACGACGCCTTGATTATTGATAATTTTTATCACTTCACAACAACGTATTAGTTAAGTACATATTCAAAACAGTACACCACTTTTACTAGATCAGCAATATTCAAATTGACATTTATAATTAATTTTAGGAGCTTGTGACGTTGCTTCTCATAACTGTAAGCATACGGTTGCATTTAGTTGTTTGAAATGCTGCACTTTTAACTAAAAAGCTCAGAATTATGAACCTTTATAGCCTACTAAGACTTTTACTGTCGCACGGTGTGATTTACTCTCCCACACTGACTATGGCTTGGGGTTTAATATACAAATTTCTACATCATGTTGGTTCTGCATATTTTGAGCAGAATGATTCTGTAGAACTAAGAGTTTTCTTCAAAATCTTAATAGAGCCTATACAACGAGCTAAAGCTGTCTATCAGACCAGTATATATTAGGCTGTCAAGATAATCTGATGTTTGTTTGCGCAGGTTCAGTTTATTTGGTTCTTCGTATCATTCATCAATTTTTTTTTCAAAAATGGTAAAAGTAAAAGTCACTTTACTAGCTTATTTGTTTGTATACCAATCTCTTCATTTAACTTTCATCTCATTGTTGGTTTTTTATTCTATCCAATGAAACAACTTATTATTTAATAACCAAAAGTTACGTGATGAATCGTCTAAGTTGAATAACAATTAGATTGAATTCACCGTAAACAATTATATTAATTGTTTTTCATTTACTAGTTATATTTTCCAACCTAAATTCGAGAGTGAAACTAAGTATTAACCGTAATTGTGTTATTATGGTTGGCCTATACAATTCATTTAAGTGTCTTTATCCTCCGAATATTTCCACATTAGCTTATGTTTTGTTAGTTAATGGTCAAAAAGATTCGCGTTTCAACGGGTATTGGATTTTAGTTTGGATCTTCATTCCACCTCATTATCTTTTTCATAATTATATGGTATCATTAAGCCTAATACATTATTTATTTAATGAAACATAAACATCGGTATAAACGGGCACCCAAGTACATTTGCACCACACAATAAAAATGAAGTTGTGAAGAGATAGAAAAGAGAGGAGTGTAACTAAAAAATGTATAGAAACTAGTGTATGAATGTGAAACAAAAGTAATGGTAGTTGGAAAAAGTTCAGCAGCCCTGTACAGCCTTCTTTCATACTACGACACCATGTCATACACTGACCACCTCTCTGCTTTTTCCAATCAATATCCGAGCCACCCAAACCGATGTTTCAAGATCGGTCACCGTACCCAAACATACGTTGCTGAACTTCTGCGTTACTAGTATGTTGTTCCCACTGAATGTCAGCAATCCATCGGGGACAACAGTAATCGAACTCAGAAGGCTTTCTAATATCTTCAACTCTGAGACTAGGTTTCCCAAGCGCAGAGCAAAACTGCTCTCACTGAAGCATTGTTGGCCCAACATTTTACAACCAGATTAGCATCACGAAGGCTCCAACAATTGCCCAGACTGACTATCACTATACGTTCATGCCACCACCAGCACTTACTCAGATATCCAGATGCATGAAATTTTCTACTATTCCTATTTTATTCACTGCCAAGAGTGAGTTCAGGTTCAGGGTCCCGCCAGTCTTGTAAAGCAAATGCTATGACTGCTAACACTGATTTCCAACTGATTGAGCGCGGATTGCATGGCTTTTGAATCATTCCGCAGTAAAATAACATCTGTGTACTCAAGGTCAAAAAACCCTTCTCCAGGTGACAGATCCACACCACCATTATCCTAATTCATCATAGCTGTTTCAAGAACCCCATCGATGGCGAAATTGGGGAGGAATGGTGATATTGGACAACCTCGTCCAACCTCGCTGCTTGGATGAAACCATGGAGGAAGGTGGTTGTGTGCCCTAACTCTGTCTGAGGTGTGTGTATGTAGGGCCTTCAAGATGTTAATAAGCTTCTCAGACACATCCTTCTTCGATGGATAATCCCAAGAGAACAGTCCTGTAATACAAATTGAAGGCCGGTCTGAATTTAAGAAAAAACAGTTATTGTTGGCGTGCATTAAGTATGGTGTTAGAAAATTTCGGCAGAGGGTGAAGATACAATCAGTATGTCCTCAAACGGAACAAAACCAGCCTGCACTTCGCGAGTCAATCTTTCCCGTGTTTTGAACGCTCTGTGAAGTATGACGGAAGCCAACAGTTTGAACCTGATCGGTAGTAAACTTGTCCTCTGATAGTTGTTGCAAAGGTGACTTGAATCCCCCTGGTTCGTTAGATAGGTCATTCGTCACCAGACATGAAGAAATGAGTGTCGCTAGGGCAGCAGACCAAGTCAACTGTTCCTCGAAGAACTCTAACCATCGTTTAGGATGTCGTTAGACATTAGTGATTGATGTCCTATCAGCTTCACAGATTGATTCATGTACATCAGACTCCTTGCTGTTAGTGGCTCGAAAGAGTTGAAAGAGCTTTGGGCAGTTACTAAATGCAGCTGCTGTTTGCGACTCATTGGCATGCTCTGACCACCAGGCTTCTCGGTCCTTACTTAAATTTTGCACTAGTTGGTTGCGTAACAGTCTTCATTTATCGTCAAACTCGTGGTTATCGGAGTAGACCGATATCGCACAAAGCCAATAATAGCCCACTGGTTACAAGCGAGGCGTTTCGCTAAGCCGCAAGAGACTGTACCCACCATTTTCGCGCCGTTGGCAATTGTAGCCAGTGCTTATTTATACTTTTCGGTGGGCCGATAGCTAGAGCCTTGAGCATAGCTCGGTTTGATATGTAGTTGCAACATCGATCCATTTAAGGTGATGAATTTTTTGGCCACTGAAAGGCTAGATAAGAATAGCATGAACAAGGGAATTACAGAGTCCAGATAAGTATTTCTAAATAAACAGCAGTCTTTTACACAACCACTCCAGCTTTAGCTGTATGCAATGTGATCAATCTGATACATAGGAAGGATGTCAGATAGTACAGTACATCGGCGATAACTGTTTCGATAGTTAGTGCTAGCAACAAACAGATTGTAGTCTGTGTAATGTTGCACTAAACAGTCGCCGTAATATAACCTGCAACTAATAAATCCCCATTGGCCACCTAGACGGCTCTGCTCTGTGCCTAGTCGCCCGACCTGCTCATTCAAATCTCCAGCTGCTACAATATCTGTCGAATGTGCTTCCTAAAGAAGACCACTTAGCTGGTAGTAGAACTCATCTTGGATTGCGTCCGAGCTGCAATCTGTCAAGTGACGGATGGATTTTTCGAATCTAACAGCACATCTTCGACTGTCGATTGGGATCCAACCAATTATTACTGGCTCGGCTTAATGCGATAGAAACGCTAGCAAGACCAGATGGAAATACCACTGGGTCCCCCGGTGGCAGAATGAGAACAATTTCGTAGTGCTTTACTGGAGACTCGAATACTAGTCTCGGATTGACAACAGATGTCGATGTTCACACATTCTAAAGACACAGCCAACTCTATTTTTTGGAAAAGTTCAGTTTACGTGGTTTCGTATTCTGTGGTTGCATCCAACTTTTATTCAGACAGTGACTTGGGATCGTTTAAATGGAACAAGATTCCCACCACAGGCAAGCTATTTTGTGAGTTGAATAATAAGGAATACACGAAAGTGAAAAAAAAGAATAGAAAATTTACTCAATGGAAAATGAATGTTGACAAATAATTGCGAGTGTTGTTTGCGAAAATGAGGATCAAAGCCAGAATAGTTTTCCTGGTTATAGTTATCATTTAATTTGCGTGAGGGTTGGGACACTGTTCGGTTGCCCAAAACGGAACAGGTGGCTTTCTTGGACTCTAAATCCACAAGACTTTGACCAGGACATCTGATTCCCAAGGCAGTATTGCGCCGTCAGATGTTGCAATGTCATAATAGCCAGTGACCAGCAATGGATTAAAATTCCGTTTTTCCCTCAGGATGTTAGAGGTGATGTGTACCATCCGTCTGAAGTCAAGGCGTTTCAACTCGCACAGGTGAATCATTATATATATATATATATGATGCAATATAAACTTCATTATAGATATGGTAATAAACTGACAAATCTCAAGAATGTTAATGATGTTTTCTAGATTACATATTGATCTTAACAAATTTTGATAATACATTATCTCTTTACAAGGTTTCACATCAATAGTACAGATCATATAGATTTAGCCAGTTGATACGTCATCTCGTAAGCAGCATAGTAATTGGTGAAAATAATAGCTATGTTAAAATGTAACAACATTCGCAAACATTTTTCGCACATTATTCGGTTTCCAATGTTTCGATAAATATTTAAAGCAATCTAGTCAAGTTATGGCGTAGTGACTCGTGATATATGGATTACAAACACATGAAAATTATCACCTGCACATCTGTGAATATCGCCTGTAACGTACCGACCATTTCTTTCATTGAAATCATGAATCGATCACTGTTATACCACCATTATAAACCTGGAAGCACTGGACGATATTTTAGTCCTAGAATGAAACTCATCAGTGCGCATCCACGGTCCCCGCTCGCGGGAATCGGACCAGCGACTTTGGGTCTCACGCGCAAACTCTTAACCTCAAGACTACTGAGCCAGTATCCAACGATGTCAGTGTCTAGTTTTAATCCATTCAAGGTTTTGCTCAGCTGCACCCATAGTCTTCGGCAGGTAACTGCCTACACCCGATTGGGTGGTTACGGACTCATGATATCGATGGAAATCAACAATCCGCACAACACTTAGATGAAAATATTCCATTTGTGTTTCTTCATACCCAAATATTTTGTCCTACTCCTATTCACTCTTAGTTAGTTTTTCTGTTTTTGAAAAGTCTAGCAGCTTAAACCACTTTACATCCTGTTTATCTCTGTGTATCTTTACTTCGCCCAAAGTTTCGTCTTAAACTAAAACGTATGATGAACAATATATGTAGTTGGTCTGTAATTTTCTTCCGATTGATCTTGAAGTCCAAGTTTTATGGATTAGAATCAATTTGGAAAACTGTCGTGAATAGATAGAATTTGGATATTGCAATTGTTAGGATATTCATCCAATATCCTAAGAGAATTATTGGTCGATTCCGTTTGGTTAATTTCTACTGGTCAATTTTATGATCGTCCTAGATATCTGTTGTAACGCTGCTACGTATAGCTCTTCAGTCCTAACGGCGTCCAATTCAATTATCCCAATACGACCCAAAATGCTATTTCCAAATCTCCTAGATATCAGAACGCAACACCGTGGAAGGGAGTTCTTTATTGGGTCGAATACAGAAGAAGAGGTAGGCAGGGGAAACTGAATTATTAAGTCTTTCAGATAGTGCGTATTTATAAACTAAGGTCGAATAAGAAAGAGCATCAACGTCTGTGACATTGACAGTTTAGGCCGACCAATAGAAAAGAACATTTAAATGACATTGACAGTCCAGATGACCAATAAAAGGCAACGTTGGAGTATTTGACCTTGACGGTTAGAACGATCATAATTTCGGCCAATAGGATTGTACTTCTAAAAATAGTATTCTTAGGATATTTGGTGAGTATCCTAACCATATCAATGTCACGTGCTCCAATGTTTCTTATTGGTCATCCTGAATTTCAATGTCACTTCAAATGTTGTTTCTTATTGGTCGTCTTAACTGTCAATGTCACAGACTTCAATGATGTTTCCTATTCAAACTAAATGTATAAGTACGCATTATCTGTAACGTTCTATGTCCAGGACCCGGTCCTGGATCCATAGTCCGGGATCTTGATTCTCTTGTGGATTCTGACCTCGTACTTTCTGAATGCTTGTAGAATATAGGTTCTACTTCATATAAAGTCTTCTTATTTTTACTCAATATGGGGGTCGGGACACTCGGATTAGAGTAGCGTGTCGTGACGCCGGATCCTCAATCCTCGCTCTCCTTTTCCGAATAAGGCAAACTCGTAATAGTTCAAGCATATCAAAATGACATGTTTACTTGCAGGTGTAACAGCAACATTCCTGTCTTTTTTCCTCAGTTATGCTATTTTAAAGTCCAATATTGCTTAATGATTCAATCGTTCAATCAAATCGTTGACTGATATATATATATATATATATATATATATATATATATATATATATTTACATGTTCACAATCGATTATAGATATTCATCCAAATCTTATTTGCAAAACCTCTATTTTACTCTTTTAAATCAACAGATTTAGACTTTAAGCGTATAATTGCATTTATACGTTTTGATTGATTTCAGCAATTGGTCAGTCACATTCCATCATCTGATGAATGTCGACCGGAGATTATGGGTGCTGTCACTTTTCGGATGCAAGTACGTTAAATGATCACATATTAATTCTTACTGAAGTTTTTGTACTGAGGTTTGTACAATTCAAAAATAGTGTTAATTACAAAACGATATCTTCTGAAAACGCAGCAGCGATGGCAGTTTTTTTCGGTGACCTGGAACTTGCTTCGATAATATAATGTTAACGATTATATATATCTATATATATATTCCGTATATTATTAGCTTACGCTGACCAATCCCACTATTTTGACTGTTAGTTTTTCTAGTCCCCGCTTTTGGTTTGTCCCTTTTTCATGATTTTTAATTTTATGGCACGATGCTATGTTGTCTTTTGGAATGTAAACTACTCCGTTTGAGATATAATTATATCGAACACTGGTTCCTGACTGCTGAACTGATGTGTAGGACAGAGAAGCGAGAGTATCATCGACCTATAAGAACTTAGTTGTTCACTCAAGGTTCGTATTGTAGGGCGACATTCAAATCAGATACGTAATAACAACTTATATTTTACACTTCGTAATCTTGGAATAACGAAAAGTATTGTCGAATTAGTGGTTATTGCACATAAAATGAGGAATACATCAGAATACATCCATTTTTTTGTATTTAAGCTATCATAATTCCTTTTGAATCGTAGCCATTATCGAGTAATGACTAGTTAGTAAAAAACGACTATATATAAGATGGTGGAGAAATTTGTGCTGATGTTCTTCATTAGAACAATGAAAGCTCCACAACCAAATCATCCAGCTCAGAGAAGGAAACACTAAATTTATTCTATCTATTACAATTTCATATTGCGTGAGCGATTTGATGTGACCTCGGTTATAATAATGTAGTTTTTATAGAGTTCTACTTTTAGCTTTTCAAACCCTTGTTTTTATTTTGTATGCCACAACATTTCGTTTACAAACGTTCTTTTATCGGACTTGCTCACACTCACGCTCCGCGCACGTATTGGTTTTGGTGGAGAAAATAAGTTTTGCGTTCAAGTCGTATTCGTAGATCATATCGTTTTAAAAATATTTTAATCAATAATTTTTATCAGTTTGTGTTTGCTAGGTTAGTAATTTGTAGTATCTCTTCGTTGCCGTTTCGACGTTTGAGCACCTACTTTGTATAATTTATTACCATGTATATATCGTAATACACCAGGATATCTTGCTTTACAGTCTACTGAAGTACATTCGTTCTAAGTTTGGCAACCTTCTGTTTGCTATACTTTCAGTTTTGTTGAGTATACCGAGTTGTTGACTATTCTGAAATCAAATGCATTCTTTAAGTTAATCACGTTCAGTTATATAGTATATACACGAGTAGTTTATGTCAGTACCAGTATGATTTTGTTTTACTCGCATATGTACTGATATCGTATCTTGGTTTACTCCTACTGTTTATATATATTCTCTCCGATGCCGTCAGAGATACTCCACACATGTTCGTAGGAAATGTTGATACATTTTTTAAAGCAGACATTCATCCATTGAGAGATTTTGTTATACATTTCATAACAGCATTACAAATCTGTTGTCAAACGTATCAAAGAGATTGAGAATATCAGCAACTTTTTGGGTTTATTTGTAAAACTGGCGATGCGGATAACCGTGTATCGATTTGTTGCAGTTCTGTTGTAGACAACCCTCTCAAGTTCAGTTCGTTAAAAGCTTCATGGTCATCTGGGGCGTTTTTTCACCTTCTGTTGCGGAAAATACGTTACGTTTTCATCCTGGTTTCAAAATGATTTCCATATTCATTCAGTTTATCTGGAAAGTGTAATGGAAACAATTTTTGTTGACAAAGATAAAACTTTACTGTCTCTCTATAATTGTTCAACACGTGTATTCATTCAGTCATTTGCAACGTAGAACTTGCTGTGTGTACACTAGTTCAAGTTGTCATACCTCACCATAAATAGTAGTAGAGGTAGTAAAGGTATTAGCAGTAGTATTTGTAGAGGTTAGGATTAGAAGATATTATTTAAGAAGTAGAATCTAGTGAAATAGACTTAAAAATATAAAGATAAAGTAATGAAGAATTAAAAAGTTGAGGATTTGAGAGAACACAAAGAATGAATGCACCTGAGCTATTGCAAACGTTTTTCAGCTATGTCATTCATGGTCTCTAACCATCGATTACTAACACCTCGCGGACCCCAACCAAGTAGTCGACACCTACCGATATGACTCAGTTCACTTGTCAGTGACTTCATGGATTTCTGCCATGTTTTGGTCTGGCCGCCCCTAGCTTTCGTCCAACCTATTCCTACACCATAAAATACAGCTCGACGAGGCAGTCGGTGGTTAGGCATTAGTAATACACATCCCAACCACCACAACTGATGAAGTTTCACTACTTCATCTACTGACCTGGACGTGGATTCAGAAACCAGATATTCAAACTACGTAGGATGGAGCGAACTGCTGCGCAGTACACTCTTCCTTCAGTCAGCAAACGGATATCTCGCCTACTCCATAACTGACGCGAATTGGCAAAAGCCAATCGAGCCTTCTGTATACGTGCTGAGACTTCGTCAGTCAACAGGCCATCAACACTAATGAGACTCTCGAGATAAATGAAGCAGTCGACACGCTCAACTGCTTCACTCCCTATCACTAGTTCAGGTGCCGATGTAACCCAGTTTCGAAGCAACATTTTGCATTTCGAGGGTGAGAACCGCATCCCGAACATGGTTACATTTTTGCTTAGGGTAGTCAGTGTGTGGTGTGAACTGCTTATAAGTTGTATATGACGTGAGCGTCAACGTAATGTCTGGCAGCAGAAGATGGGGAGAAGACCAAGAAAGGAAGAGTTAGAACACAATGGAATTTGTATGAAACGCATGACTAGTGACAATGGATTGATGTTTGGCAACAGGAACAGTCCAGTTCGATATGATGAACTGATATTTTGCAAATTAACGATTTACGATATGGTTTTCCGATTTTACTGAGTAACTGTAATTTTCGTTAAATACAATTCGGTTGCCCCACCTGTGTTCTCGTTCAATACAGGTGGACTGCATTTTGTCAGCGTCTTCACCAAGTAGAAATATGTCATCGGCATATTGTAAGTCAGCAAGCGATTTTGCTGGTAGAAGGCCCACTCCTGAATATTCAGACGACGATGTGATAAAACTAAACAAGAATGGAGAGTGGACATCCCTGACGGACACCACTTGAAGTAGAGAATTCCGAAGACAGTTCGCCCTAAGCTCTCAGTCGACTGGTATTGTTCGAGTAGAGAGCTTGTATAAGGTTAATGTACTTCTTTGGTCCGTCTTTTGATGACAGACAGTGCCACAGAACCTCACTATCCAAAGGCTCAGATGCCGCCTTATGGTCCAGGAACACAACTCTTGTCGGACACATAAATGTGTGTCTGTGTTCCAGGACCTGTCGTAGTGTGAAGACTTATTCCCCTGTGATTGTCACAATAGGACTTTTGTTCTTTCTTGTAGACTGGGAGAATGAGAGATTGAGACCAGTCGGATGGGATTACGTCCAGTTCTCAGATTCTACCTAAGATCTCAGTCAACCTAGCTGCTAAAACTGGACCACCATTCTTAAAAAATGTCGGGGGTCAGTCTATCTGGTCGTGCTGCTCTCTCTGGCTTTAGATATCCTATAGCCTTTTCAACTCCATAAGGAGTCAGTGGACTTACATCGATTTGCCATTCAGGATGACTGGAGATCGTGGGTAACCGAAGTGTGACTGAAGGCGATTTGAACTGATCCCTAAAGTGTTCTGCCAATCGATCCAATCTCCTGGATTGAGAATGGATGATAAGACCATCATTTTCCGAGATAGTTTCATTCATATGCAGGTTCCTAATACCAGTTTCCTTGATGAGTCTGAATATTTGCCGACTGTTGCCTATCACCTCTGCCTTTTTCATCTCTCTTGCTTTTGCCACCCACCACTGTTCGCGGTCGTTGCGTAGGCTTTTTATCAGCCTGCGCCTAAGCTGACTTCGTTCTTCATCATGTTCAGAGCCAGGTGGGATGAGTTTCGAACATCCATCAGTTTGGTGGATGCTACTGAGATCCACGGCTTTTTCCTCGACTTATGGTTTACCTTGCTAGAAGATATCACTGTTGTTTCCACAACCTTTTTGATGTCATTCCAACCTGAATCCGGATGGGAATCGATGAGTAAGTCGAGCTGCTTTTTTGTTTTGATAAGGTGAAATCAAATTAATGATTTCACTAGGATGCTGTCTGCAAACTCCAGATAGGTAATCTACACCTGCTAACATGGCTCAGTTCAGTTTTCAGTGACTTCGTGTGTGCCACGTTTCGGTTTGTCTACCCTAATTTTCCTTCCAGCCAATCGCACCTGCAACTGATTTTCAATGACTCATACTAGGGATTCGGACAACCAGCGGTTTACACCAGTTTGAATGTTTCGGGTCCAGTCCTGAAATTTTAACCGGTAGTTTGATGAATATATTTGCTAAAGCTCCCGCTATCTTTCAAAACTCGGTTTTATCCATAACGTTGCGCTCCTCTCTTACCTTTTAGATTGCTCATATCTTTTTCAAATTCACTAGTAGTTCGGTAGCTGATGTCGATTTATCATTCAGATCGCTTGAATGTCTTAAGTAGTTAAGGTGTTCCTGTAGGCCAGTTGAACTGGTTCTTTAAGTGTTCTTCATATGGTTCAATCATCTGGATTAGATGTATTATGGTCTCATCTGTTCCCACTTGTTGACTTTCACCTATGACTGCTGCTTTTTCAACCTCTTTCGCTTCACCTACTCATCGCTATTCAGAATCATTCCGTAGGATTTTCATCAGAAAGTGTTTTTTCTGCCGCCTCCTCATCGAGTTCAGTGCCAGACGTGTTGGGCTTTCGAATATCTGCCAGTTCCGTAGATGCCATTGAAATCCACTAATTTTTCCTAATGTATCATTCTAACTTTTTGCAGTTTCCCAAACCTTTAGAATGTCAATCCAAGCTATCTCTGTGTGGGCATCAATAACATTGCTGTCTAACTGTTATCCTAACTGCTCTCGTAATTCATTCTTGGTTTTTCAGTGATATGTAGAATGTTAAGGGGTTTCCTAGCTGTATTTTTCACGTCTAGTAAGCTTCAGATAAATACTTTCTCATACTAGAGCGTAAAGTGAGTCTAGACATGTTCTCTAAAATAAGCGGCTGTCTGCTATCAAGCCTCTTCATCGATGGCTGATAGCAATGTAATCTATTTGGTTGATGAATGTATACGAGAAGAGATTGTCTTGGAAATGAGAGAGTTATGGATCAACCCCAGAAGCAACCAGATTTAGAGCTAACAGGATATACTAGAACTATCCATATTCGAAGGTACTACGTGCTGTTAACGTAAGTAGCAGCAAACACAGAACTATTGTGTAACTCGTGGAGATAAGAAAGTTATTGGGAGGTGGAGGGATGATGTGATTGTGACCAAGTTGATCTCATGTGTTGTTACGAGTATCAGGGTGGATGTGACGTCCTGGCCGTCCACACCGTGGAGGGTTGTTTCTTGAACAACCTGAAGAGGAAGTTAGATCAGCGTCGGTCAAGAGGCCTGGTAGCGTGACTACAGAAGCCAAGGGACGACTGCTTAAGGGTGAGGGCGCGCCGCCTTTTTGTGGGAAGTTTTTGCTCTGCTCTTCAGAAAGCTTTATAGCCGGAAGCGAAAATTCGTGTGGTAAAGCGAGCTATGACAATTTTTATTAATGACTATTCCTAACCCCTTCCCTCTTTTCAAGAAGTCAGCATCGCTGCAAAAGATGGTTGTCTGAGTGAAGGACCTTACTGCTGTTACACTTATCTACAGTCTGCAGTACGACTTTGGCTTCAGACCCTGTATTACATCTTTTAATGTACCATGCGACCTCCACTGAGGCACGTTAAAACCTTAATCATGACATCTAAAAAGTGCTTATTAGCATCGTGAAATACTTAATTGCAGTGTACCTGTTTTTCAATATTTCAAATGCTATCGAGAATTGGACTGTTACTAGTCGTGCTTCTATTCTATACTTACTCATAACGTGACATCTCAAAAATGTTTACGGTTTGCTTTACATTAGTTTCTATTGGTTAGTGAACAGTTAAATTAAAGCAACATCGATTTTCTATGTATTGATTTTTCGTGTCTCAAATCTCTGTACATTACGCATACATTTAAAGATGCATAAGTGTACGTATGCATATACATTACATAATTTGAATTTTCAATGTGCGGACAGAATGTATTCCTTGATTATAAGGAGCAAAGACACAAATTTTAAAACAAGTTACTAATCAAATAAATTTAGTTTCACTACTCATTATTCTTGTTTGTTTCACACAGGCATAAATAACCAAAAAAGTTTCTTTTCATTTATTGATTACTAGTGTTGTGATTTATGGGTTTTAGTTCTGGTCAAACTTATTCGATCAACTTACAGCATGGTCACTAGTCTTAGTGACTTGACATCACCTGTTTCATATGTATATATTGGGTAGTTGGATGAAGGTGACAGGAAACACTGTACCTGAATACAGCGTTGGCGTGCGTCACCAAGAAGTGTCTGAAATCTTTAAGTACTTGTTTCTCTGTTGTATTTGTACTAACATCACGCGGCTTCACAGTACCAGACGTTAATACAAAGCTGTGTGTTACATATCGATTGACTGCTTTGCTTAACTGGTATTTTTGATGTATTATGTATTTTAACTACTGCGTTCGAAAGAACTATTTAATGGGTTAAAGTGTCCTACAGACCATTGTAATCAGTCAGGATGATTCTTTGTTTGGTACTATATCATCTGTCAAAAGAAAAAAATAAACTACATGTAAAAAATATTAACAAAGGCATATATTTTAATGTATAGTCATGATTATCGTATTTTTGTTACTGAGGGTTACTTATTTCTGTTGATTTTTAACAGATAATGGTTTTGTGAAATCGCTTGTGCTAATTTCACGTAAGATTCACGCAACGATTACGAAAAATGTCATCTTAGTACAGACAAGTCATTTTTATTTCTTGTAAGTAGTCATTATCTCGGATTGCTCAATGAATGGCAATTTTAACGGTTAACTATATTTTATTTCAATTCGTAAATCCTTCGGAGTTATTTAGCTGTTATTTTTCACATTATCGGCACTTTGTTCTCTTATTTAGGCAGCCCATTCGTGTTGGATTTCACTATCTTGATTCACAACATCATGAATTTAAAAAAAGATAAATGATTTACTAGATTTTATTCAATAGTCAACAATTCGTCCTAATGACTTAAAATATGATAATTAGTTCACACTAGTTGTTTCTTCAGTACTTAACGCACATTTTTTAGCATTCTCCCTTCTATATTATTTTCTAACCTCGTGTATAATTATTACATTCCTCATTAACTGGTATATTATGTCTGTCTAAATTTGTTTATGAACTGCTTGATGGCTTAGTTCATTTTGTTATCTCGCCCCGATATTTCAACTCGTTCAGATTCAGATGTTTCCGAAGTCATTCAGTCAGTTTTAGTCTATGTAAATATGTAAACAAATATCCTTTAGCCCATATTGCCATACCACATATAAATATAATAAATAACAAAGTAGCCAAATCGTTCTTGGCAGAATTGATGGTAAAAAAGGCAAACCAAAACATTTTTCTTTCATCTACTATGTGTTTCGGTTCATTAGATTAAAATGACCATGATTTTACTCAGCTAACTCCCCTCTGTCATTCTATTTTCATCATTTATTATTTACGTATTTATCATTGGTTATGCAATGTTGAATTAGTTCTGTTTACCAATGTTCTGAAAAATGTTTTGATCTTTACAGAGGCTCATCGAATTGGTGAAAAAGACAATTGTATGTCTTCAGTTTGCCAGAGTAAGTTCGATAATTAATAAATTAATATACATTAAAATGTGTTTCCAAAACAGACTAGTAACAATTATAAGGATACATTGAGATCAAGCTGTAACCAAGCTAGTTTTCGTTTTATCTTCAAATTTACGGGTGGTCTGTGTTCTCACTACAATGTCTGTCTAATCACTAAAATACGTAGATTCACTTTCGTAAATTGGTTGATAAGATGTAACTATCTAGACGCCATACGTTATCCTTCTCAATGTAAGTTGTTGCTTGCAATCTGATCTGCATATTTGCTAGTTTGATCATAGGGAATGAGGGCGTTAATGTCTTCATTTATCTTGTAAGTTTCGTCAATCCTAGTAGGTTACTATCTGATGATTTCTCTCAACTGATATTGAAGGGTCTCCTAGCTCCTGCCGACTTCACTACCTTTGTTAAAGGATAGACGTCTGTCCGCCCTATTTCAATGTCCGTCTGAAAATAGTCTGGGAAAGTCGAAAACACTTATGAGGTGCAAGTTTTGGATCATAAGTGTTGAGTTCAATAATGAGTATAAATCTAAGTCGATTCAAGTGTTTAGAGCATGTTTTACGTATGATTAACCTGGAATATTTTCTGGTATGCATCGTTCATAAAAATGCTGGGAATGACCAAATCAGTACGAAACAGCGATCTGGTTCTGGTTTATGTACGCGCAATACTCTGTTCATATAATGTATTCTAACTTTTCAATGTTATTTCTAATATTGTATCATATATTGGTCATGCCTGTAAATTATCTTGCATTCTGTCATCATTTTCAAAATGTTATTAACTAAGAAGTTGTTCTTTACTTTCGATCAGTATAGTATTTGTTCTTTAAAAAATATTCTCATTGAACGATATTACTTATCTTTACTTGGTTGTAGTTAGTTCAATCCTTTCTAAGATCCTATCCCTTATGCTCAATATCTTTTTGTCTATATCAGTTTCATAATTTTTCCGATTCACAACTGGTACACAAAACAGAACAAAATGAACTCCTAGTGGGTTTGATTTGAAAGTTACCTTGTCTCACTAACTGATTTGTTTACTTGAAATGATAAGACGTAAGAATTTTTGTTTTTAAGCGCGATTAAGTAATTCAATAATATAAATCAAATATTATTGCGTACCATCCTTAATAAGGTTTCTTTCACTCTAACTATCGGATGTGGTTTTAAGTTTTCATATATAAACACTTACTTTGAATGATATATTAATTGATTTTTTGTGACTGAACTTCAGAAAACCGTCATTCTCATTTTAAAAATACCTCTTTCTCTATACACCTGTCTGTAGGGTTCAATCAATGGTTCTTATCGTACACCGCTCACTTTGAATGACAGCTTCGTCTCCGATGGGGTTGACGTTCAGCTGTCTAAACCAAACAGTGCTAATTCTACATTGAAAATGAAAGGTACGGACCACCGTTTTAAAGTCAAATTTCATTTCGTTTTCTGTAATTTCCATTAAATTTATGCGACTTTTTAATCTAAAAGTAAAGTGATCAGTATATATATATATATATATGTATATATATCCTCCACGGTGTGGGCAGGCGGAAAGTAACATCCGCCCTCATACACATAAGAACACACGAGACCAAATCGGTTACTATCAAATTCTTTCTACACTCCCTCATAAATCTCTTATCTCCTTGACCAACTCTTCCTTCGGTCATTTGTCACTTAGCGCCACTGAACCAAACGGTTTGAGCTCACGAAACATTATTCCTGATCTTCTGAAACCCCGTACTAAATTACATATTGGAGCTTTTAGTATTCGAAGCTTGTACCAAACAAGGCAACAGGCTTCATTAGCTAGAACTCTGGAATCCCGGGCGATCGATATATGTTATGTCTCCGAAACGCGCATACAAGATACAATTTGATTTCACCTAGTGCAGATAGGGAAATAACACGGTTTACGCTTCGTGTTTCTGGTAGCCATGATGCTGCCTCCCATGGCCTCGCTGGCGTAGATAAAGTATTAAGTCTTAGGGTAGAACAAGCCCTCTTAGACTGGACTCCAGTAGACAGTTGCTTTCGCGCTGTCCGACTAAACGGGATGGAACGGACCCGGAAGGTTAGGGAAATTCGCCGCTGCTTCTTCATCGTATCTGCCCACGCCCCTACTGACTGCAGACGAGGTGAAAAATGAGTTTTACAGAAACACTTCGGACCTCCTCCAAAAAGTTAAGCGCTCTGACATAGTAATAGTAGCTGGTGACTTTACCGCTCAAGTAAGTAGACTGGGTGAAAATGAAACACACCTGGGTGGATTTTATGGTGTCGCGGCTATTCGAACAGATAATAGCGACCGTCTGCTGCAGCCAATCTCAGATACTGGCCTATTCCTAGCAAACACTAACTTTAGACATAAGGAAAAATATCTCTTGACCTGGTGACTCCCAAAGCCGACCTTACGATGGACCCAACAGACCACATCGCTATAGGCCATCGATGGAGAGGCTCTATTAAAGAATGTCGCTGATTCTGGAGCACTTGCTTAGACACAGACAATGCTCTAGTACGACCGCTTATTTGTTCGCGTCTTACTGGACGTGAAAAACATATCGCAAGGAAACTTCGTAGGGCTCTACTTAATGATAATAAAGCTAAGAATATATTTCAGGAACAACCAGAAAAGCAGTTAGTAAGCTATGAAGTAAGTGACGTCTACCCTGAAGCAGCTGGGAATGGTATACAAGAAGCAATGGAAACATCAGTGATATCTGCTAGTAAGGTGAGGCATCAGGTTAGAGAGAAGCAGTGGATTTCAGTAGCATCTACGGAACTGATGGATGCTCGGAAACACATCCTGCCTGGCTCTGAGTACGATGAGGAGCGGAGTCAGCTTAGGCGCGGGCTGATAAAAAGCATTTGCAACGATCGCGAACAGTCGTGTATAGCGAAAGCAAAGGACATGGAAAAGATCGCTGCAATAGGCAACAGTAGACAACTATTCAGGCTCATCAATTGGCCTTCAGCCTGACCTTGGTTGCCAACGATCTCCAGTCATCCTGAATGGCAAATCGATGTAAGTTATCCGACTCCTTAAGAAGTTCAGTAAACCATAGAAAATCTAAAGCGACGTAGAGCAGCGAGTCCCGATAGGTTAACTCTTGAGATTCTTAAGGATGGTGGTTCAGTTTTAGCAGCTAGATTAACTGAGATCTTACGTAGAATCTGGGAACTGGACGAAATTCCATCCGACTAGTCTCAATCACTGACGTGGCTGTATAGACCACATTTTTACACTACGACAGGTCCTGGAACACAGACACACATTTAGGCGGCCTACAATTGTTGACTTCCTGGACCTTAACGCGGCATTTGACTATGATTTTCTTGAGGTTCTGTGTCTGTCAATAAATGGTATACCAACGAAATACATGAACACTACAGGTCGAGTGAGAGCTTATGGCGGACTGACACCGGAATTCTTTACTTCAAGTGTCCACCCTTTCCATTCTTGTTTAACTTTGTCGTAGATATGCTTTTAGATATAACATTATCTTCGTCTGAATTTTCAGGAGTAGACCTTCTACCAGTAGATTCATTGGTTGACTTAGAATATGCCGATGACATATTTCTACTTGGTGAAGACGCTGACAAAATGTAGTGTTTTTTGACTACACTAAGCAACAATGCAAGCATGTTCGGGATGCGGTTCTCACCCTCGAAATGCAAAATGTTGCTTCAAAATTGAGTTTCATCGGCACCTGAACTAGTGATAGGGAGTGAAGCAGTTGAGCGTGTCGACTGCTTCACTTATCTCGAGAGTCTCATTAGTGTTGATGGCCTGTTGACTGACGAAGTCTCAGCACGTATACAGAAGGCTCGATTGGCTTTTGCCAATTCGCATCATTTATGGAGTAGGTCAGATATCCGTTTGCTGACTGAAGGAAGAGTGTACTGTGCAGCAGTTCGCTCTGTCCTTCTTTTTTGATGAGAAACATGGCCAGTCAGAGTAGTGGACATATGTAGGTTATTAGTTCAAGTGCAGGTGCATCCACTCTTTGTGTTCTCTCAAATTCTATTCTTACGAATTCCTCTTTAGTGTCTTTACATGTTCAGTCGATTCCTCTGGTGTTTACACCTTGACAGATGTATTATATAGATAATTTTGATTACTACTAATACTTTTAATGACTCAGTTACTTAGGTATTTGAATCGACAAATGCATCTCTGTGCTATTATGGTATGGTAACTTCAACTGATACACGTACGTGCGAATTTCGACGTTGTAACTTACTGACTGAATCAACGGTTGGTTATCCTTTCATTTTTACTTCTGTCATGGCGTTTCAGAGCATCAATTCGTTGTTTGACGTCTGTTTAAGGGATTCCAACATTATTCATCGCTTCATCTTTATACTTTACTTGGCATGCCTTCCTGCTTTGTCACGGCTGATCATAGTTTATGATTCTTTTTACTTGGTATTGTAAACTAGTGATATTTCCGATAAGTATTTTTTTCACTTGTGATTGTTCATGTTGTGATATTTATTTATCCAAACACATAAACGTCTAGAAAAAAGGTACAAAATATATATGCGCTACGCAAACCATTGGCTTTGTGTTTGAGCTTGGATACTGTTGTATGTCCTAATCTATTTGAGTGGTTTTCTCAGTGGATCATTTTCATTCTTTGACCCAGAGGTTTGATCTACATAGCCATAAAGTAGCATCAAGAATTGCAACACGTCCATACTCCATTTGTTTTTGTAGGATTCTGGAGCCCATGTACACCATCAGGGTTTTCCAACTCTACTAGTTGGACTCTCTGTACTAACCATCAAAATAACATATTTATTAACTCCTGAATTCACTCACACCGTTGTACATACATTTTGCGTTCAAAAGTTATTCGTAATCTCATTGTAAAATCCTAATGTGCATAATCTTCGTCCATAAGTATTTGTATTTTATTTCTTTTCGTTTTCCGTTTTTCAGATTTTGATTTTAAAGCACACGGCTTAAATCATACATTTACAAACTGTCAAAGTGGCGAAGCTGATGGGGAAAATCCATTTAGTTCTTGCCAAGAATCATTACCAAGTGCTTCTCCTGTTATAACTCAGAAACTTTCCAGAAAACATTCTACTCGTAATTCTCGACGTTTAGAGAAAGGGACGGTACACAAACGGACATCGTCTACCACAGAATCATCTATTGGGTGCAATTCATTAAGTTCACATACTGAACAGCTAACTACTATTTCTTCATCACTCCCTAATAATACTGTCATTTCGAAACGATACTTTGCTGCATTAGACTCACCGTCTTCGAATTATCCATCCTCGTCTATCGCAAGAATGCCAGTTAGGTCGTATTCTTCTTCAGATGATGATCGATCTCAATTGGATCAAGAGGAAGAGGATGAAGAATTCTTTGATACTCAAGAAGATATATCTGTAAACTGTGCGATAATCAATTCTCCTCAACTTGCTAAAGAGTAAGCATCAATACAGGTTAATTCTCTGATCAATGTTTTCCCATAAATTGATATAATTAGTTGTCTTTACATATCCCTCCTTAAGCTGATACTTTGACGTGTTGGTCTTACTTGCCTATCGTTATAACCCAACCGAGCTATATTGGCTGGAACATACGTTACATTAGGTCCTACCATGCCAGGTCAATCGGAGTACCGTAAGACTGAAAGCAGCAACTCAAAGTCTGAGGGTGAAGTCATACAGCTGAGTGTAGAAATGTGTGACAGCTGCGTTTTCCTTGGACAATCAGCATTTGTAGCGATGCTGCCTTTTCAGAAGGAAGGAAGAGTTTGGTGCGTTTTGGGCTCACCAGTTCTGTGGCGTTCAGTATTCAATATATTCCTATACGTCGTATACAGCGCATCCTTCTAACGGTTACTAGATACGTGCAACGGTGTATAAATCAGAAGACGAATACGACGTGGTGAATTCGTTTGTTATCACACCATACACAGATCACAAAACCACAGGCGCACGAAGCGAATATTACCTGCGAGTACCGAAGAGCGAACAATGAATTGAATAGTATTAAAATGAGTCATCCTATTACTTACGAGGCTAATATTAAAGCGAATAGAATGAATATACACGTAGACGGTGAGAAATGTTTAATCATACCTGATCATACAAACGCGATAATAATAAGATCACGCTGGTGCAGATAAGTTATTGAAATACGAATGAATCTGTCTGTTAAATATGTTACTATAAGAGCTTAAAGAACCACACTAGGAAGTCTACATCTACCGACATGACTTAGTCCATTTGTCAATAACGTAACAGATTTGTGCTATGTTTTGGTTTGGCCTCCCTAGCTTCCCTCCAACCTACTCCTACACCACAAAACATAGCTCGTCGAGGCAGTCGGTGGTTAGCCATACGTAACACATGTCCCAACCACCTCAACTGATGAAGTTTCAATGCTTTATTTATTGATCTGCCATCCCTACCTAGAACTCGTTTCCTAACGACAGCATTGCTCACTTGGTGGTTCCGAGATGTACGAGCAATGCTCCGAAGACATCCATAATCGAATACTAATAACTGCTTGAGCTGGGCCCCGTACGGCCTTTTTATTTGTAGTAGTAGTGGTAGTTTCGTTCTTACTGAAATACTTTTATCGTGGTAGACGGAAATCCTCGAGGTTAGACATGTTTATGATCGACCTTTTCTAACCCCTTCTTCCCTTGCGAGAAGGCTGCATCGATGCAGATGCTGGTTGACCGAGGAAAACAACTTACTGCTGTCACACACCCCTCCACAGTCAGTAGTACGACTTCACCCTTTGACATTGAGTGGCTGGTTTTAGTCTCATCGTTCTCCAATCGATCTGCCTGGCATGGTTGGACTTACTGGCTACGGTCGTGACTAATACTTTAGCATGTGAAACATAATAAATAAAATTTTTATACGTTGTTTTGTCGTTTTATGGTGTACACACAAAGGTTTATCTATGTGTGGATATGATTGAAAATGTGACTCACTACTATGTTAGTTCCTCATCGTTAAAAGGTTTAGAAATAGAATAACAATACTATCATTGTTTCCTGCTTGTGCTGAACAGTAATGAATTTTGAATAGCAAAATAATCCTTATTATTTCAAAGGTTGAACTTAAGTTTGTCAAGGACATCTGTTGAATAATTATAGGTAGTCATAATGACCTTATCCTATCAAAATGATCAAATACGATGTATTGATTTATTTACTTTTGCCGAATAATCCCTAATGGAAATTTCTGATAATGTAAATCCTTATTGATTTGGGTAATTGAGACACGTATCCACTGAACTTTCGTTCGGATTTGGTCTTCATGACACAAGCTTACTGACGCTTTTTGTTCCCCCAAAAGCTTAGTTTCTTAAATTATTATTTTCCGTACGTTTCATCACACCAATCCATACATCACAGAATCTCATTTTCTATGCCTAGTGTTTTTTTTTACCGCTAATACTTTGACTACTTTCGTTTCCCGATGTCACGACGTGTTAGGGCAACTTATAACGATGCACATATGTGCCAACTTTTACCTCGTGCATAATTGTGTGATGAAAATCTCATTTGAGTGTATATGGATTTATAAATAGCTTATCCCATGTATACATATCGCTAGAATAACATAATTTTTCTCCACTCGTTTTATATAGGTTTACAGTAGAACTGTCATTACAGTATCTAATATACTGTTTGTTGTGTTGCGTTTTAGAATTGTATTTTTTCTTCTAAATTGCTAACTTTTTGTGTCTGTGCCACCCGTTTGTCTGCGGAATTTCACATAACTACTGTTTAACGTTAAAATTCTTTATTAATTAAACTCAACCTTTTATTGAAATGGACGCTATCGTATCCATTTTAGAATCTAGTGTTGATTACACTGTAACTTATTCTGATTGCCAAAACGTATGTTGACCATGACCTTCACGTTCTGTTTCTTCTTAGTTGTTAATCATTTATTGATTATAAGCGCTACTGGGTTCTTGTTATTTGTTTTGAAATTGATGCTGCTGTACTATATATAACGATGAGCTTCCTTCAATAGTTTCTCAGATTATTTATAAACATTATAGACATCGTAAGTTTTTTCAAGTACGTGTGTACATAATTAATCATGAACATATAACATGGTACTTCTGCGTCTGTTACCACTGAAATTTCTGTATAAACTGCAATTGTGTCCTTCAAATGTGCAATAATGACACTTTTCACATTATTTTCAATTTTGATAATTTACTAATTTGGTTACGCTGGTGTATACTTATTGTTTGATTACTTTTCTTAGGTATGTGCTACTGGTTTTTTTAATATTGCTCATAATAATACAGTTCTATATGAAAATCGTCATGGACACAATTTATCTACCTCACGTAATGAAAGTCGTTGTTTTACATCGTTATTCGTGATGTCGTTAGGCATATGTAAGCTTGTTTTTATGTGGTATAGAAACTACTAGTTTTCTCAATGTGAATAATCACGCAGTTATGTTGAGTCATGCTAATTAGCAACCAGATAGTAAATTTTGTTCTTGTCCTTGCGTCTCGAATGTTAATGACACTAGTTTGTTTCCCAAACTTATTCAAATTGAATGTGAGGACTCGTTACCGATTTTCAGTCGAAAATCTTCTACGTATGCATTCTCATTGTTTTACATTCACGCAGATTATGGTGTTTTCATTTAAATTCTTTAGTTTATCGGTTCATTTGATTTACTATTCTCTTGTAGTAATACAAATATGAACATGCATTCTAATCCAGCTGCCTCTATAACAAAGTCTGGTCGTTATCGCTCGAGTCAGTCATCAAATAATCAGTATAAATGGTCTTCGGATGATACCTTTGATGAGTTATATGATGATGAAAATGAAGAAGAGTGTAAGTACCGTATGTGATATTCATTCCGGCTATATGCTATTGTTCATGGTGTTTTGCGTATACACGAGTTTCATAAATTACTTGTCATTTATTTAACTACATGTTTTAGAAGGTTGTTTGATATATTTAGTTGTTATCTCAGTTAGCAATTATATCACTATTGTACTGACCTGTAATATTATTTATTTGATTTTTATTTTACACTCACAGAGCAGATCTCGCTAATCACCGAGAGAGTTCGCTCTGTTATACTGTACGGAAGCGAGACTTGACCGTTAAGAGTAGAGGACTTCCGTAGGTTACTGGTTTTCGATCATCGACGTCTCCGAAGCATTGCTCGTGTATCATGGGACAACCGTATAAGTAATGCTGTCGTTAGGAAATGAGTTCTAGGTAGGGATGGCAAATCAATAGATGAAGCATTGAAACTTCATCAGTTGAGGTTGTTGGGACATGTGTTACGTAGGCTAACCACCGACTGCCTCGACGAGCTATGTTTTGCAGTGTAGGAGTAGATTGGAAGAAAGCTAGAGGCTGTCAGACCAAAACATGGCAGCAATCCATGAAGTCACTGACAAGTGGACTGAGTCATGTTTCTAGATGTAGGCTATCTGTTTGGGGTCCGAGAGACGAAATTTACCAATTGTTAGAGACCTTGAATGACATGGCTCAGAATTGTTTTCAATGGTGCAAGTGCATCCATTCCTTGTGTTCTATGAAATTCTAACCTTCTGAATTCCTCATAATCTCCATCTTTCTCCCTCTAAATTTATCTCACTGAATAATACTTCTCGAATCATATCTTCGCTACCTAATCTTCTCGATTACTGCTAATACGTCTATTATTGTTATCACTCTCGGATTTGAACTGACAGTTGCGTCTCTGTGCTGCTTGGGCATGGCAACCTGAACTGATATACGCACGTACGAAGTCCTGCGTTGTATCTGTCATTCAGAACCACAATGATCTAATCTTAAATACAAAGCTTTTAGGATACGTTATCTGATATCGCGTTCTTGTATGTGAAAAGACCAACCTGTCTATCAGAAGACGTTTAGTATCAACCATAAACTCCAAAATCTATCTCTTGAAGACTTTGAAGTTATAGGCTTCTAAGTCTTCTTTAACTTTAAACCACAAAATACGCAAAGTTCAGCTTCAGAAATTCCTTGTGTTACTGTACAATTGCATTTATCTTGGTTCTAGTTAAATGTTTAGTAGTCAAGAGTCATTATTACTGTAAGTAGATCTTCGCCTGGAGCACCTCCAGGGCTACTGCTAGTCTTACGACCGGATAAAGGAGCAGGGTTAACATGGTGTTGGCAACCCCATCTCGTAGAAAACTAACTCCCTAAAACAACGCTAACCAGAAAACATAATTCAAACCATCTTAACTCAGATCCCGGAGTTTGAACGTCTTCATTTAGAAGAGTTATGACGCCCCACGGTGAAAGCCCGAGTTTCACTGGAAGTCATGAGGCTGGTGCCACTTTTCACAAGCAGAACAACAATTCTCTTAGGCACATGGAATGTTCGGACAATGTGGGAGACCGAAAGACTGTTCCGAATTGCTGCAGAAATGAGAAGATACAGCCCGGAAGTGCTTGGAATCAGTGAAACGCATTGGACGCAGGTTCGACAACTAAGATCAGCTTCGGGAGAGCTGCTGTTATACTCCGGCCATGTAGTAGAAAATGCCTCACATACGCAAGGATTTGCACTGACGCTGTCGAAACAAGCACAAAAGCACTGACAGGATTGGAATCTCATGAACTCAGGATCATCAACATACACTTCAAAACAAAGAAAAAGACGCTACAATGACCGCCCTCATACCTTGATTAGCTGCCTTTAGTTTCATCGTTCTCCAATGGACCTGCCTGACATTGTAGAACCTTCAGGAACATATGTTCCAGCCAGTATAGCTCGGTTGGATCATCACGATGGATCACCATGTCTAGGTAGCAGCTACTGTCGCGATAGTTACTACAAAGTCACTACACATTCTCGTCAACAAGATTTGTGGGGAATGACAAGTACCATCTGATTGAAAATAAGAATACCTGATCAATATAACAAAGAAAGGCTATCTCAGCAACTGTGAGAACTATAGATGCGTTTCTCTCAATACTAGGCAAAGACTTCAAATGGTTGTTGCTTAACAGAATGAAAGATTCCATGGACACCCAACTTTGAGATCGACAGTTTGAAAATTCCGTCAAGATCGATTGTGTACCGACCAACTCACGACGATATGGGAAAATCAATTGGATGGAACTCATCATTACCCTTGACTAAGAGAAAGCATTTTGACAGCGTGGATAGGACAACAGCTGCAGCATCCAGAAGTTGCCAGCATTCATTAAATATAGCTTATGCGAAATTCTTCGGATTCGTAGGCCAGACACAATCAGCACCAACCTGCTGTGGGAATGAACAAACCAGATTCCAGGGAAGCAAGAAATCGGGAAGAGGCACTGGAAATGGACAAGACCCGCATTGCGGAAAGCCCGTAACTGCGTTACAAGATACGCTCTCATTCAGAACGCTCAAGGTCAAAGGAAAAGAGGAATGACCAGGAACACATTGCGCTGACAAATGGAGACAGACATGAGAAGAATGAACATCAGTTGGAGAGAACTTGTATGTATGGCCCATGACAAAATAAGTTGGAGAATTCTGTTAAGTGGCTTTTACTCCATTAAGGGTAACAGGCGTATGTAAGTCGTTCCTTTTTTATCAATGAGATACGGATGTGTAGTTTTAAGTTATTGTCTTTATGGAAGCTGTTATTTCATAGTTGTTTTCGGATGCATTTTATCCATTAAGTAGGTTCTGTGCAATCTGATGGTTCTGTTATAAGTCATCTTCTTTCCCAACTTCGAATCGGAATGGATTTAACTAGAATTAGTTTGCCCACGTTCATTCTTGAACGTCGTTCTACACTGGAAATGTATGCAGATTTTTTAGCACATGCTGATTTATGGGCTGTTATTCCTAACGCATCAACGCCCCGTGATCGTATGGTTGCTTGTCTTCGATGGTACTTATCTGCATTTCACGCTGGCAGACGATCATCAGTTGCTAAGAAGCCATACAATCCAACGTTAGGTGAAATATTTCGTTGTTATTGGCCTCTATCTGGAGAAAGTGGAAATAATTCAGCGAAACCACAGGATGAATTATATAGTTCTGGTCCTGTTCCTTGGGCGCCTAAAAATTCCGTAGTCTTTTTAGCAGAACAGGTAGGGTCCCATTATTTTCGTATCTTCCATTGTTGTTATTGTTGTTGTCTGAAGCTTTACCAAAAGAAAATATTTACTCAAGCTGCTTTGACGCGTATTTTCTTAATTCTTCCCTTCATTAAATGATAAAAACTAAAGGTTTAATTTTTCTGATTAATGTCAATTATAGTATTTCAACTCGTTTTTTAAACTTTTAACAGGGTTTTTTTAAAATAACCACAGCGTTTTTAAAAATTTTTTGTAATCCTTAGAATATCAGAAATAAATAGAAAAAACAACTTGATTTCGAATGAAAAAAGAAAAAGCCTTATAAAAAAAGTTATTGAAGATGGATACAGCGTCAAGGATGCGGCATTTCTTACAGATGTAAACTATCAGGCCGCTACAAATATTATAAGGTTGTATAAAAAGGAATCTAATCCTAAATTCTGTAAATCAATTAACCAGGGATGATTTACAAGGTTATTCAAGACACGTACGTCGCAATTGTTTAAAAGCGATTGCTAAAGAAGATTTTAATTAAAAGTAGTTCTTATTTTATTTTTTCAAAAAAATTTTAAAAAATTTTTCGGTTATTTTAAAAAACCCTGTTAAAAGTTTAAAAAACGAGTTGAAATACTATATATTGATTTCGTCTTTTGTAATATAAGGCATCTCATATTTTCCTTCATTTATTATTTTCCGTACAATCGTTTCACCATTACAATGTTTCTATTCTTTTGTCCAATTTTAAAGCTTTTAATTGTATCCACAAATTGAAAATGTTCTCATCCAGAGGAATATTTTTTACCAATAGAAATGCATTTTCTCCAATGAACAAATGTTTACGGGAATGTCAAATGTGATTTGAGACATCCACTGTAGATGAACTGAAATGTAGGTGTATTATATATAGCCCTAAACATTGTACAGACTGTGACTAATAGTCTGTTGTCGTAGCGGTTTATGAAGAAGGTTAATAATGTCGTTGATATATGGCTCATGAATCAGTCGCAAGTTCGTGTGTCTGGTACATGTAATGTGAACAACTATGTCGTTAGTATGACACTTATTAAGATCTCAATATTCCGTATGTACGTTTAACTCAATTCACATTTAACTAATTAATACCTATAATCAAACATTTAATAGAATTTTTCTAGTAAATTGTTTATTTTATGTCAATAGGTGTCACACCATCCGCCTATATCCGCTTTTTATGCTGAATATGTTAATAATCAAATAACTGTAGATGGACATTTGTGGACTAAATCCAAATTTCTTGGTCTAAGTATAGCTGTAGAAATGGTTGGTTCAGCTGTCATATCTTTGCTGAATCATGGTGAAGAATATGTGGTTACATTTCCGTGTGGATATGGCAGGTTGGTATACATTTTTTGGACTGTAATTTATAATGTACCAAATCGGATCATCTAAATCATTTTTAGTATTTTTGAAATACTACTTCTTGCCTGTTTCAAAGGAAGTAAATAATTTCATTTCAGGATACTTAACACTGTCAAAAACTTTTGAATTAATAATTTTTTTTAAATACAGGTACGAGTAAAACAATGTTATTAAACTAAGTAGACGTGTATTTTTTTACGAACATTTTTACCTCATGCCAGGTATTGATAAATTTTATTAGCACAATATAAATATATTTTCAGCAGCTAGCGACGTTCTGTTAGGACAAAATTAGTTTAGTACTTGTTATTCTAGACTTGTATTAATCAGTTTAGTACAATTACGGAATTTGAGATGGAGAAAATTTGTAGCTCAGGTGGCTGATTGTGGTGAATTTTCGTTCTGTGAGCTGGATGCTTTGGTTGCGGAGCTTTCATTGTTCTTCTGAACAACATTATCAGCAAAAACTTCAGATAGAAGTAAAGTATTCGAATTTTTCCACACACTTCGAGGGTGTGGGCAGCCGGGAAGTGACATTCGCACTCATACCCGTAGCAGCACGTGAGACTAATGCGGTCACAAACAAATACTTTCTACACGCTCTAGCATTTCTCTTATCATCACAATTAACTTTTCCTCATCATATCTGAGGAATTTTCTTCTACATGGCCGGAGTATAACAGCAGCTCTCCCGAAGCTGATCTTAGTTGTCGAACCTGCGTCCAATGCGTTTCACTGATTCCAAGCACTTCCGGGCTGTATCTTCTCATTTCTGCAGCAATTCGGAACAGTCTTTCGGTCTCCCACATTGTCCGAACATTCCATGTGCCTAAGAGAATTGTTGTTCTGCTTGTGAAAAGTGGCACCAGCCTCATGACTTCCAGTGAAACTCGGGCTTTCACCGTGAGGCGTCATAACTCTTCTAAATGAAGACGTTCAAACTCCGGGATCTGAGTTAAGATGGTTTGAATTATGTTTTCTGGTTAGCGTTGTTTTAGGGAGTTAGTTTTCTACGAGATGGGGTTGCCAACACCATGTTAACCCTGCTCCTTTATCCGGTCGTAAGACTAGCAGTAGCCCTTGAGGTGCTCCAGCCGTAGTCTCTAATGATATAATAAATCAGTAATCTTTTAGATTACTGCTAATACTTCTACTATCTTTATTACTATTGGATTTGAATTGAAAATTGCATGTCTGTGCTAATATGGTATTGCAAGGTTATCTGATATACGTGTGTATGAAGTTTTAGTTGTAACCGTTAAACTGACGCAGTTAGCTTTACCAAAGCGCCTTGATGTCAATTTTATTTTAAGCTATTAGAAGTATTCTAATGCTTTATGAAACCCAGCGAAATGAAAATTTATTAGCAAGTGTATATGTTTAGGAATGATACTGAATCGGAACTATCATCTATGCGTTAAGTATATCGTCATTTATCAGCGTTCAAAATGCGCACAACTTATAATGGTGATGTTTTGACAATCAAATGACAATGCATCTATATGAATTTGATCTGTTATTAAAAGGTGTAGTTATTTTTTGAAAAAGTATCCCTTTGGTGGAGTTGTTATATTTCTCAACGGCTTTATGGTTTTTTAAAATTTTATTACAATGTTTTCCCTGAAAAAATAGTATATTTGAATTTGAAAATGTAACTTAGTCAACTATGCGTTTCTCTATTACCCCTCAATACTACATTTATTAGATTAGCAACCAGCAAACCGAAAGTCATTTGATATTTCGGATACTTCGTATAGTTTTTCAATGGCCGTTTAAACTAATTAGTAACGCAGTTTTGTTTCAATACAAGCTACAAAAGACAATTTTCATCTTTTTAGTAGAACACCACAGTTTCCGATTTTTATTTTCTTTTACACAGTTGTCGTTTCCATTGTCATATTTGTTTTATGTCTCAGGCACATCCTCACTGTTCCATGGATTGAATTGGGTGGTAAAACCAGTATAACTTGCTCGAAAACTGGCTATGTAGCTAATATTGAATTTCGAACAAAGCCTTTTTACGGTGGTAAAAGAGATATTGTACATGCTGAGGTGTTTGGACCTAATGATAAGAAGGCATTTCTTGTTGTTGAAGGCGAATGGAATGATAAAATGATAGCAAAGTGGCCTCAAGGGGTAAGTGAGAAAAAAGCAACTGTTTTTTCAACTTTCCCTCACTTTTTCGTTCTTATGAGTTTCGTTCACTACTGTAATTAGTGGTTTTCTGGTTTCACGTAACTTGTGGTCGTAATGTTTTTGAAGCGTGTTTGTAAATAAGCAATACAACGGCCGCTCACTCGGTACATACAAGAATTTCAAGCATCGAGAGAGTGTTTGTGAACACTTATTAACCTTAAGGGAAAAGTTCTAAATTATTTGTATATGCATGTTGCAAGGATAATGTCAATCAGTCAATCAACAGCAACGTTGTTCAGAAGAACAATGAAAGCTCCACAACCAAAACTACCAGCTCAGATAACGAAACGCCACCACAATCATCCACCTGAGCTACAAGTTTTCTCCACCATCTCAAAACGTAGAACTTCGAACGTACGTACGTACATCAGTTCAAGGTGCCATATCACATAAAAACAGACATATAATTTTCGATTCGAATCCATTAGTAGTAGAAGTAGTAAAAGTATTAGAAGTAATGAGAGAAATTAGGGTTCAAAGATGTTATTGAAAAAGTAGAATCTAGTGAAATAAACTTAAGAAAGGGAAAGATAAAGGTGTTGCGGAACTGCCAAAGTTAAGATTTGAGATAATACAAAGAACGAATGCATCTGCGCCAGTGCGAACGATTTTGAGCCATGTCATTCAGGATCTATCATCTTGCGGGCCCCAACCAGGTAGACTACACCTACCGACATGACTCAGTTCACTTGTCAGTGACTTCATGGATTTCTGCCATGTTTTGGTCTGGCCGCCCCTAGATTTCTTCCAACCTACTCCTACACCGCAAAATATAGCTCGACGAAGCAGTTGGTGGATGGGCATACATAACATGCCCCAACCACCACAAATGATAAAGTTTCGAAATTTCATCTATTGACCTGGATGTGGATTCATAAACCAGATATTCAAACTACGTAGGATAGAGCGAACTGCTGCGCAGTACACTATTCCTTTAGTTAGCGAACGGATAACTCGCCTACTCCATAACAGACGCGAATTGGCAAAAGCCAATCGAGCCTTCTGTATACGTGCTGAGACTTCGTCAGTCAACAGGCCATCAACACTAATGAGACTCTCGAGATAAGTGAAGCAGTCGACACGCTCAACTGCTTCACTCCCTATCACTAGTTCAGGTGCCGATGAAACTCAATTTTGAAGCAACATTTTGCATTTCGAGGGTGAGAACCGCATCCCGAACATGCTTGCATTGTTGCTTAGTGTAGTCAAAAAACACTGCATTTTGTCAGCGTCTTCACCAAGTAGAACTATGTCATCGGCATATTCTAAGTCAACCAATGAATCTACTGGTAGAAGGTCTACTCCTGAAAATTCAGACGAAGATAATGTTATATCTAAAAGCATATCGTACTCAGAGCCAGGCAGGATGTGTTTCCGAGCATCCATCAGTTCCGTAGATGCTACTGAAATCCACTGCTTCTCCCTAACGTGATGTTTTACCTTACCACTAGATATTGTTTAATTAAGTAATAATAAGGGGCTGATTGAAATAACTTAATTTATAAGTTAATCAGATATTTAAATGTCATTCCTCACTGCAGGAGTCTGTAAATTCTGTTCTAGGTAATGTTATCTAAATGCACATTTTCTCTATACTTACTCTGATCTTCCACAGGAGATCACCAAACTTCGAGTAAGGGTTTCTATTATGTTCACCTAAGCGAAACAGAAAACCCCTATCTGATCTAAAAGTATCCGTTCCTCTATTTTTGGTATTATTCCACTCGAATATCATTGTTACTTGGATCAGTGAGGATTTTAGAAGTGTTTATTGTCTGGTAGGAAAGTTATCTTCACTTTTCGTTTTCAGACATGTACTACCACGTACGAAGAATTCTTAATGCTTCTAAAACTCTTTTTATCATTGTAGAGAAATGAGGTATTTATTGATACGCGGAGCCTACCGACTATTAGAAAACATGTACTTCCTCGATCTCGCCAAGAAGAAAATGAATCAAGACGGTATGTTTATTTCATTGTTTTTATCAGTTTGGATACAGTAGTAATTGTTTTTTCATAAACACGGTTGATGGGCAGTAGTTCATATCTACACTTACTGTCTATTGTCTGTAAAGTAATGTAGAATAAAGGAGTTAAATTCTGTCTGTTGATAACGTAATAATAAGGTAATTAATTGCTATGATAATGTTGAACTGTGTTCTGTCGTTGTTTAATTCTATATCACCTGGATTACTTGGGACTCTATTATATAACGAAACTGAGAAATATTATGGATTCCGATTGTGAAAATTAGAATAAAACATAAGCGAACAATATTGTTTTCGAATAGATCGTCATCAGGCTTTACTCTCATATACATGAATATTTATACGAAAATGTTAAACCAATCAAGGCAATTTGAGTCGTGTTGGCAAGTATCGACTACCTAGTTGGAATCCGCCAGACGATAGTAATTGGTCGTCAGAGACCTTTAACGACATAGCTCAAAACCGTTTGCGATGGCGCAGGTGCATTCGTTCTTTGTATTCTCTCAAATCCTAATCTTTCGAATCCTTCATCACCTCTTTATGTCAAAGTTTTCTCACTAAATTATTTACTTACTTACTTACGCCTGTTACCCCCAATGGAGCATAGGCCGCCCACCAGTTTTCTCCAACCAACTCTGTCCTGGGCTTCTCTCTCCAGTTCTGTCCAATGTTTGTTCATTCCTCTCATATCTTTCTCTATTTCTCGGTGTAATGTATTCTTTGGTCTTCCTCTTTTCCTTTTGCCTTGAGAGTTCCATGTGAGGGCTTGTCTCGTGACGCAGTTAGGTGCTTTCCGCAATGTGTCCTATCCGCTTCCACCGCTTCTTCCTGATTTCTTCATCCACTGGAATCTGGTTTGTTCTCTCCCACAGTACGTTGTTGCTGATGGTGTCTGGCCAACGAATACGAAGTATTTTGCGTAGAAAGCTGTTGATAAACACTTGTATCTTCTGGATGATGGCTTTGTTAGTTCTCCGTGTTTCCGCTCCATACAGTAGAACTGTCTTGACATTTGTATTGAAAATCCTGATTTTGGTTTTGGTTGAAAGTTGTTTGGAGTTCCAGATATTTTTCAACTGTAGAAATGCAGCCCTTGCTTTACCAATCCGCGCATTCACATCTGCATCGGATCCACCTTTCTCGTCGATGATGCTGCCCAGATATGTAAAGGTGTTAACGTCCTCCAAGGCATCTCCATCAAGAGTGAGTGATTTGGTTGGTGCATGTTGTGTTACATCGGAGAGTTTTGCTTTTACCTTTATGTATGTTGAGACCTACTGCTGCAGAGGCTGCTGCTACACTGGTCGTCTTCTCTTGCATTTGTTGTTGCGTGTGCGATAGAAGAGCCAGGTCATCTGCGAAGTCTAGATCGTCCAGTTGCGTCCTAACTGTCCAGTTGATACCGTGCTTCCCTCCAGATGCTGACGTTTTCATAATCCAGTCGATGACCAGGAGAAAGAGAAAGGGTGAGAGTAAGCAACCTTGCCTGACACCTGTCTTCACCTCGAAAGAGTCTGTTAGCTGTCCTTCGTGTACGATTTTGCAGTTGAATCCAACATCAGAATTCCGTATGATGTTAACTATTTTCTCAGGCACACCGTAGTGTCGAAGAAGCCTCCACAGTGTTTTCCTATCCACGCTATCGAATGCTTTCTCGTAGTCGATGAAGTTGATGTAGAGTGGTGAGTTCCATTCAATTGATTGTTCCACAATGATCCGTAATGTAGCAATTTGGTCAGTACACGATCGATCCTTACGAAATCCAGCCTGTTGATCTCGAAGTTGGGCGACTACGAAGTCGTTCATTCTGTTTAACAATACCCTGTTGAAGACTTTGCCTGGTATTGAAAGAAGAGTGATGCCTCTGTAGTTCTCACACTTGCTCAGATCTCCTTTCTTTGGTATGTTGATGAGTTATACTTCTTTTCAGTCGGATAGTACATGTTCTTCATCCCAAATCTTATTGAAGAGAATGTGAAATATTTTCGCAGTTGCTTCCACATCTGCTTTCATTGCCTCTGCTGGAATGTTGTCTGGTCCTGCTGCTTTGCCGTTCTTGATTTGTCTGATGGCCATGCTAATCTCCTCAATTTTAGGTGCGCCAATATTAATTGGGAGGTCTGTGGATGCTGTTTCGATGTTGGGTGTGTTCAGTGAAGCTGGTCGATTCAATAGTTCCTTAAAGTGCTCTACCCACCTGCCTCGCTGTTCCTCAATGTTGCTGATTACTTTGCCTTCCTTGCTTTTCACTGGTCGTTCTGGTTTACGATAGTTTCCGGCGAGCTTCTTTGTTGTATCGTACAATTGTCTCAAGTTTCCGTCTCTTGCAGCCTTTTCCGCCGTCATTTCTAGATCTTCCACATATTTTCGTTTGTCAGCTCTGATGCTCTCTTCACTTCCTTGTTCGCCTCTGTCTATGCAGCTTGTGAGTTAACTTTCTCCGCTCTTGTTCGGCTGACATTGATTGCTGCCTTCTTGTTCCTCCTTTCTTCAATTTTTGTAAGAGTATCAACAGAGATCCAATCCTTGTGATGGTACTTCTTGTGACTCAGAACTTCGTGACATGTTGAAGTGATTGCCTCCTTAATCCCTTTCCAATTGTTATCCAATGTTGCGTCCTCTCCATTGAGTATATCCTGAAAGGCCTGGAACCTGGTGAGGGCTATCCTGAATTCGTTGAACTTCACAGTATCCCGAAGAAAGGCCGTATTAAACTTGTGTGATGTTGTCTGTCCCGTTGTCCAGTGCTTCTTTAGTTTCAGTTTCATTTTGGCGATCAGCAAGTGTTGATCTGAGACTGTATCGGCTCCTCTCTTGGTTCTCACATCCTCCATAGTCCTTCTGAACGTTTTGTTGATACAGATATGGTCAATTCGGTTTTGAGTAGTATGGTCCGATGAAATCAATGTGGCTTTGTGTATGCGTTTGTATGGGAATATTGTGCCACCGATGACCAGTTTGTTGAAGGAGCATAGGTTTGCGAATCTCTCACAGTTTTCGTCCCTTTCTCCCAGTCCATGTCGTCCCATGATGTCTTTATATCCAGTGTTGTCCATTCCAACCTTGGCATTCAGGTCTCCCATAAGAATCGTCAAATCCTTTGGTGAACATTTCTCGACGATTGACTGCAGCCTTTCGTAGAATTGATCTTTAACGTCGTCATTGTAGTCATTGGTAGGTGCATAACATTGGATGACGTTCATTGTAATGTCCTGTTTCTTTGTTTTGAAGGATGCTTTGATGATCCTGGGTCCATGATATTCCCATCCTATCAGTGCCTTTTGTGCATGTTTGGACAGCATCAGTGCAACTCCTTGTGTATGTGAAGCATTTTCCTGTTCATGGCCAGAGTATAACAGCAGTTCCGCTGAAGCTAGTCTGAGTTGTCCTCACAATGTACGAACGTTCCATGTACCTAAAAAAAATGGCTGCTCTGGTTGTCAGAAGAGGCATCAGCTCCGTGACTTCCGAGGGAACTCGGCTTTCATCACGCGACGTCATAATTCTTCCTCCAACTCCCAGGGCAGAGTTAAAATGGTTTGAATTATTTTTTCTGGTTAGCGTCTTTTTGGCAAGTTAGTTTTTGACGGAATGGGTTCGCCAACCCCATGTCCAACCCTCCTCCTTTACCCGGGGTTGGGACTGGCAGTAGCCCCGAAGGTTCTACTGGCGGAGTTTCACTGAATTATACTTCTTGAATAATATCTTCTAACCATACTCTCTCTGGAAAATGCTAATGCTTCTATCTCTACCACTATGAGATTTTAACTAACAGTGCATGTGTTCTATTATGTTATGGTAACCTAAACTTATGTACGTACATACGAAGTTGTGCGTTGGGTCTGACTGTCTGACGCAAAACGATATTACCTTATAATCAGCATTCATCATTAGTTATTCTTAACCTGCTATTTTCCAAAATATTTTTATCTTGTCAATCAAGCTATTAATTCAAATGGTTTCATGTTACCTTCCACTCTTTCTGTTGGGTTGCACAGTCTGTCGTCTTTTTTTTAAGTTTTGGCTTTCAAAATTGTTGGTGTTGCTGGGATTCACGGTTACTAGTAATGATAGTGATAAATACCAGTAATAGTTTGTTTACTTCTTTACACCTGTTACCTCTAATAGAGCGTAGGCTATCTCCAACAAACTCTGTCCAAAGCCGTCCTTTCCAGTCTTTCTAAATTGCCATCCATTCTTGTTATGTCTGTCTCCGATTTTCGGCACGGTGTTACCTGATCTTCTTCTCCACCTTCCTCATTGAGGGTTCCTAGTTGGAACCTACCTCATGGCGCAGTTTGGTGCCTTTCACAATGTGTCCTATCCAATTCAACAGCTTCCTGACTTCTTCCTCTGCAGGAATACATACCTGTATCTTTTTGATGATGGCTAGGTTTAAGCTGCGTGCGGTCGGACTGTCTTGTCATTTGTATTAAAAACTCCGACTCTGGTGTTGGTTGATAGTTGTTTTGAATTCTGCATGTTGTTCGATTGTCGAGATGCTGTCCTTGCTTTGATAATCCGTGTCTTTTCATCTGTATCAGTTCCACCTTGTTTATCGATGATGCTGCACAGGTATGTCAAGGTTTCCCCATTCCTCGAAGCTTTTCCGTTAAGTGTGATTCGGTTGGTACGTGTGTTGTATCACAGGATCTTGCTTTTCTCTTGTGTATTGCTGCAGAGGCTGCCACCATCTTGATCGTCTCCTCCTTCATTTGTTGTGTGCGGAATAAATGTCCGAATCTCCCAGTTGGTTCCATTTGTTAACTGTGTTCCGTGCTTCTCCTTAGATGTTGACATCTTCCTAATACAGTTGATCTCCAGAAGGAAGAAAAATTGAGGGTAAACAATCTTGTCTGACGCTGGTCTTTACTGCGAACGAGTCTGTCAGCTGTCCCCCATGCACGATTTTACATTTTAATCCATCTTTCAATTGATTGTTCGGCAGTGATCCGTAGCATCACGATTTGGTCTGCACACAATCAATATTCATCCTCCTGATTTTGAAGTTGAGGGTCAACACCAATTGGGAGGTTGGTGGGTGCTGCTTCGTTGTTGGGTGGGTGTTCAGTGGTGCTGATTTTTTCATGAATTCTTCAGTGCTCTACCCACCTTTTTTTCTGTTCTCCAGTATTGGCGATTACTGTACCGTCCTTGCTTTTCACTGGTCGTTCTTGTTTACGATAATTTCACCCAGCTTCTTCGTTTTATCATATAGTTGTCTCATGTTTATTTATCTTGCAGCTTTTTCTGCTATCATGTCTAGGTCTTCCACATATTTGCGTTTATCATCTGTGATGCCCCACTTCACTTGCTTATTTGTTTCTGTGTATTCAGCCGGTGTCGGCTTTCTCTGCTCTTGTTTGCTTGATATTGATGGCTGTCTTCCTGTCGGTGACGGCTTCAGTCTGAGTTAATAATAATCGGTGATATCAAGTAATAATTATTTAAAGAATATTTATTTTTAGTACAGAAATTTCTAAAAATCTTTTTATATCATAAATTCACTCCAGCTGAGTATAAAATAAGGTACCCTTCAAATGTGTAAATATATTTTCCACTGTGTATACAGCTTGTTGAGAAATAATTATGATAAGATTTAGGAAAAATGTTCGTCTGACAGTTTTAATGTCATTTATAACATAATATCAAGAGTAGAGTAATTATCTGTTGTAAAAGCTTGACCTCCCTGAATAATCGGATAGTTTTTCTGAATTTTTAGGTGCACGAGTACAGTCGAACAAATGTCTTTTTTGTGTTTAATTATCTTCCATTAGGTTGGTTCCATTGGCTGTGTATGTGTAAGAGCACACAAGTACCGATTTGAAGTTTTGTGAATTACTCGAAAAAATTTGTATATTGATTTTTTATTTTATAAAAACCCACGTACTATGTAATAGGTTCTAAAAAATCGTTTTATTCTATGGGCATTTTAAAAGTCTTTTTCAATATTTGTATAGATTGTGGGAAGAAGTGACTTACAATTTAAAAGTGGGTAATATCGATGCAGCAACAGATGCTAAACATCGTTTGGAACAGCGGCAGCGAGATTTAGCCCGACAGCGAAGAGACTCAAAGTACACATGGACACCAGAATACTTCCGTGGAGAAGGGGAAAACTGGATTTATAGACAACCTTTGATTCAGCGCCTACACCAATCACCCACGGAACCAAGTACTAGCTGCAAGGTCACCAATGCTGCTTGTTTACCGGATAAAATTGCTAATCCAGTTTCTTGTAACAAGCCAGTTACTGATTCTCCTGAGATGGTTCGTGCTACTACATCAAAGTCTTCGATCCCTGTAATGGAATATTTTCCTAGTCCTTAATTTCCAATTCCATGATTTTAAAATCACAGTTTTTCCGGTTTATCATAATGTATGTAAAGTTTGACAATAATATTTGTTTTGCTCAAAGTTAAGGTGATTTTTTTAATTTTGCTTCCTTTTCCTTGTCTTTTTTTTCTGCACTAATCACGTACATGTTTTTTCAGAACCAGTTTCAAGAATGATTTTGACTATAGTTTAGTCTAAAGGTTATTCACTTATTCTCTCTTTCATTGTTCTATCTTGTAGTATTCGGATTGAGCTTGAATTGATTGCATATTCATTCCATAACAATGCAAACAATATTTTTCCCACTTGCATTCTCTATACATATCTAGTTCTTCTAGTTGTGCTTCACTTTTAATATACTATTTAATTTCGTTATTTGTTTACTTTTTTACCTTAGTTTTTAACGTGAAACTTTATTCAAATTTGGGGTGCATTGTACTACTATGTTCGTAATTTTCATATACTTCCATCATTTTCCTATAACTTGGTTGTTTGTTACTTCTCTTCTGTACAAACGAGGCATTAAATTCCCTTAATGTAGAATACTTACATATGTATTTATCATATGTGAACCATTTCTCTGTAGGCTCATGTTTGTTATGTACTATATGATTTCTGTTACAAGCTGTCGAGGGAGATAACTATTTTCGGTATCTGAATTTTTGAATGCTTGAATCTATTTTTGCTAACTCATTGATTTCCAATCATTCTGAGTTACATTTCCGCTGTTGCTCTTGTTTTCCATATGATATATAGCTGTTTACAGAGACTCGACTTCATTCAACTTTTGCAAAATATGAAATGGGTTTACCCTACTTCCCACCAAACACTTTCTGAAAGTGGATTTGTTCATATAACTGAGTGTATACCTGTACATAATAGACCATTAATTATTATTAAAGGCTCGGAATTATACGAAAAGGTTTATTTAACTAAAGTTGTGATCTTAATTTATTCATTCACTGTAGCTTAGTATCAGATTTCTAAGAAGTAAAGAGTGACTTACAAAAATGTAACTACTTGGGGCTGTCAATGAGCATGCAAAAAGAAATAACACTGGCACATAACTCACTGTTGTTGTGCATTTGTGGTCAATGACAGGTTTGCTCTTGTAAGGTTTTATCGATAAACAAATCCGCCAATGCCTGCCACTGACTCTCTACAACCTTGTGTAAGTTCGCCTTCTTTGTTTATTTATCATATTCATTCATGCTTATCATTAACGAGGTGGGACTTTGTTGACTAATTTACTCTGTCACCTAGTTGCTGTTCAGTAAGTTTTAAAAACATGAATTTTTTCAAATCAAACAGGGTACCTATTCTGACATTGTTCAAGCTAAGACTTCTTGTTTGACAACCTAGGAATTGCATCTTTATTTAATAACACTACACAGCTCTGAAAAATTATAGAGTTTTAAACGTATAGATTTGGAATGTTAGTAGGATGACATCAGTATTACCTTCGTTCGGACATAATACTCAGTCAATGCTAGTTAAGACATCTGCCTCCGATGTCGATCGCTAATGAAAATCAAGTCGCATTATGATGCTATCAACACCCTGAATTCCATGTGTTTTCAGTATTCGTATATGTCGGTTTAAATAATCTAGTTTCTTCCCTCATATTTCCTACAGCTTTTGTCTTTCTGAGTTAATTATTGGAGTTGTTTGAATAAAATCCTCTTTATCTCATCGAAGCTGCACAAGTTGATTGCAAATATTCCCCTATCATTTACGAAATTCGTCAGAAACTAGCGAATGTTTTATTTAGATGATCTACCGTTGTTTGAGTGGTTTTAATAAAGAAGGCTTAGTTACATCCTCCAGTTGAAGGGGCAACTGAGGAAAGAGACATAAACCCTGATCAACATTCCTCAACTGTCCAACATCATAAAATTCTCAATGAAATAAAGCGCCGTTTATATGTTCTATAGATTTACAAAACATGAAAAAGGGTAACTGGAATTCTTTTTTGATTCATACGCAGACGAAGCATACCTTGTTTTACTTGGTAAGTTTTTAATTAGGCGATCGAAAAGATTTTGAGGACCTGCTGAAGGGAGCTAAAGTACCTGCAGGTTGACCTTCCGAATTCACCTCATTTTATTAGCTTCAAAATGCTGATCCGTCGAGAAACCTGGTTTGTCATTCAACTGAACTATAATTAAAATCAGTATTTAGCTAGAACGGTCCGAGGTTGGTCTCCATTCTCAACCGTCAATTCTACATATACTTTCTGACAAAAAGACTGGTACATTAGCGAACCGCCCTTTGAATAGAATTTGATGTCGTGAGGATTTTGAAGTGTTGTCAGAAGGGGCATCGGCCTCGTGACTTCCGAGGGAACTCGGTTTTCATCACGAGACATCATAATTCTTCTTTCCCAGTTCAGAGTTAAAACGGTTTGATTTACTTGTCCCGGTTAGCGTTTCTTCGGCAAGTTAGTTGTTTTGGTCGCCAGCCCCAAGCTTAACCCTCCTCCCTTATCCGGTATTGAGACCGGCAGTAGCCACGAAGGCTCTATTGGTGGAGTTAAAATATATATACCACGACTTCCAAATTACCCAAAATGTCGAAATCTGTAAACTTGATAAAGCGAAAATTTGGAGAAGTCACCCTTTCATCCTATAAACCCTGCACCTCACCCACATTTCTTCCCGTCACTAGTCAATGCTCTGCATGACAGCTCATGCATCTCTTTATACCCTATGGAAACAGTGAAACTCGCAGATATAACAACTACTGTCCCCGCATATGCCAAAATATCAACACAGTATAACATCAGTAGAATTTTCTAAAGCCGAAACCTGAAAGAGCACAAACCAAGTCGTGTAATGATCCATCCGATACCGACAACGATACTCATCCTCAATGCATCGATATACGACAGTTATAAGACTCATTTGCCTAAATTAACGAACAGCTTAACCAATTAGCACCCTTCACGCATATATGGGCCTCAAGTATTGATAGAAACCTCGGGGAACTAAATAAAGCTGGATGAATTCTTGAGACTGAAGCTCAGTAATTAACGATAAGTGTAATATTTTCCTACACCACGATTGCATATAATCTCCTTGACCGCACATCTACCATCAAGCCCAGGGATACCTACTTCCAGGCCTGTGTTATTGCGAACGTCAGAAGTCAAGTCATGCGTCTCAGGAAAAAATCCAGTAAACCAACATGCCCCATTTTGTTCAAACTTGGTCGCTCCAACGACGTCAAACGATTTATCCATTTTAACAAAAATATTTGCCCATTAATCCTGTATAGACACACAAAAGTTACTTCAGATATAACGTTTTGTCAACGTCGTCTGTGAAGGTGAAAGACGACAGAGTCTTATGGCTCTACCACAACGACCATTCAACTAAAGACGACTCCCAACGCCATAATGAAAAACAAACACATCGATTAAGAACAAGGATTGAATGCACATGCGACAAATCAACCTGCAGATTTTGATGAGTCAATGAAAATAAATAAATTCATGCATATGGTTGCATCTGTTGTACCCCTAGCCTCTCTAAGTTTCAGGACTGGTAACACAAACAGTTTCGACGAACATCTAGATACTCACACTAATAACGATTATCCGAGCCCTTGGTACACCGCACAACCAGCGAACTATGGAGTTATTAGTAAAAGTGACAGTAAAATATTTTCCACCACAAACCCTATCTTTAATACCCCTACAGTGAAATCTCGTTACGTTCCACCTAACCAATCCAACTGGTAGAAGTGACCTTCGAATTTAGAAAGGTTCACAACAACAGAGTATTGTACAGGCAAACCTTCGGAAGTTGAAAGCCATCCATAAAAATGTAACCAGAGCTACGAGCTGTCCTAAAAAACTATACTGCAAACGCTGCGAAATCAGCACATTCTAGATCTTTCCGGGATACAGCCACTTTTATTATCTCTGACGGGGCATATATCCTAGACCATTTTACATCACATGCAGAATGTAAAATCGCTCTACCCAAACAACCTTAATCAGGCAACATTCTTACTCTACCTCCGGTCAAACAACCACTCCAAAATCTTCAGTAATTTGCTTGACATGTCCCCTCTAAACCCGTGTCACCAACAAAAAAGCAATGAACAACAATTGCTTAATTGCAAATTTATATCGTACCCGTCGACTTTAAAATAACTCCTTTACTCGTTGTGATTGCAGAGCATCAAATGGATGGTTTACAAAGACGAAGTGGAGGATGTATCATATTTACACACTTTAACCCAAACTCACACTTACGTGACGTGTTAGAATTAAGCACACCAGATTATGTGTAAATCGTTCTAAAAACCGTAAAATGCAATTTCGTTACTGATAGGCTGTGTTTACTTTCAGGATAATGCAGCAACAAGGGATTTATTAATATTGTCAGAAGCCTTCACGTTTGTTTGATAATTACTGTTTACAGGCAAGCATTTTTGTGAGGGCTTCAATATTCCTGTAAACTCTTTGTTTCCAACAAAAGCAGGTAAACGACTCGAACCTTTTATTGAATGTGTAGAGCTTGGAAAGTGCACTCAAAATTTTGAAAGCCCCATCAGAAATGGATTTAGTCTACAATAAGTACCTCATTATTAATACTGTATGCATTTGAAAGATGTACTCAGGCAACGTTCTTAATATCGTGAAGTACGTTCATGATAAAAAAGCAAAACTACAAAACGCGCAGGCACAAAAGCTCGTAGCGACTGTCGTGTAACCGGACAAACGTCTGCTTCAGATGCATGGACTAGATTACCTTCCTTGCGATATTCATTACCGACGAACTGACATTTCGTAAGTAGAGTTTTATTTCATGGCGATACTTAATAGAAAGCATAATGCCACATTTATGGTGGTGATGGAGGAAACAGCACAGTAGGAGGTAATGCAGCAGCTACTAAAGAACACTCTGAACTCGGCATTTTATTAAGCATCACCATGAAGTACCATTCTGCATACAAAAATATCGGATTCAGATCTGAGTATTGATTACTCCGGAAGCTTAAAATTTCAAGAGCGTGCCTCTACTATTATCTCTAAGTCTAGACAGCTAATGATATTCATAGATGAGAACTTCTTGACAAATTAGGCTAGACTTACACTCTTCAAGATGTATATTAGTTCTCCCTCGGAAACTGCTGATCTTTCTTTTCAAGCATGAACACAACAGCAAAGATGGGAATGGAAAATGTTCAAAGAATATTCACTCTCAGATTGCTAGGGTGGAACCATACCCTCAACTACACATAAAGATGCAAACATCTTCCCCTAGAAACTCAACGGCTTCGTCAATCGAGAAACAACTGTCGGTTGTTTTTATTTCCTGTACTTCCAGTTCAATAAATTTTTACTTCCTCAATTTATTAACATTCAAACACCGTGCATTCTTAGATATCGCTTTACTCAGGTGTTAAAATGCTATTATTCTTGATATTATCTAATTGGCTGCTTACCCTCCCATTTTTAAGCTGCCTATTAACTGACCCGTATATTACAATTTATAGCATTAGTCAACATAGTAGCATTCTGATATGATACATGATTATATGATCCAACATGTAGAAGCTAAAGTTGTCTGGTTTGCGTTTAAAGTGAAGGTGGTAGAAACAGTGTATTCCAACACTGTGTACAAAAAATAGAGCATGGACTTAAACATTTATCAAAGCATATCGCAAACTCGTGACAGCCAAACATCACATCTGACCAGCAGTCATGACAGTTGGATGATAACCTCGATCCACAAATGTATGCCGAGCAGAACATTTTGTTTGCTCGTTGGTCCTTTCGATATAGCAGGATGTAAGGAACCAGTGTAATTGATGGTACTTTTCCAAGTCAGCTACGTCTTATACACATTAGTAACCTTCAAGTCTTTTCTTTTTCTATCAAGCAATCCTGCTACAAGCTGATCTGATTTCATTCATGACTTCTAAGGTAACCGAGTTAAAATAAACAGTCGACGATATCTTGCTGAAGCATCAAATCACTGAGCCTTCGTTATTGTATTCTGTAAACAAACACGATTTCTAACAATTCAGCCTTTTTGAATCTCCGCTGTTATTGAGGTTATTTGCCTATTCGTTATCTTATTGGTGACTTGTTTTCAATAACCTAAGTGCGCGTGAACAGTTAGTTTTTTAACATATAAAGAGAAAGTGTTGATTAATCATACCTTCGTTTGATTCAAAAACTTATTTTTTGAGTCACCACTTCTTTAAAAACAAATATCTTTTGTTTTTTTCCCAAGTCCCTTTCTTGCTGTTTTTAGCACCTCATCCTGCACCTTGATATTCCCGGATTCTAACAGTTGCTTTACCCAGGAGCCTTTCAAGTTACTATCTATTGAGTTCCACCAAGGAGATCATTAAACTTTCACGCCTTCATTTCTTGTTATATACAGACATGTATTTAACTTGCACTGACTCTCAACCAGCAATGGCTGATCGCAACGCGACCGACGTAACTCACGCTAACTTTTGCATCGCAAATTGTAGAGTCTGAAAGATTATCTGAAATTTTATGTGAAAAACATTAGCGCTCTATAAAAAATTATTGTATCTTGTGAAATGTTTACGTGAATGAACAACCTTTCATAGTAACTGTGTCCTTCTCGTGAGTCGGCATGTTTATAATAACACGTTGTAATTTCACTATAAATAAATAACAATAATTATCATCGCCTTTAGTTTATGGACTGTATTTCAAATGTGCTTGGTTCAACGTAGGGTTTTCAAGACACTTCTGCTTTCCCTTACTTTTGTGTGAGGTTTCTCTTCTTACCTCTTGCTCTAGATTATATGCATAAATACTTCACCAAAGTTAGAGTGAAGCGATAGGGTACACCAAACAAGAAGCAAAGTGGCTGTATTGATAATCAGCCATTTCAAAGCCGTGTGGCCTTACGATACCCATATAACTGAGGTGATATAATCATATTGATGTTGTTTCCACACAAATGGCACGAATTACTTGATTAGAGGGATTGACCGGCCTCCTTTGGGTACTAATGCTCAGAAAGATAAACCGACTGAGGAAATACTGCAACTGCCACTCCTTGGATTTGGTCACATTCTGTTAGCAGGAGATTTCAACACACTATCTTTAAATCCCAGCTATCAGTCCGCAACTCTCACTGGTTGGTTTCAAAGACAACTTGGCGCAGCCATCAGAAGTTCTGCGCTTACTGAGCATAAATGCAGTGCCACTAGGTTGACTAAGGAGGGAAAATCCACACAGCGAAATTATTTGTTGACACATGATCAGCTCTTGGTTCAGATTGTCGATGTTCGTACCCTAGTAAAGTGCAGTGACCATAGCACAGTCTTGTTTGACGTTTTCATAGACTAAACAATTGGGCCGGACGAAAACAAACCCTACCTGTGCTACACTAGGTCGAATTAAACTCGCATGAGAGAGAAGCTTCTACTTGCTCTATGGCCACGGAATTTCAGAGACTGAGAGAAGATGACCTCTGATAAACATTGAGAGACACAATCAATAATGCTGTCCTAAATAATGTGCCTGTCACACCATACTTGGAAATAGAAGAACATGGGCTGGGTCGGCAATGAACGCTTTCTAGAGGAGAAGGAGAGAGCCTGGCACTGGTGGAAGGTTTCCATGAAGGATTTCGGTGGTAGTTCTTACTTGGCATTGAGAAAGAGATGCAATACTAAAGTTGGAAATGATAGGAGACGCTTCGAGATGAAGCTAACGGTGCAAATACAGTCAAACATGTGATTAGGTTCGTGACCGAAAGAAAACCTACGAATCACGGATTGTTTTCTCTTGGAGGTCCGATTGGGCAAGACCTCACCAGTCGCACCATTACCAATACTATTAGAATGAAAGGAAGCTCAGGTTAACGGACAGACAAGAGAGTGCGTGGTTAAGAACGAAATACTCCACGAAGCTCAGCACGGGATTCGGAAATGCAGGTCATACGCATCCAGACTTCACATAGCATTTCACAGTTGGACATCCTGCTTGGTGCGAAACATACCGCTGCATATAATATTTATAGACTTTGAACAAGCCTTTGACAGAGTAACTCACACACGCCTGATTGCGAAGGCTGTGGGAATGGGCTTCAATAACCCACTCCTATCTTGGCTCAGAAACTACCTTGAGAATAGAAAGTCACGTACCAAAATAAATAGAGTGCTCGAGGGTTAGTGAGTCTGAACATCGTGAGTTTCACAGGGAACCATTTTAGGTGCATTTCTCTTTCACATTTCAGCTAAGTGATCACCAATCCGGTAATGTGATAGCTGCTGATATCCAGAAAACCTGCTAATTCAAATCTCGGGAAATGCAACTCCCGACCTACTAGAATCAGACAGTCCAGTGGCCTGACCCTCAATCATTAGATACTACCAAACAACTGAAATCGTACCGAAAGAACGATAATCGAGCGCAAAAAAATCAATTAGTTTATACTCGCTCGTAAAAGAGATATTGGATATTGAAGTTGTTATAGATATGAGTGTTGCGTCTTTTAAAAAGTGAACAATACGGATTACTAAGAGCTTGTCTCAAAATGAAATTTCCTGATAATAAAAATCCCCGAACTGAAAAACTTCAAGAGAATGCTGAAAACCTATGTTACGAATCTCAGGATGCAAACGAACAATATAGCAGTTTAAATGAAAACTCACATCATAGGGAAGTTGAAGTTAGAAATGAACAAAATGATCTGATTGTCCTTGATCCAGATCATGTGGGTCTTTTTGATCCATTTCTTACTTTCTAAAATAGCCTCTGATGAGGCGTTTTCAGGAGTCACTAAGAAGTATGCTTACCAAACATATTAACAGTACGGAAATTAATCTAAGAGAAAAAGTATGCCTTATATATTTTCTATTTTAATAAATAGAATGAAGCAATTAAAAGAGAAAAGGCAGACCACATTGAAGTCGGTTGCGATTTGTATGGACTTCAACAGGAACTCGCAAAGTAAAATGAATGGATTTGAGTAATTTTTACTGCGTTTGCAAAAACGAAGATATACGGTTTGCTTTTCACGTTATTTTAAAAAAATGTGGATCTTTAGTTTGTTACAAAGATATTTCATGACTTTTTAACTGAAATGTGCTCAGAATTAAGATTTGGAATAGAGTTTTACTAATCCGAAATTATCAACGTCATTTTAAAACCTCACGGCTTCGTTTTGGTTTTCATATTTCGTGATCACTGTAGTTGTGCAGAATTAGCAACTTTTAAAACTCATTTTTAATAAGCCTGAAGTTTTTTAGCATTGGAAGATAGTGATAAACAGTATCAGTAATACTGTCAAAAAGGTGGCAATAAACCATATTTATATATTCAGGTTTTCTTTAAAGGCCAAAAACTTTGACTCACGGACAACATCTAAAGATTTTTATTTTAGCATTCAAAAATATTCAACTCATTCAAACGAAGAAAAATTCTGAAATGTCATAAACATGTCCTTAAAATTCAAACGGTTTCAAATGAACTTCATTTTAGGCCGAAGTTGATTATAAAGTGAGGTTAGATAAAATTTTCGCACAGCTCTCCTTGATTTTGTTTGTGCTGAAGATTATAACAGTTTGACAACAAACGTAGTAAATTACAAATCAAAGTTATAGAAATACGGACAAATGATGTGGTTAGTTTATTTTTAGTTTTGTGCGAGTTAAATTTATATTTGCTGCAATGAAAACAAAAGCCACTTCATTCAGTTTAGGATAATTTCCTGTAATGAATACTGATGAAGCTCAAATTCGGCAGTGACAATAAGTTTGCTAGTACAATTATCTTCATTTAAACCGTTTAGATGTTATTTCCTTATTGACCAGCACATAGTAATCTAGTGTTGAATAATTAAGAATCCGACATTTATAAAACTACTTCTGATATAGCTAGTGAACACAAATGAAACAAGAGTGGGTCATTTAGATTTTATATAGTCTCATTGGTAATTTTTAGATTAATTACTAAGACTGATTTTTTAAAATAGCCTTATGAATAATCTAACAAAGTCGCATCCACATTTGTCTACTTTGAATTAAAGGTTTCAGTCACAGTTACAAAATAAACATAATGAATATGCAGAATATCATGGAAAATATGACGATGCTCAGAATAAACTCACAGCTCTTCGTGAAGACTACCAAACATTTGTTAAAATGATGTTAGAAGAGACGAAAAAAATGCACTCTATGCGTGATGAAGTTGATGCATTATGTTTGCGACTATATTATCTAAATAGAGCTAAAGAAGACGTGAGTGGGGATTTGATAGTATTGCAACGAGCAGCTGAAAAAGTCAACACTGATTTTAGTAAGGTGAGGTGATATATATAGCCTTTCTCACTTTCAAAAATTAAAGCATTATTTTTAATTAAAAACGCCCTTACTTCACAATTCTAACTGAATTTTTATTTTTTTCTTGAAGCACTCAAATCTGCCTTGAGTTTGATGGCTTTGCGATCCAAACCACTTTCATGTTTTTTGGGTGTTCATTTGTTTTTTCGTAGTGATGGACATCAAAACAGATTATTTTTGTTACAAAATTATGAGTGACGTTCTCGTTTAGACTAATTAATTACTGAGTATTTATCACTGTTGTACATTTTAAGTTCCACTGCTGAATGAACCATACAAATCAAATGAAAATTTGGTTGCTTGTCTAGATGACTCGAGTTAGCATGTACTGAATTTTGAAAAGCGATGGTTGGAGGTAGCTGATATGAAGCCACGCTACTTGATACATTTATAAAAACAGGATTTAAAATTAAAAAACTGAAGTTTATACAACAAAAAAAAGGAAAAAAACTGATGACAGTTGAATAACCAGATATACTGATTTATTTGCAAAGGTGTGTGGCATTTGATAACTAGTCAATAAATATCATGTACAACTAAAGTAGTCGCGAAATAAATGAGTTTTACACAGAATTATCACGAATCAATGATTTAATGAATAAATATCACGCTAAATGAGTAAATGATATTGCTCTTTATCTTATCCTAACACCATCATATTGTTTCTAAATAACCCGCTCTAACATCTAGTTCCGATGAACCATATTAGTATGAGAAAAAATCCGTCCATTTTATTGGGGGAAATGTCTGGCTACATGGTTTTTGAGGCTACTGCTGGCACCAAGCCTGGATTAATGAAGAGCGTTGAGCGTTGTGTTGACTAACCTATACCGTAAAAACGCTAACCAGAAAACATAATTCAAGCCAACTTAACTCAGACCCCCGAGTTTAAACGTCTTCATTTAGAAGAGTTATGACGCCTCACTGTGAAAGCCCAAGTTTCACTAGAAGTCATGAGGCTGGTGCCACTTCTCACAAGCAGAACAACAATTGTCTTAGGTACGTGGAATGTTCGGACAATGTGGGAGACCGAAAGACTGTTCCGAATTGCTGCAGAAATGAAAAGATACAACCTGGAGGTGTTTGGAATCAGTGAGACGCACTGGACGCAGGTTGGACAACTAAGATCAACTTCAGAACAGCTGCTGTTATACTCCGGCTATGTAGTAGAAAATGCCTCACATACGCAAGGATTTGCACTGACGCTATCAAAACAAGCACAAAAGCACTGACAGGATTGGAATCCCATGAACTCAGGGTCATCAACATACACTTCAAAACAAAGAAAAAGACACTACAATGAACGTCATCCAATGCTATGCACCTACCAACGACTACAATGACGACGTTAAAGATCAATTCTATGAGAGGCTGCAGTCAAACGTAGTGAAATGCCCAACAATGGGTTTGACCATTCTGATGGGAGACCTAAATGCCAAGGTTGGCATGGAAAATATCGGATATCAAGACATCATGAGGCGACAGGAACTGGGAGAAAGGAACGAAAACGGTGAGAGATTCGCAAACCTATGTGCCTTGAACAAACTGCTCATTAGTGGCTCGACATCCCCACATAAATGCATACACAAGCTACACGGATTTCACCGGATCATACCGCACAGAATCAAATCCACCATATTAGCATCAATAAAAATCTTGGAAGGATGATGGAGGATGTGAAAACCAATAGAGGAGCTGATATAGCCTCAAATCATCACTTACTAGTCGCCAAGATGAAACTGAAACTCAAAAAACACTGGACAACGGGTGGACAGCATCACAAAAGTTTAATACAGCCTTTCGTAAGGATACTGAAAAACTCAAGATAGAATTACAAGTAGACCTCAGCCCCACTGAACCCATCCAACATCGAAGCAGCACCCACAGACGTCGCAATAATTTTTGACCCACCAACAATTGAAGAGATCGGTAATGTAATCAGACAGATCAAGAAGGCCAAATCGTGAGACCAGACAACATTCCATAAATGGCATTGAAAGTAGACACTACAGTAACCAAAAGACACTTCACATTCACTTCAGTAAGATTTGGTAGGAATAACAAGTACGAAGAGACTGAAAAGAAGAGCACCTGATGAAAATACCAGAAAAAGGCGATCTCAGTAAGTGTGAGAACTAGAGAAGTATCGCACCTCTTTCAGTACTTGACAAAGACTTCAAATGGTTGTTGATTAACAGAATGAAAGACTCCGTGGACACCCAACTTTGAGATCGACAGTTTGGATTCCGTCAAGATTGATCGTATACCAACCGAATTGCTATGCTACGGATCACTGTGGAACACTCATCATTACCTTTGACTAAGAGAAAGCATTTGATAGCGCAGACAGAACAACACTATGGAGGATTCTCCGACACTACGGTGTGCCTGAGAAGATTGTCGACATCATGCGGAATTCTTATCATGGATTAAAATGAGAAATCGTGCACGAAGGACAGCTGGCAGACTCGTTTGAGGTGAAAACCGGTGTAAGGCAAGTTTGCTTACTCTCACCCTTTCTCACGGTGATCAACTGGATTACGGAGATATCAACATCCGGAACGAAACACGGTATACAGTGGATAGCCAGGATGCCGCTGGACGATCTGGACTTCGCAGGTGATCTGGCTCTTCTATCTCACACGCAGTAGCCTCAGCATCAGCAGGTCTCAGTATACACGAAGGGAAAAGCAAGATTCTTCGATAAAGCACATCAGCCAACCAAATCACACTTGATGGAGATGCCTTGAAGGACGTAAAATTCCTTACACATCTAGGCAGCATCAGTACCTTTAAAATAGTCAATAGTCATTTTTGTCTGTTAAGAATGTTTTTACTATTTTTCGTCAGCCACTAGATGTTTCGTTAAGGAATTTATTAACTTAAAGCAAACTAGCTTCTCGAAAATGCGATATTTTACTAGGCTGGCCAATCATATGAATCGATAACTTGGTTACGTTAGTAGAACGGTCTGAATCATGTAATGCTGCCGTTCAGTTAAGATGGAAATACCGTTTGCCTGGAGTAACTAAGTGTGTCCTTTACCGCTTATTACTCATTTTATTGAAATACCGAAAATTTCAAAATTTTTCGTATCTTACAGTTTGAGGAGGAGAAACTTCGTCAGGATCTTTTGGTTGATCGTTTACAAACCAAAGTTGATCGACTAAAAGATGATATTGCCTTATATGAAGCTCAAATAGCAGCTCAAGAAATTGAAATGAATGCGAGTCAAAATCTTTTATATGAAGCTGAAGCTCAAATAATTGCAATTAATGTTGATAAATCTCATTTACTTACTCAATGGAAAACTAGTTTGCTTGGCTTACGGCGCAGAAATGAAGCATATACTGATTTATTAACAGCTTATAAGTAAGGCTCATTCAGATTGTAAATGGTTAATATTTCATCTATTATCGAACGGAAATCGATCATAGACTTAAGAGTTTGTGAGTAACTTGTGGAATATTCAACTACTTTACCGTTTATTATTTTTTCGGGTAGACTGGTTACAATGCAGTGGTTGAGGTATTTTTATTTTATGGAGATTTTGAATGATAAACTCAATCCTACAAAGATGAAACAACCCTCGATTGATGGTACCGGTTCTAGTAACAACTTGAGTGACATACCCATATGAGATTTTAAAAGATCATGATCACTTTCGAATAAATTCCCTTTTAATGCATCACGTGACAATAAATAATGGTAATGGTTAGAGGGCATAGATATTATTCTTAGCTTTACGGATTGAAGAATACATGTCTTTTGTACACCACTATATTTGTTATAACATAGAATGACTCGTACCTCATAAATAGAATTACTAATCACTTTATTTTAATGACTACACGTACATCACCTATTTTTTCTTAATAAACCTGGATGTAACTTGGTAATTCTGTAGATAACTTCCGTTATTGGTTAGTAGACCATGGTACTAGATTTGGTATTCCTTAATATATCTAAAGAGCTACTATTAATGTGAGCGCCAAGTACCTATAAGTATCAGTTTTCTTTGATTTGCAATAGAATAATTATGTAACACGTAGCCCCTATCCAAGTAAACAATGGCAAATTTCATATTGTTTGAGAAAACAAGTGTTATGTGCTATTTGTCTAAGCCAGTCTTCTATACACCTTTGTTTCATAATTTTCAAAGCTTACTGAAAACTATATCATTTTTCTGAGTGGATGTAGCTGTTAAGATTATTATAGTCTACACAAACCTTGTTATAAAATACTCATTGTTTACGATCTAAATCAAACTAGTAGAAGCCTTAAATATCATTTGAATTTTCGGGCAACTAATTATTTACTGTCGGATACCTATAATAAAACTATATCTGTAGATTACAAAAGTAACTAGGATCATTGTCCGCCGACTGATAAGCTATTTTATTTCAGGTTTTAAGACATAAGTAATAACTTTTTACTAAAAAGCTTGTTAGTTTTGTAAAGCGTGATACTAAACTACCTACTGCTGTAAATTTTATGAAAATCAGTAGTTTACACTGCAGAACATAAAATAAAGTAGATGCTAACGACTATGCATGGCTACTTAGCTGAGTTGCTTAAACATTATCCTTGATCCAGTCATGCTGGTTTTATTAACAGAACGTTTAGCTCATGTTTGTCTCCAAAATCAGTCAACTAGTTTACAGACTGCAAACTATTTTGACATAATCTAACTCAGAATGATTGATGAATAGCTTTCATTGTATTCGTTCAGATATAAATGTGACTCGAATCTAATTCATTCATGAATATACTAAATTATTCAATAATTCACTTTACTTCATAAAAGTTACATTCTCTGCACTTGCCAACTAGAAGATAAACACATGAAAATCGTCGTTTTAGTTAATTACTTGTAACTGATGCAGTAAGCAACTGAAAATTAAGTACAATTCAAATGAATATAACTTACCACAACACTCAGTTGATCTTATTTAACTACTTGTGGACTAAATTGTGTGTCGCTTCACTTTTGTTTATTTTTTTTTATTTGATCACGACTACTGTGTTACTTTCTGTTTGATTTTTTAAAATATTACTATTAATATTTTCAGTAAGCTGAAAGAAGAAATACTTGTTTTAGAAAATGAACAAAATGCACATAAGCGTTCAATTAGCAAAGAACAAGAAACACACGAACAGTTAACAGGATTACAGAATAAAAATGAATCAGACTTGAATACTTTACGTAAACAATTATTACAAGCAGAAACAAAACTTGAAGCTGATAAACAAGCTTACACAACATATTCAAGAATCTTACAGGAAACTGAACGTAATCTTCTCAATGCTAAAACAGTAAGATACTCAGAAATATTTTGCAAGCACTATTCTAATAAAAAAATTTTGATGCAAAGAACCATAGATTATTTCTCAACGATAGAAGCCAAAGTCATTTCAAACATAAATGTTTACTTTAAAAGGGAGCTTTTTACATTAAAATAATGCACACTAAAAAGTATTGTTAAAGAGAAATTTACTGAAAAACATATGTTCTGCGAAAAGATTAATTCATAATAAATACTGGCTTATTCTAAATATGACTTAGACCTCCATTTTGTGAGTCTTTGTTGCACTAGGACACATCACTACTCCATGGAGTATTTATTCAAAAGTATTCATATCTTCAATCCTAAAGAAGATGTCGAAAAGCTTGACTGGTAATCAACATTTAAAAAGTAGGTCAGCAAGCATTCACTCTATTCAATGTTTACCAAAGTTCTTACGACTGAAATTTCAGTCTGAGAACAGTAACTTGTTGGATTTTAGCAGAGTATTTATGCTAACTTTTTCAGGTTGTCTAGTTTTTTATTTATGAAATCTTTTCAGAAATAATAGAAGCAAATGACCTGGAACTGGCAACTAGTGTGCCTAGTCGGCTTCAAACTGAAAACTGACAATATTATTAAAATTCAAAACTTTTGATTCTGATTATGTTATTATATTACTATATTTCTTCCTAGTCTAGGTTGGCGTGAATGTTATAGGTTTAATTCAAAATATTACTCTTAAGGTTTGGTTAGAAAAGTGTGAGTTATAATAACTTTTAAAACCCCTTGAAAACATTCACTCATTCTTTAATTGTCATACAGGTAGTTCTCCGTTCAGAGGCTTTTCGGTTGATATCCGTACATTTCCAAGTTTTGAATTCTTCATTCCCTTAAATATTAACTTGATTTATTGTATTACTCCCACACTGACTGCTCAATGTTACACTTAATTAATACTATGTCCGTTTTTCTCTTGTAAAAATTGTTTTGCCTCGATAATGGAAACGTACGATTTTAAAGTTATTGAATAACATTATTAGTGTTTGTAATAGAAAAGTATGGTCAAGATTTTAAAATAATATAAAATTCCTCTACTCTTGGTCTTTTAGTGAGTTCGTCTCATAGACGATAAAATCTAAATACATATCCTGATAAATTATTGGGTTACGTGGGGTTCTACGGAAAACAGAAGTTATCGTACATACATTTGTCTTTGTTCTATCGAGTCAAAGTGAATTTTGCAACTGAGAAAGACAATTACTTGCCTTTTCATTTAGCAAACTAATATTGTGGTCAAAGCAGCGTAAGAGAATTTCATCACTAGTTATTGAAAAAATATGATGTTCGATTTATTTAGGTTGATAAAAAGCTGTGGCCATATAAGTTCCACATTTTAATATTGAAAAACTAAAATTTTTAAGCATTTACTCAAAATTGAATGTACCTGAAACTCAGGAAGTCACTTTTGATGTAACTGAAAATATTACTCTATACACAATTAATCATTTTGAAAATACTTTATAACTGAAAATTCTATTTCTTTGATAGGAAAACGGTATTGCTCAAAAAAGTTTAAACAATATCCGTAAACAGATTGAGAAGAAGGTAATAGAGAAGCAAGATATAGACAAAAAGATCTCCGAAGAATTAAGAGATCGGTTAACTGCACAAAAAGCTGCTAGTTATGTTCACAAAATTAATGTTAACATACAAGATCAAAGTAGAGAACTGCTAACCCAAGTAAGTGATTTTGTATTTCTTAAAAATCAAAGAATGATTTTCTTTCTAAGAAAACGTCCATAAGCTATTCAAAAAACACGATTTATTTCATCTTGCTGTTTAACATTTATGGATAAACTGAACTGTATTTTTTTATATATGCAATCAATTTCTTCTATTTCATTTCATTAAATACCGAACCCTCTGATACATGCCCCTGTGCCTCATAAGTTATGCCATTATATAATTTAGGTTCGCTCTGACCGTTTCTGCTACCTTGACGTGTTGGTCGGGCTTGTTTATCGTGATCAACCGATCAAGCTATATTGTCTGAAACATGTGTTCTTTTACGTCTTAAAATTCCAGACAGGTTGACTGAACAATGGAAAGACTAAAAGTAGCAACTTAAGGTCTGATGGGAAACCCCTAGTGCTGACTTTGTGTTTGGCATAGGGTCCCTCAGGTAACCAACATTTGCAGTGATGCTGCCTTCTCACAAGGAAGGAAAGGATCAGAAACGGCTGACCCTAAAAACGTCACACCTCATCTTACCTCATGGAGATGACACGTTCAAAACTTCCTATAAACAGGCCATGAGTTGTCTCAAGCAGTTGTCATCTGGGTTATTATTATTATTATTCCTGTTCTCCGGAAACCCCACTCTAAACTGCATGTTGGAGCTGTGCTGTCAGGATATTGTGTCAAATAGAACAACAAGCTTTATTAGTTAGGACTTCAGAATTTCTGGCCATCGATATATACTGCGTCGCCGAAACGCGCGGGCGTGATCCGAGTACAGTGACCGAATAGACTTCACCTTGTCCAAAAAAAGAACCAACTCAGTCTACGCTGTATCTGGAAGCGCCTCTGCTTCTTCCGATGGCCTCGCTGGTGTATGTGCAGCATTGAGTCTTCGTGTAGAGCTAGTTTTCTTTGACTTGATCCCAGTTGATAGTCTCTTATGCGTTACCCGACTCTTCGTTGTTTCTGACTAAGCTCCCACTGACTGCAGTCCGGGCGAGGTAAAAGATGAATTTTACAGAAGACTCTCTAACCTACTTCAGAACGTTAAACGCTTTGATAAAGCAATAATGGAGGGTGACTTTAATAATCAGGTGAGTAGATTAAACAAAACTGAATAACACCTAGCTGGTGTGGCTCAAATAACAGGTAGTTGTGACGGTCTGTTGCAGGTACGCTCAGATAACTGTCTGTTTTTGAAAAACACCAGCTTCAGCCATGAAGATAAATATCCTCTGAATGACGCCCCCTAAAATCAACTCACAGCTGGACCCATCTGGACTACGTCGCTTTCAGCCACCATAAAGAGGCTCAATAGAAGACTGCAGCTCATTCTTGAATATGTGATTAGATTCAGGTGAAGCTTTAGTACGACCGCATAATTTTCTGCGTCTTAATAGACCTAAGAAAGATAGCGAGAAAATCGTACAGAGTTCTATTTAAAGATAGAAATGTTAAGTGTAAATTTCAGAAGCAACTAGAAAAGCGGTAAGGCAGCTATGTTAGTGATGCTCACCGCGAGGCAGTTTGCAGTGTTATCCAAAAAGCTGTGGAAATAACAGAGGTTTGTGAGAACCAGCGGATTTAAGTAATATGTCTTGAACTTAAAGATGCTCGGAAACTCATCCTGTCTGGATCTGAACCTGATGAGGACCAAAATCAGCTTATGCGTACGCAAAAGCATGCGCAATGATCGCGAACACTGGTGGGTAGTGAAAGCCAAGTCATTGAAATGTGTGCCAAAGAAATACATTAACCTTGCAGAGGCTCTATATTCGGACACTACGAGTCAAAGCTTGTGGAGAGCTGTCATCAGAACCGATTTCTTGAAGCGGTGTTCGCCAGCACTGTTCATCTTTTCCATTCTTGTTTAACTTTACTATTGACATGCTTTTAGATACGGCACTTTCATCGTCTGACTTTTCAGGAGTTGAAATCTTACTGCTTCGCTCCGACCTAACATACGGATGTGAGACATGGTATGTAAGAATAGAGGGTATACGTATGTTTATAATATTCTATCAAAGGATTCTTGGAAGCATTTCTCATATATCCTGGGACCGTCGAGTTAGTGTTGCTGCAGTTAGAAATAGGGTATTAGTTAAAGAAGCAAAATTAATTGATCAATTAATGATACTTCGTCAGCTGATGTGGTTGGGACATGTGTTGTGAATTCCTGAACACCGACTGTCTAGACGAGGTATGTTTTGTGGTGTAGGAGTAGGTTGGAAGAAAGCTAGAGGTGGCCAGCCAAAAACATGGTACAAATCCATGAAATCACTGAAAAGTGGATTGAGCCATGTTGCTAGGGTGTAGACAACCTGTTTTAAGTCCTTGTGACAATCGTAACCAGTGGTTAGAGACTTCGAATGACATGATTCAAAATCGCTTGCAATGGCGCAAATTTATCCACTTTTTGTTTTATTTCAAATCCTAGTCTTATGAATTCCTCATCATCTTTATCTTCCTGTTTTCCTTTTAAATTTATTTCACTGAGGTATACTTCTCTAATGATATCTGCGATTCCTAATTTTCTCCATTATTGCTAATATTGCTATAACCTTTACTACTGTGTGATTTGAAGTGACTGTTCGATCTCCGTGCTAATGTGGTATGGCAACTTGAACTGACATACCTACTTGCCAAGTTCTACGTTGTTGACGACTTACTAACTTTGGTTGATTACAACCAAGTCGAATCACTTACTATTCTTCAATCAGATCACATTTACCTCATAACATGAAATTTCGTATGAAGCGTTTGATTACAGTACGTTAATAATGAGTAATTAATTCATCATATACATCTGAATACGACATTATTCACATCATGTGCAGAATGATTTTGTGAAAGGTAAAAGTTTTGAGAAGATAAACAGGCAAATAATGTGGTGGATAATACGGTGAACAAATTCGTACAAACCTATTGAATATTTAGTTATATATATATATGTATTTGTATTTCTTCTCACTTTCTTATTTCCATTTTTAAAAAAAGATCGTACAAATGGAAAACCAGATTGCTAAAGAGGAATTAGAAGCAGCGCATAAAAAAGCCAATAATATGCAACAGCAGGAAAAAGTTGATGAATTAGAACGAGAAATCGATAACACAAATCTATTAATCACTAAATTAGAAAGTGAAATACATCATGCTAATATTTTAGTTGAACGTAAACAGGGGAATATTGATATATTGAACAAGAAATTGGAGCGTTTAATTCATGACTGTGGTGTAAGTATTCAATCATGAAAAAAATTTATTTCTACAACCATTGAAATGATATTTCTCTATGATGTTTTAAATGAAATACACTTTTATCTTAATTTCAAAGTTTTAAACAAACAGTCTAGTATATTATTTTGAATTAGATACATCTTCAAAAAGTTAATTTTATTGAAGTTTATTGTAGATAAAATCACAATTGCTAAATATATTCCGAATATATGCATGATTCATCAGCATATTGATGAATATTGTGTTTTTATGACGTCTTAACGATGAGAAAGTTTGTTATTTACATTTTAATATGCTAGGACGTTAGCTTACATGGTTCAATTAAATTTCTGTTTGGAAATCATTATGATGAACAACAATGATATTAGTAATAACTTAATGATAAGACTGTACAAAAGTAGCCACTAAATATATGGAACCTGATCCATGAAAAATGTGAATAGCAACAGCCTTTAGAGCCAGCCACTAAACCAAAACAGAAATTTAGTCATGATGTGACTGAGACTTACTCGGTAAATAAGTTCGTCTTCCTGTCTTATCAACTACGGGTCAAACATGTTGATCGGCTATATATCTCATTGATAAGTCTTCAAAAAAGTTTAAAAACGAGAAAAAATCACTTACTCAACCAATTGCGGGTTTTTTGTCCACAGTATTCTGATCAAACTTTATGTGTAGCATATTCTATTTCATACAGTGTATAACTATATTCATTGCGAGTATAATCCATTAGTTCATATTTTTTTAAAAAAAAACAATGTATACGCTAAACTAAACAATGTAATTAATTACAAGGTAGTGAGTGGCATGTTGGCATAACATATGACCATCTATAAATTATGACGTTCACGAATTTTCACCTACAATTTAGTTTTGTATCCAAATGGTCAGTAAAAGTTTTCCAAGTTATTTAACGCCTTAGTAGAATGTTTAATTAATGCTAAAACTAAGTTAAAGTTTCGAGAAAAAGTTATTACAGACTCTATGCTTTTAATAAGATTTATTTTATTATTAGGGTCAAGAAATTGGGCCGTTGGATGCACAAGTAAACAATTTAAATAAAGCTGTTGGACAAAAACAAGATGAGATTGGCGAACTTGAACAACAATGGTTAAGAGAACAGAATGAATTAGTTGTAAATATCAATCAACGTGATAAATTAGCTGAGTCTGTTACTAGAATAAATAAACAACTATCGATTTTAACACAGAAGAAATTACGCATTGATAGTAAGCTCATGTTTTATTTTTATGAATCAGTTATCAAAATGTTTTAAATCCCATTTACTACAATTTTCACACACGCTGATAAACTTACTTGAAAGTGAAAATATTTCATCTGAGCCCCCCCTTAAGATCATTTGCTGTGTTTCGATCTGAACCATGCGAAATTCAAACTTATTGTCATTTTGCCAACAATTATTATAATCCAATAATACTGAGAAAATTAACTACATGGATACATGTTAAGCTGCTGAATTCATGAGAAGTAATTATCGACTAGAGTTATTAGAGATTTTTACTTTTTTTTGTTTGAAAATTTGCCGTTCGCTACGATTAACTGAACAGTTCAATAAAACCCGAACACAAACTCTTAACCTCATCTTTGGTTGATTACCTGCCTTAGTTAGAAAACGCACTGTTCATTTTATAGACCATTAAAGATAATTTGTTTCTTTGAATTAATAAAACTAATTCAGATTAGTTCTGTTAGGTTATTATAATTTATAGATTACTATTATTGTTACTGTTTATAGATGAAATAGCTATTCAGGGACGTGAGAAAAATGATTTGAAAAAAGAATTAGGACATTTACAGAATGATATCACTAGGATAAACTCAATGATAGCTAAAGAGAAGACGACTGAAGAATATTTGAACAATGAAAATAAACTAACTGAAATTGATTTTATACGCTCATTGAAAGAAAAAGAAATTGAAGCAGCTAATTTACAAGAAAAAGTGCATCAAGCTTTAATGGATAAAGAAGACTTATTAAATGAATTAGTCGAAGTTGAGTAAGTTCATTGAAACATACTTGCTTATTTATAAAACTTATCCAATATAGTTAATAGTGTGCTGGTTATACACACACTTTCACTCATTAGCATTGTAATGTCATTGATATAGACATTGATAGTGTTTCATTTAAAAATGATTTTTATCGTATTCAAGCAAAATTTTATTGCGAATTGATAAAAGCACATCATGGAACATAGCGGCAACAGAGCAGGAAAGCACAGTTTTTTTTTTTACGAAACCTTAATGGAATGAAATTACACATTTTTCACTAACATGAAACACTTCAGTCAAGTTAAGGTTGTTTTAATAAAAGTAAATCACAACCTACTCTACGCATCTATGGTATTTGAAGTTGAATAAAACTGGATCACTCTTGTAATCTCAATTAATCGAGTTTGGATGAAGAGGAGATATTGTAATAATTACTGGAATCAGTAGAGTCCCGATTTTGAGGTTTAGGTTTTTATATTATGGCTTGTAAAAGAACAGGATCAATCATTTATAGTCCTTCGATTTTGAAGCCTTGTATTACAAATATGCAGGTGAATTGGTTTTTCATGAGAATTCTTCAAATTTAGATTGTAACATTTTTTGTGTAAAATGTAACACTTTATTTTGTGGTCTAAAATTCTTTTCATCAATTTAGACGAACAATTATGCTGTGGGAAAAGAAAGTACAACTGTGCGAAGAAACTAAAAAATCTGTTGATTGTGAAGTAGGTCAAGGTGAAATAAGTGTTATGCGTCATGAAATTCATCGAATGGAAATTCGTAAATCCTCATTACTTCAACAACAAGAAAGACTAATTCAGGCATTAGAACGTTCTGTAGCAAAGTAATCGGATGTTTTTTTAACATAATGCTTTTGTCGATTTTTTTTTTAGAAATAAAAAAAGTATTTATTTGTGTAAAATGAAACAATTTAATTGGACATAATTACATCAGTTCAATGTTTCAGGTTCAGTCAGACAAAAAGCCATACCTTCTTCCGTAGCGATTTTGTCATTTAATCAACTTACAATGACATACGTAATTCATTCATTAAGTAGCTAGGACTTTTTCTGTTTGACAGTTGTTTACTTGCGTTTTTCGAATATCATACCTAACTCTGGCTTTTGATTTCATATTTTTCACTTACTGATAACGTTATCTTGTTTCTTAGCATTAGCATAAGTAGTTTCTTACGTATAATTTCAGTGAAAATCATAAAAAGATTTTGAATTCAAACTTCTCTGGTGGTTATTTCTGGAATTATTCTGCAACAATATCATCAATGAATTAATCGTTAAAACAAACAGTTCATAGCACATTTTCACAATATGAAATCAAGAACAAAAGCCTGTGCATATAAAAATGGATGTGAAGTAAATTAAAAAGAATTGACAGTCAAAAACCTCACTCATTTTGCTTAAAATAGCACAGCCAATGAAGGCATAATAGGTTGTCTTTCCTCATACTATACACAACTACTATCATTACGTTAACATTTTAAAAAATATATTCATCTGCTTGTCGATACATTCGTTTCTACTGATTTTATCCGGTATTCCAAATTTATATTTTTCTTTAGAATTTAGTGCTCAAACGTAGTTCCACGTTACTGTATTTCATCTGACTATTTTATGTTTGTTCTCTGAAACCGTATCAAGCCCAATTTAGTGTTCAGTATGCCCTCACCATTGCTTTCCAAGAAATTTTGATCAAAGCATTTAGCACTTAACCTCTGAAATTAGCATAACAAGTCCATATTATTCGACTATAGATTAAGTTCACTAATGTTTATTAGTCGAAACATGAAGTTAGGAAAAATGTCTACTTTGGATTGTTTTTTGAATATTTTGTTATTCACATACTATGTGAGACTTATTGAGACGTGTTTATTGCGATTGAATAAACGTCTACTTAAACAAGATGCGATTTCATGATCAATTTCGCCTAAATGTTTTAGAAGATAGTTGTTACGTAATTAAAATATCTAATATCTAATAAGTAAATAACGTGCCTTTATATTATGTAGTTGGAGGTAGTCGAAAGGAAACCTTTGATCTAGATGCCGTGCTGTTTGGTACTCGTCAACAAGATGTGGCTATACTGTTGAGGAAATAGATACTCTGCTACTAATTCTATCCTTTGTCACTCAGCTTCGCGAGTTGAGCTATTCTTACTGAGAATAACTAACTGTCTGTACGACTGAGATATTTAAGAGTGATTAACTATTGATTATTCACCTGTGTTGTGTTAATTTACTACTTTTCGTGCTGATTGCTAGAATATGATTACCATTAAAAGGATTAGACATATATGCTACAGAGTGTTAATTCAATAAATAAAATCTTGTTTATCCTGTTATATAATTAACAGTTATATTGATACGAGTATATGTGTAGCTTACCATGCCAACTTTACGCACTTTTATTTTCCGACTTTATAAAAAAAATTAAAGGCGTGATGCGATTGTTAATCAGTCCGATTTTCTTCAATCGAGAAAGGATAAATCACAAATACGAATCACTGCACAACGTCAAATTGAGGAACTTAAAAAGAAACTAAAAGCTATCAAACAGGTAGGTTATTTTATGCCTCTGAAACACTAGAGTTGGAAAGGATTTTGTTTTATTGTTCAGTTTTTATTGGTTTGGCATTAAGCTTGAAAAAGAACAACTGTGATTAACAATACTTCAAGTCTTAACAGATGTAAACTAAGTAAGTAGATTCACGGCCTCATGTTTACTTTAGTTCATGATTATAATGTGTTACACTTTGAAAGGAAAAGTCATGGAATCTATTCTACGAATCAAGAGAAGCCCCATATTTCAAAATCGAGTTCATCCCACCTTAAACAACGAATGTAAAATATAGTTGGGTGTTTTGCAGGAAAATGTTAAGTGTTTCCCCGAAATTCAATTCGATTGATCCACGTATATGAATTGTCTATGACCTTCATAACATACTGCAAATTAAAAGACACAAAACTTTAAGCGACCAGTAAAGGAGAGGCAAGTTAATGACTTCCTGTCTGAAAAGCTCAAAAGCTGTAAACTGCACACATGAATCTATCACTTGAATTGCATTCTCAGCGTAGTAATAGGGTGCTTTTAGCTTGTGCTGTTTGTGGATTGATTCGCATCAGAGAACATAAAAGCTAAATAGATAGAAACACATAAAATGTCGAGATTGTGTTCTTTAGTATACTATAATAATTATACAAGTTATTGATTATTAACCGTCCGTGTGAATTTTAAGTCATTTTATTTAATTTCCCTAAGGATATCAAAACACATGAACTTTGACTGATTACTTTCTTCATTATGTATAATAATGAACAAAATTTAGAATTCCGCATCCTGTACAAAAGCGCTTGAGGAGTTTGAGGCAAAAACCAATATATTAGAAGGTGAATTATGTATGAAGAAAGCTGATGCTGAGGCTGAACAAAAGAAAGCTGAAGAATTGATGAAAAAATTGCAGTCACTGTCTGACCACAAACAGATTGTAAGTTGTTGACGCTCAAAGTTTCATTTATGTCATTTAATGTAATTAGAGTAATAAAAATTCAGTTTCTTTTTTCGCCATTATAGTTGTTAAAATCATGATAAAGGCTCCATTTAAACGAAGTAAACATCTTAGCCATTTTTCATTGAACGGCGAGACGATACCAACCGATGGTTAGAGACCGTGAATGACATGACTCAAAATCGTTTGCAATGGTGCAGGTGCATTCATTATTTGCGTTCTCTCAAATCCTAATCTTCCGGATTTGTCAACACCTCTACCTTTGTCTTTTTAAACTTGTCTCACTGAATTATACTTCTTGAATAATATCTTGGAACCGTAATCCTCTCTATTATCAGTAGTACTCCTACTACCTCTACCACTATGGGATTTGAATCGACAATTGTGTCTCTGTGCTAATGCTGTATGACAACATGAACTGATGTACTTACGTACGAAGTTCTACGTTGCATCTGACTGACTGACTGACCATTACTGCATTTCAGCTGAAAAAATTATATGATTGTTTTTTTTCTAAGAGTAATTGAAAGTTTTAATGTCCCAAAGAAACTGTTTACCGTCAAATGTAATTTCCTTAAAATAATCGGATTTTAGATCATGTTAGAATTTATTTGTTTTTTGCAATGTCTAGAAATTATTGTAATCTTGCAACGCATTTCGAAAACCTGTGCAGTGTAAATTGTTTTTAGTTGAGAGCATTATTTTCTTTCAATGTTTCTGCATTTAATGGCAACTTTACATGTTTCTTCATCTTATGACTAACACAACTGCATGCTTAAAATCAAACTACGTGTTAATCTTATCGTGTTTCTCAAAGTTTTCTTATCCTAATTATCGATCTAATTAACTTTCTATCTACTTGTACCTGCAACTTTGTATCATGAGATATTACTTGTGAGATTTATTATGTGATATTAAATATATATATATATATATATATATATATATATATATATATATATATATATATATATATATATATATATATATGCGTTATAAATAATGTCTGCATTTCTTACAGAGGCCTAAATGTCCCAATCCTCTTTCTGGTTGACTCGTTCCTGTACTATATTCTTACCGATATTTCTACTGCTTATTATGTGTGGTATTTGAATTTTAAGCAAATGCATAGGCCGCATTCATAATTCTGATTGTTTCGTCTTCTTTCTATTAAACTGTTAAGAAATTTTAAAATTACTACTACAGTTAGAATAATAAATATTTTCATGTTGTTAGACATGTAGGCTAATAGAAGAGTAAAATGTTCTCGTTCTTTATTCGTTGAGAATATTTTTCAGATTGCATGAGTTTGATTGCTACTTAAATTACACTTTGAAAAACTATTCAACAAAACATCTATCTTCGGTTTTTTCATAGCGTTTTAATAAAAATGCCTTAAATGTCTTTGTGTTACCTTGCTATAGAACCAAAGTGATCAAAAATCAAGGAGTGGGAACGAAAGTGTCAGGCATGTTGGTCGCTTCCTTCTTACAATGGAAATTTTACCTAACATTTAAATCAATTAGTTTTTGCCTCGGTTTACTTCGTTCTAGTGAATTTGTTAACACAACACTTTGTTAAGGCTTTACTGACAATACTAGGCGGTTTAGTGGGTTAGAAATAGAAAAATAGATAATGATTCGTATGAATTATTTTTTATATTGTCATCGTACAAATCCACTTCACCAACTGTTCAGTGAATTCGGTAATGAAGATCATGTAAAAGATGATTAGCTTTCTATGAGAATATTTTGGAGCTTGAAAAATAGCTTTAAAGAAAACTTTAATGCGAATATATTTACATCCGAATGAATGGAGTAAAATTCCCTAATATTAAGTCAAGAAAACCGATACGTCTTGTAATTTAATAAGCATCGTAATACCGCCGTACTTTTACAGGTTTGATTATTGCTGTAGTGAAATACTTTTGATTTATTGTTCGCCTATTTACTACCGTCAGGGAAGTTTCAGTAATACACGAAAACAGTACAGTGTCTGGACCAATAAATGGAACTAATTTACAAGCTATCGTCATGATGATTTCCATTGGCGACTGCACATCTAATAGTTGGGAGCTAACTTGATAAATGAAGGAGATTTATCATTTGTGAGGTACTTCAATCTATTTTTAATAAATCAAATCATCCATTTAAACAGTAGGATAATATGTTTAGTTTAACTCTTTTCTTAGTCTGATATACCTGTGATAAACACTTGAATGTTATATAATTTTGTGAACGAATTCAGGATCTTTTTGAGCTTCAAATGCGCCAGCATGCTACAATTTACTGGGAACAAATAAAACAAGATAAATATCGTCGGCTTTGTCCTTCTGCCACTTCTGCTGACAATGAAAAAAACAGACAAGTTAATCGTTCTCGAGGTTTGATGGCAATTATAGATCAGTTGGTAATAGAATTTCCTCAAGTACGTAATAGTAATATTTTCCTCATATATGATATTAAACTATCTTTTACATCAGACAAATAAATTTCAATCTGATCAATAACAGAAATGAAGGATTTACGTCCATAAATATTTAAATGACCTAAAATTTGTTTACTATGATTTTAGCAGAGTAATCGATTGAAAGGGAATACGGCGCTTGATAAAAATAATGTTCGCTATGAACATTTTTATGAGGATTTCTTTCCCAATAGGTAGCTCTATTACTCGAGCAACTTTATCTGAAATACATTAAACAGTAATTTATTCAAAGTAGTCGAGCTAATTGACATTTAGTAAAATAACGATCACTGAAATCGTTCGCAGGAATCAGATTCCCATGATTATTCTTTGCAAATGATAGTGTAAATTTAATTCTTGTTAGCTAGTGCAAAATCGAAATCGATTTAATGCAGTCTAGTATATGCTATCAGTAAGTGTCTCTACTCATATTGCTCTCAATTGATACTAGAGATCACACAGTCAGACATACTTCGTCAGAGCATTAACCAAATATTCTAGTGTTGTTATGAATTATAATGTGACCTAGCTGAGATTCAACAGTTACCAGATTTTCAAGAATATAATATTAAAAATCAGATGCAAGTGTGGTCTCCTTATGAAAAATCATTATTGAAGTATTTATTCATTGATTTAGTAATTTGTTTAGATAGTCTGTCATGGATTGAAATCTTATAAAGAACCCCTAAAAATGAAGATCATCAAAAGGATACTGTGTTCTTAATAGTTTAAGTTTTTGGGATGCGTACTATGTTAATTTATTAGACACAGTAAATGTATTCAAAAAAAACTGGCGATTTTCATTTTGGCTTGATATTGGAAACTATACCCCCGTGATTTGTGAAGCGATTTAAACGTAACTCAGGACAATAATATAAAAGGAAAAATAACTTTGTAATAACTCGCCTTTTCAATAATATTTTCACTAATCATATTTCTGTTTTTTTTTTAGATTCAACAGAATTTAGAACCAGTACGTTGTTTGCTAGAAAATAAACTAAAATCTGAAAACAATAAACCTAAAATGGATGTTACTGAAGCTGACACTAAGGAAACTCTGCTAAGTTAACACTATCGAAGATGAAATTATCTATTCGTTTAATAATTTTAAAAATGTAACTGTAAAATACATGACATCTTAGTCGAACTTTTAATTCTATTTAGTCACTAAAGAAATAATTTATTTAATTGCGAATAAATGTTTACTTATTAACTCAATAGACAGGACCAATCACTGTTCAAAGAAATTAATGTCACCTCTGAGCTAAGTTACATGATGTCCTGGTAGTAGTTATACGATAGAGCCAAGTAATTCTGCGAATAGTCGTGATTGATTATGAAGGATGGTTCCATGTGAGATATGATAACAAGTAACTTGTAGGATAACTATGAAACTAAGTAAAAGTTGCTAATTATAATTTGCATGCCACTAGTTAAAGTCGATTATAATTTAGGCAGTTCACGCATCTGCACTATTCAGAAAGAACTTCAATAGCACCTGTTTACGAGTTAATTTATCAGACTTCATGATATGCTTGCAACTATCACGCGGTGGGTTATTCTAATCCAATCGTCACAGGCCTCACAAACTAGAGAAAGAAGTCGTGATAAGAACTAGACAGATGTTTTCCACAGGCAATCAGAAAGTACGAGGTCACCAAGCGCACAATTCAAGCTTATTTATCCAGTAATAAAACGCCCTTGGTGAGCGCCACTAAATAGCGTATTAAAATAGTCTATCAACCAATCACAGCCAGGGATTCCCGAGTGGAAAACTTATGCTGAAGGTCAAAATGTGCGTCATTGACGTGAAAACAAAATTCAGAATTGTGAAATAAATTTACAAAATTAGGACCTTTTCTAAGTGAATTCTAGGGATCTAACGTCCTCAACACTTCTGTTACTACAGTGATTACTGTAAACATAAACTTTTGGGGGCAACGGTGACCTTTGCTTGATTATGTTTCATAAGGTTATTCATTTCCAGTACCTAGGATATTAGGAACTATCTAGCGTCAAAACCTATGTTATTTCTTTTTATCGAATCCGAATGCGTGTTATTGAGCTTAAAGAAAAATAACATCAAAGTGATCACTCTTATCAATTATCGTTAAAAATATTTTCTTAATGATACTTGAAATTCAATTCTCTCTAGCAAACAAAGGATTTTATTATAGCATCTTTAGAGCATTACGATTGAATAGTTCCGTTGACTTTAGGAAGTATCATTTGTGACGAATATACACTGTTATCAGCAATCATTGGGAGACTGCATGTCAAACTAAGATCAGAACACTTAAGGATGAATCGAAGCTTTCTGTTTCGTTCGCTAGGTGAGTAGTATTTACTAGCTTCTTGCGTATAAATTTTGAAAATTTAACAAAAAGAAATCATCTAGTGTCAGTTATCATGCCTGTAAAATGTACCTGATGTCATCCGAAAGGCTTGCAGCCACGGTGCATGTGAACCGCATAACACAGAAAGCATGTACGAAAAGTGCCAGAAAGGTACTGATTAAAAGTATAACATATCCTCACTGTAATATATTTGAGGTGATAGAGCGGATGGCACAATCAGTATATTTGTTGAGACAGGTGAACTAAGGACAAGTCTGAAAGGGAACTTCATGTGAGTAGAATAATCTAACTTCAGAGGGTGAAAAATTACAAGACGCAACGATATTTAAGACCTGTTTCCCTTCCTTTTTTGATATTATATTTGTCTTGTTGGATTGTGAGCACATTATATAGATGAAACTATAGTCACCCACTTATAATTGTTTATGAGTGTCCTTACTTAGATTGAGCCGAGCATAAACAGTTCAAACTGCTCTCCTTGTTAATATGTTTGCCATCTCAAGTCTTGAAATCACTAATGAAGTCAAATCATTCACTAACCACTAAATAATTTCTATAATAAAAAGTATATTACTCTCCATGAAACAATATAGGTGGTACTTAATCCTTTCAAACGTTTTATAAAAATAACTCAAAAACTATGTTTCTAGCAGGCCCATGTCTTTCTAAAGTGTCTGGTGATGTTTTGACTACTTTATCTAAGCACCGGCTGCTAGTGTTGAGAGTTATAAAATATTTGTGGGAGACCTCAGGTTTTGATATTCGTTTCCTGTTAATATAGTAATCCTGCCTGCACATCAGTCTTGTCTGTCTGCTTTGTATTATAATTGACAAATTGAAAAACTATTCACTTAGACTTTATGGTTATAATTGCCTTTTGTCTCGTTTTATATCAGCACCGGTGCAGCCAGAGGGTTATTTATCGTTCATATTCATAATTAATCAATAATTAGTCAGACGTCACGGAAGTTTTTACTGACGTAATCCAAAAAAGAAATTGGCAGTGTTAAATAAATCCCCAAAGTATTTAGTTTTGAACGTCTTTGATGATTTCACTGGAATGAATGCGTTCAGTCAAGCATTCTCAAAAGATTATAATTTGGTACACTGTGCTAAGAAAAAAGCTTTTTTCCCACTATAAATATTCGTAGCATCTTCACAACAAGTGTCGTGAGAGGTGAATTTGCAGTCATTTAATTACATCAAAAATCAAATAGTCTGAATCTACCGAAAGATGATTACTATTAAGCAAACCAGATATCAAGTGATAAAACTAAGCGAGGAGGTAAGTACAGCACGAAAACAGAGAATACAGTGCGAAGCTAAAATAATGCTGATATCTAAGAACTAAAGAAACGTATAGAATCAAAAGCATTCTATTCACCGCCGTTTTTTGTTACGCGCATCACAAACAGCCCCTGAACTTCAGTAGACACGATTTGCCAGTCTTGCACTGCCGATCGAGTCGCGATTGACTATGGTCACCACTACAGCAGTTACGAACCCGTCACTGAGAAGAAGTTAATCTATAGTGAAGAATATATTTGCTGGAGATTTCGTGGTATCGAAAGAACACAGAAAGAAGGGTGGAATTATAGAGGTGGTGTTGCGAAAATGGCAGCAACACAAACAGAACGTCTGCGCGCATGGGATGTAATAGACAAAAAGTACAGTTAAACAATCACTGGTAAAATTGGTGATAGTAATGAATGTTTCTATCAAACCAATCTCATTCTCCTAATAAAAGTGGATTAACTACAGCCACACCTCCCAAGAAAGGGTTTACACTTTCGATCCGTCACGGTTTAGTTCGGGGGACTGTTCAGCAATCGTGCGATCGTAGGGCGGAAGGGTTGACGAAAAGAAAGCAATCGATGATGCCCGAGTTGTCACCGAAACTCTTTTACGGAGAACGGTACCATCAGTAACGTGCCATGTTCGCTGCCTAGGTTGGCCTACTACAGCAGCGTGGCTCATCCAGAATATGAAGATTTCGTTTGTAGAGGTTCAGTCCAGGAAACGCTGCAGACGTATGACGAAACCACTTTGAGCGAAGGAACCAGAAACCACCATAACGACCACGTTCGAGACCGTACTTATGCCAGACGTAGTCGGAACCGAATCATCGTCTAAGCGCATTGACAAGGGAGTGGGTTATCAGGCCAGCTTTCACCAAGGTCGACTGAAGTCAACGGTACTAACAAGATAACAGTCGGAGGCGTGGGCTCGGGATGAAAAAATCAAAGAAAAAGAAAGAGGTGTAGCAGTCATGTAGTAAGTGGCAGAGTCCTACACCCTATGCGTTGATTACTGAGGTTAGTGGAGAGATGTACTCGGAGACCAGAAAGTGAGACCGTAGTCTCCTTCGTACCTCGTAATTGAGAGCTAGAGACTTCAATCTCATCCGAAGTCAGTGGCGGTTCGGTCTGATAGTCTAGTGTGAGACTGAAGCCTCATCGGTAGATGGTGCAGATGACGAAAGATGTTAACTGGGACTTGAGAATTAGGTCTCCGACAAACCTAGCGTGGGGTCCGAAGGGAGCATTGGAACCCCGCTAGTGAGTTGGACGGGCTTAGCAATGAATCTCGGTTTGTCGGGTAGGGCACTGTCATTGACGTGTTCTGGTGTGAGACAATAAATGCTGAATGTGACGATCGACATTGAAGGTCTTTTCGTGAGGAGAGGTTACGTGAAAAGATCCTTCTTAGGGTTGTTGCAAAGGTTTGCCTACCGAATCTACTATTATGAAAACATTTTGAGAGGCAAGTAACACTCAAGGAAGAGAGATCTATGGATACTATATTCGAGTTCACACCAGATGTAGTTTTCAGATGTACGCAGAGAGTCGTTGCACGTTATCTGATAGACATGATGATAAGTTCGTCACTTAGTATGCTTGAGGCTATTACGAGTTTACCTTAGTCGATAAACGCGAACGAGACTTTTACCAGCTTCCAGGGAGGCTACCTTGAATCCGAGGCTGAAGTGAAAAGGCTTGGTAAGCGCAGAAAGTATATTCTACAAACACCCAGCAATCACAGTACAATCAAGCATACAACTCTCGTTTATTCATACAACATAAGAACGTCCTTGAGACAGTTAAGAAAATAGCATACTAAAATACACAGCAGCCAATTACAGCCATGGATTTTCCTGGTGGGAATTGAAATCTCAAGGTCATCTGATCAGCCCATGCTGGCAAAACGTGAAAACCAAAATAAGGCATTATCAAGCGAATTTTGGGGATCTAACATCCCCAACACATGAAATCGCTGCTCCGTTGCGTGTAAACTTTCCCGGGCATATGCAATGTCGTGCCGTATACAAGTTCAGAGGCGGTACATAGAATATCTACCAATTCTGCTCCGTAATCGCCGCACTGTCTCCAACTATTGCCATCTTTTTGCGAACCGAACGGAGAGGGGAGGCCAAAAAACTGTGAGAGAGACACATAGCAAGTAATCTGTCATTTTCACGCTTAGCGAAAATTAAATTTGCCAGTGTCAGTCAGCGAGGTTTTGCCATGACTGGGGGTTCGCGGAGACGATATGGCTTACCACATAATTAATCACCGATAGAATCTCCTGCGTTCATTTACTTTGGGGAATTTATGAATCAAAACATGAAATAAATAATAATGCAAAAAAATACACCAGTGATTTGGTATACATCTGTTGGAGCATTAAAACCGTTGGATATCTTATTACAAGAAAAATGGATTAACTGCAGCCTACGTGAATCGAATGGCAATTTATCGAGTCTTCAGGAATCAGTACGGGGTACGGCTAATGGAACATCAACAGGGAGGAACGTCCATGGATACTGTCGTCGATCATCCAGGCTGATCGTTGGCTGTCGTGTACCGTAGGTAGGAACGACGGAGCCATCCGCCGAGCGTAGTCAAAGTGTAACAAGTGTAATCAACAGTCACTAATGGGCGGGTAAGTACTAATATCACAACACACAAGGTTAGCTAAGCAATTTACACCTAGAGAAAATACGGAGTGGTAGTCACGGCTCTCTTTACTTAAAAATTAAATAACGCGTGTTTTTTACAGAAAAAGGATCGCTTGTTTATCAAAGTCTTATGAGTCATCCTGTAGGTTCAGATTACGCAAGGCTTGTTCTTCAGCTTCCTAAGCCCTGCAGTAGAAAAAAAACAGCAGCATCATACATAATGGTTTTAACTCCGTTAGAAAAGCATCATAGCTTGACTTGCTGCTACCAGACGATATGACAGAAACTTGGCCACCAGGTACCTAGCGTTTATGCACTGTTCGCGCGCGTAAAATAATCGAGTAACCAGGGATGACTGGAAGGAGCCAGGAAATGCAATGAGGTGTACCTCAGAGTCTATCATAATATAGATACCCGATATGAACCTTACCACTATGATCCACAGAACACCTTCAAAGAACTGTACGCCAAAAAATCTAGGTACTCCCTTGCATTCTCTGTAGGCGCTAAGACAGCATTCTTAATGAAAAAGAGCGTGATTATACATGGACTTGACTACCAAATCCATCATCCACACGATACAGGTGTTGAATAACAGTAGTCTACGCAAAATACTTCGGATTCGTTGGCCAGACATCATCAGAAAGAAACTACTTTTAGGCAGAACCTTCTTTCAGCAGAAGAATAAATCAGGAAGAAGCGGTGGAAGTGGATAGGAGACACAATGAGGAAAGCACCCAACTGGGTCACATGACATGTTCTCACTTGAAATCCTCAAGGCCAAGGTAAAAGATGAAGACCGAAGAACATGTAGTGTGTCAGTTTACTGCGTGTTCTTAAGCTCGGTTTATAAATCAGAACATGAACTCGTAGTGATGAATACGTTTATTCGGGACACACCACAAAGCGAAGCGGAGAAGCAGTGAATAAAACGAAGGAAGCGAATGGATAGGCGAAGCGCGTTGGAGAAGGCAAAGAGCCAACTCTTTGGATTACAATGCGAGCAAACGGGCGAAAGAAGCGATGTGGAGAAGGCTAGTGAGCCAACTCAAAGAGAAAGAACATGATTAATAATATATAGTCAGACAAAAATAAGGCAGACATATGACAAAAGCGACGAATGACTGGCAAGGTCAAAAGCAAGCGATACAAATCATGTGAGTTCATGGGGAAACTAAGAGATTAACATTAAAGCGAAAAGGATGAGTAAGCGCGTAGGCGTAAACAATGCTCAGTCGTACAAGCTCATACAAACCAGATAATAAAAATACCAATGGTACATATTAGTTGTTGCTATACGAATAGCTTGGTTACATAAGTAAATCAAAAGGCTCAATCAAATTAAATATGAACGAACTCAAGTTTATGTGGAGGCACTACAAACAGATTACGCCGAGAAATAGGGAAAGAAAGGAGAGGAATGAGCGAAAAGTGGACAAAACTGGAAATAGGAGCCTACGACAAATTAGGTTGGATAATGGTGATCGGAAGCCTATGCTCCTTCGCGGTTAACAGGTTTATATAAGTAAATAAGTAAGTGATTACGTAAGTAAGTAAATAACCCAGCAAGCTAAACCCTGGTCTTTTAGCTGATATAAGGATTCACTTTCTTGAAAGCCGTTTTGTATGCAATAGAAGTATGTTATGCAGATTGAAATGTGACACTGAGTATTTGTTTTGTTTGAAAGAGTTCGTGCCTAGTAAAGAATGTAGTCCAGTGTGAGTGACAAATCAGAAATCAGAAGCTTTCTCACTAAGCGTGTACATAGTTGAAAACGGGTTATTGTTCTCGATTTGTTGCATTTTTCAGGAATCGTCAGGTTGCAGATAACTATTTTGTGTTCGATGTTGTGAAACGTCTGCAGACCACCATATATGTTTGTGCAATATCATGAAAAAATATCAAGTCGACAATGCTACAGTTTTTCGTAGACAGGTGCACATGTTGGTGCCGAACATGGATATCTCGGGAATTAATTATGGTCCGGAATGTATGAGCCAGTTGATTACAGAGAGGTGGAAGTCATGAAACTGCTTTGAACAAGAATATTTTCTGTTCTGTTCCTCGCCCCTTTCTCTTAATTTCTCTTTTTTCATAACCTTACTCTACTGCTTAAATATTAGCCTGGGTAATTGCCGAAGACTTGGTCACTTTTCGTAGTAGCCTGAGAATTTATTAACTGACGAATATCATCATGAAGATCTTTGCACGCTTACCTCATCAATTCTTGTTATGTGCAGACCTGGATTCACCTCGCATTGGTTTCAAGCCAGTAGTGATTTACCACAACGGAACAGTCGTGGCCCGTGTTATCTAAGTGTACATTGTAGAGTCTGAAGCATTATCTATAATTTTGTGTGAAACATTTTAGCCATCTATAAGTAGTAAATGTATCTTGCGAAATATTTAGTAAACTGAACATCCTTGGAAGATCTACATGGTTAAGTGGAGTGGGGTAGGTTAATTCAGTTTAAACATGTATAACTGAAAGGGATTGCTAGTGGCAAAGATTGATTGTCATCCATTACACCGTAGTATTTGTAGAATGACTTGAAAGAGGTAAAAATATCTCGCAGAACAGCTGGAGATAGCAAATGAACTGTATCAATGGGGTGAGCGTTGAGAAGGGTAAAGGACTTGTTTGGAACGAGAGATCCAAGATTTGTAAAAGTTGTTTCGACTAGAGTGGTGCTTAGAAACATAAGACATGTCCAAGCAGGCTAGTGTTGTTGGTTTTCTGTTCACTCCTCGGCGTTCTTGCCATTTTGTGCGAAATTATTTGATAGTATTCTCTAGGTTGGAGATAGGGAGGTACCCAAAGTTAGAGTTTAGGGAGGCATTTGAGGCGTGCCTGTCCTGACTCTTAGGAGCTCTAGGGTGTGCTTTCACAAGCCTAGTAACGTCTTGACTAGGGGAGGTTTTGGTCAGGGTTTGCTGTTGACCAGATCGGTTGAGTACTCTGGATATACGGTTATAAAGCGTAGCACGCTTCTAACGAGAGTTTATGTTCGGTAGAATCTCTGCGTCTTTTCTTCTATCGCTAGGACAGTGATGACTTATTTCACAGGTGCAACTCACTGCGCTTCCAACGGAAAAAGTCGGAAAAAGGTTGGTCTTTAGATTTCTGTCCAAAAGGTAGGAAATCTTGAATCGGTATGAGATTACTGGACGTTGTAGCAGTTCATAAATTCAAGCAAACTGACTAGACTTAGAAAATCGAGTGGCTGGACCCCCATTAATTGAATACTCCTCAAACACCTGGAAGCGTATCGAATCAAGTGCAAAGTAATTAATTGGTTTACACTACCTCGTGCAAAAGATATTGGATATTGGAAACATTGTAGGTTGATGCTAAATTTGAAATCTCCGGGACTATCTAATGGCCCTACTTCAAGATGAGAATTATCGGATGGAGTTGCTGGCAGATCTCCAGGCAGACTACACCAAGTTTTTCACAGTAGCAGAGAAAGAGCTAGAGGGCATATCAAAAACCAAGTCGGTTGATCAGTACGTCAGACTGCAGAAAATTGGACAAGGTACGTTTGGGGAGGTTTTTAAGGTTCGTCATAAATCGACGAAACAGCACTTTGCACTGAAACGGATTCGAATGGAACAAGAAAAAGAAGGAGTATGTTATAATTTCATCATACCCCTCTTAAAGTTTCCGATCACTGCTCTACGAGAAATACGTATTTTACAATCTCTTAATCACGAAAATATTGTTTGTCTAAAGGAAATATGCCACAGTCCACGTAAGCTTCTTTATTTTCCCCAAATAACTTTTAGCGAATGCTGGTAATGGATTCAAGGCACAATTTTACCTTGTTTTCGAGTTCTGTGACCATGACCTTGCTGGTTTGAGTCAGCGGATGGATTTCACTGAACCAATAAAAAAAGGAATCATGAAACAACTACTTACTGGTGTTTTCTACTTGCATTTGTACGTTTATTAGCACTCTACTCAATTTTCGTTTTGTTATTTCAATAGTGATATTTTATTTTTGAGTCTTCAACGGTCGACCCGACCGTAGCTGCTACCTTGACGTGGTGGTAGGGCTTGCCTATCGTGATGACCCAACCGAGCTATACTGTCTGGAACATACGTTCCTGAAGGTTCTACCATGTCAGTCAGGTCGATTGGAGAACAATGAAACGAAAACTCACTACCCAAGGTCTGAGGGCGAAGTCGTACCGCTGAATGTAGAGGGGTGTGACAGCAGTAAGGTATTTCCCTCAGACACCTAGCATCTGCAGCGAAGCCGCCTTCTCACAAGGAAGAATAGGTTAGAAAAGGTCAACCCTAAAAATGTCACACCTCATCCTACCTCACGGGTTTCCGTCTCCTTGGGTAAGGGTGCCCACTAAGGGCTTTTAAGAGCGGAGCTAATACTCAAAAAACCTCTACTAAAAAGGACTTGCGTGACCGCCCTCAAGCAGTTGTGTATCATGGGACGATCAAGTAGGCAATGCGATCGTTAGGAAACGAGTTCTAGGTAAGGATGGCAAATCAATAGATGTAGTGAAACTTCATCAGTTGAGATGGTTGGGACATGTGTTACGTATGCCTAACCACCGACTATCGTGACGAGCTATGTTTTGTGGTGTAGGAGTAGGTTGTAAGAAAGTTAGGGGCGGCCAGACCGAAACATGGCAGAAATCCATGAAGTCATTGACAAGTGGACTGAGTCATGCTGGCACATGTAGGCTACCTGGTTGGGGTCCGCGAGACGAAAGTCACCAATGGTTAGAGACCTTGAACGATATTTCTCAGAGTCGTTTGCAATGGCGCAAGTGCATCCACTCCTTGTGTGCTTTTTAATTCTAACCTGAATTCCTCATAATCTCTATCTTTCTCCCTCTAAATTTATCTCACTGAATTATACTTTTTGAATCATATCTTCGCTCCCTAATCTCCATTGCTGCTAATAATTCTACTATCGCTGTCACTCTTCGATTTGAACTGATAGTTACGTCTCTGTGCTGACGTGGTATGGCAACCTGGACTGATGTACTTATGTACGAATTCCTGTGTTGTGTCTGTCTTCAACGGTCGAAGTCTCGTTTAGGTTGACGTTGCTCGAGCAGTACGCCTCAGTCCTACCCTACGCCATTCAAAATCCCGAGTTCTCTCTAGTAATGCATACCATTGCACGAGCACCGTCCTGTGCTTAGTGATTAAATGATCTGATTACTAACGCGTAAGTAGCTGGGTAAGTATCCCGTGCTTGGACCAGGTTCGTGGATATTGAGGACCCATCCTGATTCCAAATTACTGATGCATATTGGCTTCAGGATCCTGACAGGACGAATGGCGTACAACCCTACTACCATAGTGAGATTTTAAGGGTGGTGTTCCGATGTCAGCAATAAGATTGACCGAGAACTTAACTAGAATCTGGGAACAGAACGTAATTCCATCTAACTGGTGACAATCACAGAGGAATAAGTTTAACTAAAATAGCTTTTAAAATGTTAGCCTCAACAATGCTTTGACGCCTAACTAGCGCTCATGAAGAGCGAACTCGAGAAAACCAGGCTGGTTTTCGACTTCGACGTGGCTGTATTGACCACATTTTCAGGTTACGACAGGTCCAGGAACACAGACACTCATTTAGGCGTCCGACAGTAGTTGTCTCTCTGTACCTTAAAGCGACATTTGGCTGTTGATCGTGAGGTGCTGTGGCAGTGTGCCATTAAAAGGAGTAGTAGAGAAGTACTTATACAGGATCTCTACTCAAACACGACTGCCTGTCCTTGATATGCTTTTAGAAATAAAATTATCGTCTGATTTTTCAGGAGTGGATCTGCTACCAGGACACTCGCTTGTTGACTTAGGATATGCCGATGTCAGTTCTCTTTGGTGAAGACGTGTAGTATGACAACCTTGACCTATGTACGTACGTATGAAGTTCTATGTTTTAGCTGACTGACTGGCTGATATTTTCTACTCTCACATTTTATATTAATAGGTGTTTATTGACATCGGTATAACATATCTTTTCAGAAACAATGTCCTCCATCGTGATTTAAAAGCTGCAAACATTTTGATCGATAAAAACGGTATTCTTAAAATAGCAGATTTCGGTTTGGCTCGGACTACTGTTGCCTCCGTTCGTCCTGATCGACCAACACGTTATACCGGACGAGTTGTCACTTTATGGTATCGACCTCCTGAAATTCTCCTCAATGATCGCCATTACGGGAAACCTGTTGATATGTGGGGTGCTGGTTGTATAATGGCTGAATTGTGGACGAAATATCCTATTATGCAGGTAACTATTAAATTATTTCAACAGTGATGTGCAATTTTTTGTCGACTTCCACGCAATATACACAAGACTATTCGAAATACTTATTAAATATTGTGCCAGTTTCCTTACTCGTAAAATAGTTGGCAATAGGTAGTTAACGTTTGCAAGTTATTCTTATGTACTGTGACTTTTGTTTCAAATGAAACGACACTAACAATCTATCACAGTTATTTTATAGTATGTACCGGACCCTAACTGCTGCCTTGAAGTGATAGTCAGGCTTTTCTATTATGATGAGCCACCTGAGTTATATTGGCTAGAACATATGTTCCTGAAGGTTCTACCATGCCAGGCAGGTCGATTTGCAAACAATGAGACTAAAAGCAGCTACTCAAGGTCTGAGGGCGAAGTCGTACCGCTGACTGTAGAGGGGTGTGACAGCAGTAAGTTGTTTCCTTCAGACAGCCAGCATCTGCAGCGATGCTGCCTTCCAACAAAGAAGGGAGTGGTTATAAAATGTCACACCTTACCTGATGAGTTTCCGTCTCCAGCGGTAAGAACTTTTAAAAAGGGCGCAGCTAAGACTTCCAAAATATCCCATTAAATGGTCGCGTGTGATTGGCTTTGAGTAGTTGTCCCTTGGGCTCTGCTGAAATAAACTTAAAAAGATAAAGTTAGTGCGGAATTCAGAAGCTTAAGATTTTAGAGATCACAAGGAATGAATGCAACTGTGCCATTGTGAACGGTTGTGAGCCGTGTCATTCAGGGTCTATAACCATCGATTACTATAATCTCCTAGGCTGAGTCTCAGAGGATAGTCACTAGTGCGCTGTCCGACTAAACGGGATACTAAGGACTCGGAAAGACAGGCACACCCGCCGTTCTCTCTCCGTCCTAACTGCAATTCCGACCAGGTAAAAGATGAGTTTTATAGAAACCTTTCGGACCTCCTCCAAACAGTCGGCACTGTGATGTAGTAATAGTGGCTGGTGACTTCAATGCTCAGGTAGGTAGACTAAGTGAAAAGGAATGACACCTGGGTGGATCTCACGGTGTCGCGACCCAAACAACAGGTAATAGCGACCGTCTGCTGCAGCTATGCTCAGATAACAGCTTAATTCCAGCAAACACTGAGCATAAGGAAAAACAGCGGTTGACCTGGGGACCCCCAAAGTCGTCACAACGGTGGACCCGACTAGACCGCATTGCTATCGGCCATCGATGGAGAGGCTCTATTGAAGACTGTCGCTCATTCTTGAGCACTTGCTCAGGTTCAGACCAATTTTTGGTGCGAGCTCGTATTTGTTTGCGTCTTACTGGACAAAGGAAAGATATCGCATGAAAACGTTTTACGGTTTTACTTAAAGCTAGTACGTCTAAGAATATATATTTCAGGAACAACTAGAAAAACAGTTAGGCGACCTTGTTACTTATGCCCACTTCGAGGCAGTTTGCAAAGATGTCCTAAAAGCTGTAGAAATTACCGATATCCGACGGTAAAGTGATAGTCCCAATCTTTGAGGAAGGACAAAAAATCTCATTGTGACAACAACAGGATATTCAATTCAGCTAATATAGTATGTAGAATATTATGTTCAATAATACTTACCTAACTAGAGCTCATGAACAGCATACTCGAAAAACCGGGCTGGTTTTGGACGTGGATATGATCTATACTTTTCCGTAGTTAGCCCAGCTCGGTTCCATTTATATTTGCAAAACAATCTGAAACTAATTTTCTGCTATCGATCCGTTTTGAACGATGAATTTGTTGGCTGCTGAAACTTACGGTAAGAATAACACAAGCAAAGTTATAGTCATAGTCCAGATGATTACTCCAAAATCAGCAGCACTCTTGTAAACAACCATACTGGTTGTAACTGACCGTAATGTGGTCAATGTGGGTCCGGGCTTAAGATGCAGATAAAGGACGCCAATTCACATGTCGCCGATTACAGAGCTTAAAGTTAGTGCTAACTAGAGAAAGTGCAGTTGCAGCAGACGGTCACCGTAATAAAATCCCCATAGCCTACTTGAACAACTCTGTGCCTAGACGTCCGATCTGAGCAATCAAGTCTCCGACTCGTACTGGAAGTAGGACTTGATTGCATCCGATTTAAAGTCTGTCACAGCGTAGGCAGAGATAGCGTAAAGATATCGTTTCTCATATGATGTAGCTTCTTATTGTACCAGCATATGGTCGACTATCGTTGGGGATCCAGTCGGATAGCTCTGCCTCATCTCTAGCACTTAGTGCGACAGCAAGAAAACATGAAGATGCCACTAAGTGCCCAGATGTAATCGCATATGAAACAAGCTTTTCGAAGTGACTGGAAGAACGATTCTGTGATACTTTACTGGAAACTTGAACACTGGTCTCGCACTAACGGACATCGATGTTCATACTTTCTAAAGCCAACCCTATCTGTTTTCTGATTTACATTAGTGTTCAAACGTTGAAAGAGGTCACTTTGCACGACATGCTTGGTTTCAAAAAGGCTTGCTCAAAGTTGATATTCATAGGTTGCATCCAACTTTCAAACAGTCAGTGACTTAAGTTTGTTTAGATAGAACAAGATTTCCACCACAGGCGACTTGGTGTGTGATTTGAAGAATAAGAAATACATGCCAGATTAGTTTTCCGGGTTATAGTTATGATTTATAGTTTGCATAAGGACTGGTATACATCCTGGGTGCACGAACCCGAAGCAAGTGGCTTTTTACGGAGCGATTGCTCGAGTCTGATTTAAAGGCTTAACCTGTAATGCAGTGCAGAAACTTCAAGAGATGCAGTGCTGTGGTGTTGTGACCGGTGACTGAAAATAGATTCGTACACCATGTGAGCTCATATGTTCCATTGCTGTGGAATATGGACTTCCAAATCCATTGGTTAGGTCGTTCGTACCCACTTACACTGCTAAAGCGCCCGACCTTTTGGTCCTCAATTTTGTAAACAACACGTCCGCCACGTAGAGGCCGTGGCTAGGAATTCCCTGACGATTATCTACACGTGGCCATGTGAGAGCATTTCGTTAGGTAAAGCAGAATCTGTCCACTGTCGGTCGTGCCAAGCTATTCAGAGTAGGTAAGGGATACTTGTAAATATTTTATCCCCACCTAAATTCCCCTCCAACTAAACTATCTAAAATACGACTACTGGATTGTTGTCCTTAGGTCATTAAAATTTTTGTGCGAAATAACTTAGCCCTTACATTATAGACACAGTATTGGCTGCTTTACCTTGATGCTAATTAAGATAAAAATAAAAAATAAAATAAAAAAAGTAGCACTACCATTCTAAGCAGTAATAACCGACGAATGATTCGAATATCAATTATTTTTGTCATTTTCATAATTTAAAATTGCTTACATTTTTTATATAAGACTTGTAAATACCAAAGTTACTTTACCATTTGAAAATGAGTCACTTTGAACTTCTTTGTTGTCACTGTGATTAACATTTAATTTACCGTGTTAACGTGGTATTACATTTTTCTAGGGAGAAAACGAAATTAGTCAGTTGAACCTTATCATTAATCTCTGCGGATCTATAACACCTGAAATATGGCCAGGCGTAGAACGTCTGGAAACGTTTAGAGAAGCCCGTTTACCTCAAGACATTAAACGGCATGTTCGAGAGAAATTGACCCCCAAAATCTCTTCGCTTGCTGCAGTAGATCTCATTGATCAATTACTTGTCTTGGATCCCAGCAAACGTCTTGATGCTGAGCAGGCACTTTCACACGACTATTTTTATGAGGATCCTCCTGCAGGTGACTTACGATCTTTTTCCAAGTCTGGTACATCTTATTTGGAATTCTTGTCATCAAATAGTGCTCGTGGTCGCATGTTGCAAGGAGCAAATCGACCAGGAGTTGTACGTGGCCCGATTGTTGGTCCTGGGCAACAATTGAATTATCTTAGTGGCCCTGGTATCATGCATCCTAATCGTCGTCCACCTTTACCAGATGATAATTCGTATTATGAACGTGTTTTCTAGTCTGACGCTATTGCTTCGTAAATTAACTCTCCCAAAACTTGTGTAAATATTCCCCTAATTTTGTTTTATATCTCTTTTGTCTTTTTATGTCTTGAAATCGAAATGCCATAAACGCTTCATATTTTATCTATTATTTTATGTGTTCATTCTGTTTTGCGCATTAAAAGATGCAACATATTACATGTAACAGCAATGCTTAAGGATTTAAACTCAGACAAGCTTAGTAAATGCTATGGAGATTCGGTATGCCTGTACGTTGTATTACAGTTCAGAAGAGTGCTTCCAAGTTTGCTGTTTTTCTTCCTAGTCATAAGAAGTGTAGTGAAGGAGAACACAGGTGAGGGCAACCGAATTGTATTTAAAGAAAATTACAGAGTTACACAGTAAAATAGGAAAACCAGATCGTAACCATTAATTTGGGGATAATTAAATATGTCGGTGGAAAATTTACACAGAACAGTTGCGAAAATCCCGACACAGTACTGTTAACGGTAGTCAAACTGTAAATAAAGTTACTGAAAAGTTTAAAAGCTAGATAGATGTACTGAAGTTATCGTAAAACTAATCAAATTTTTGGAGTAGTGATTTGTAACTCAGATGAATGTCTTTGGTGTGGTTTCGTCTTTTGAGCTGAATGATTTAATCGTGAAGCTCGAACTTGATTGCTTTTTGTTGACCGATTGGGGTTGATGAGACAAGCTGTCAGTCATGCAGAAAAAATTCAATATGTCACTCCTATTCAACATTGTGGTATTTATATGCCATATCGGTCGTGGATATTCACTCTCGGTTGAAACATGAAATAGATTTACGAGCAATTCTAAAATAACCGTGGTAGAAGCAATACTAACTGCTGCGTTTTTAACGGACTTCAAGCTTATACAACCAGCAAAATAAGGGACAAAATTGTATATGGATCGAACAATATGTATGTTGTCATTCGAGGCGAACCTATTTTACAATCAAGTGTGAAACAGAGAAGACAGATATGTGCAACGTAGAACTTGACATGTATGTGCATTGGTTTAAGGAGAGTGGGAGTTCGATGACGTTGTTCATCTCAAGGTGTGGGCGTGCATTTGTCTCAAACAGAGTTAAGAATAATTCTAATGTGTTAGCACCAAGTTGTCTTCGCGTCAAGTGAAGAATTGCATTCGCCTTGACTGCGTCTTATATAAAGTTCCAACTGGCGTGGAGGCTTCCGATGGTTAATTAACCGAGATAGCACTCTGAGGAGACATACTTCCGTTGAGGGTGTAAGTCGCGATCAGGTGTGTGTGAGGTACTGTGTCGAAGGATTTTTCAAAGCCTGGGAATATTGTATGCACCGGTATTTTTCGGTCCAAGCAGAATGTCCGACTGTGATGTGCTATGAGATGTTTGGATGCGCATGATCTACCTTTCCGAAACCCGTGTTGACCTTCGTGGAGTATTTTATTCTTATCCATGTATTCTTCCATCTGTACGTTAACCAGCACTTCGATTACCTTTGATGGAATCGGTAGTAATATAACAGGTCTATAACAGGTTTGGTCCTATTCTCCTTTGAAGATTGGAGAGAGGAAAGCTGGTTTCTATTGAACTGGGAGTTGGTGTGACATCTGTGAATGCCTGAACAGGTCACATCGAAGAATAGAGGGCTTCTGCACATTGTTTCAGGACTATGAGGCGAATACTGTCACAACCTGGTGACTTTCCTGGGCGTAGGAATTTTAGTTTCCTTAGTTCCATATCAGGAGTAACACGGATATATTCCCTAAGCTATCAGCTGGTACTGGGTTTGCGCAGTACTCTGAACACGTGGATGCCTGGGTTTAACTGATCGGTGAAGTTCGTGCTGATGATCTCAACCATCTCTAGGTTGGTGATGTCTTCCCCGTTAGGACCTTCGAGAGAAAACAAACCGTGATTCATAATTTTTCTTTCGGTCACGAACCTAATCAGATGTTTGACTGTATTTGGACAGCGTCTCCTATCACTTGCAACTTTAGTATTGCATCACTTTCTCAATGCCAGGTAAGAACTACCATCAAAATCCTTCGTGGAGACCTTCCACCTGTGCCAGGCTCTCCTCTTCACCTCTAGAAAGCGTTCGTCGCCGCGCGCAGCCCATGTTCTTCTATTTCCAAGTATAGTGTGACAGGCACATTGTTTAGGACAGCATTATTGATGATGTCTTTCAATGTTTATCAGTGGTCATCCAATATCTTTTTCACTAGCTAGGGTGAACCAATTTGATTTATTCGCGCTCAATTCTTGTTCTTTCGGTACGGTTCCAGATGTTCGGTAATGTCCAATGGATGCAGGTCTAGCCACTGGACTGTCCAATTCTAGTCAGTTGGCAGTTGGTTGTGAGTTTGTATGTCTCGGGATTTGAATGAAAACGTTTGTTTCAAGGCAGTACGGTTTCTGGATACTCGCAGCCGTCACATTACCAGACTGGAGATCAGTTAGTTGCAATGTGGAGAGTAATAAGGATAAAATTCTAATGATAATATGAATAAAATTTCAGAACTGAGTAGTATATAGATGAATTTAGTTTGTTAATTGGTAGTGAAGATTCTGAGAGAGGACCGAAGTGTAAGCAAGGGAGAGGAAACAGAGGATTGCCTCGAGGGAAGGGGTGGTGATGCATCGGTAAGATGCTCACATTGGGATGGTTTGGCGTGTTTAATATGGTGTACGCCATTATCAGATCACCTCTGATTCTCCTGTAGCTCAGTGGAACTAATCCGAAGAGCTGGAGTCTATGGTCGTAGGGTTTATTTTTCAAACCTATCACCCATTATGTTGCTCGTCCCTGCACTCGATCCAAGAGGTTTATGTCTCTTTTAAGCAGAAGGGGTGCGATGACGTTGTAAACTTCCAAAGGTGAGCGCGTACGTTTTAAACAGGGTTAAAAATAATTTAAGGGTGATAGAACCAAGCTGTCTTTGCATAAAGTGAAGAGTCGCATTTGCCTTGGCTGCATCCCCACATAGTTTGGACTGGTGTGGTTAATAAACCGAGATCGCGCTGTGAGGAGACATTAGGGAGCATGCTTTCATTGAGGGTATAGGTCGTTTGCGTCATATGAGGCAGGAAATGCATGACGTAGCACTTTGGTTGGTTGAGTTTTAAACCGTTTTTCACTACCCATTTCTCAATAGTTTTAGGGTCCTTTTGAATCTCAGTCGAATCCTCTTCGCTTCTAATGGACCTCCAGATCCTCGCATCGTCCGCGTAGATCGATGCCGGTGAGCTAACTAAGCCTAACAGGTCGTTAATAAATATCAGGAAGAGGAGTGGGCCTAGGATGGTCCCCTGTGAAACTCCCGATGTGGATAATCTCCAACTCGCGTGCACTATGTTTACCTTGGTGCGAAACTTTCTATTCTGAAGGTAGTTTCTGAGCCAGGATAAGAGTAGGTTAGTGAAAACCATTTCCACAACGTTTTCGATTAAGCGCGCGTGGGGTACTGTGTCAAAGGCCTTCGCAAAGTCGAGGAATATTACGTGTACCGGCATTTTACGGTCTAAACAGGATGTCCAACTGTCCCATTCCATGAGGAGATTAGATGCACACGACCTGCCTTTCCGAAACCCGTGTTGAGCTTCATGGAGTATTTTATTCTTTTCCATGTACTCCCTCATTTGTTCGTCCACTAGCCCCTCCATAACCTTTGATAATATTGGTAGTAGTGCGACTGGTCTGTAACAGGCTGGGTCCTTTCTATCTCTTCCTTTGAAGATTGGAGACACAGTAGCTTGTTTCCATTAAGCTGGGAATTGATATGACTCCAGTGAATGCCTGAACCGGTTGCATAACGGTGAACAGAGGACTTCAGCACATTGTTGCAAGACTGTAGGGCGGATTCTGTCACAACCTGGTGACTTACCTGGGAGTAAGTAATTTAGTTCCCTTAGTACTAGGTCAGGAGTGATACTAATGTTCCCTAAGTCGTCAGCTGGCAATGGGTTTGCGTAGTACTCTCAACATGTGGGTACCTGGTTTAACTGCTCAGTAAAGTTAGTGTTGAAGATCTCAGCCATCTCTAGGTTGTTGAGGTCTTCCCCGTTCAGTCCTTTTAGAGAAAACAGTTCTTGATCAGTAGGTTTTCTTTTCGACATGAACCTAAACAGATTTTTCGGGTTTGCGTCTATTTTGGCGGCTAGATTCATCTGAAATTGTCTCCTATTAATTCGAACTTTGGTATTGCATCTGTTTCTCAATGCCAAGTAAGAACTGTGATCGGAATCCTTCAAGGAGACCTACCAGTTGAGCCAGGCCCTCCTCTCCGCCTGTAGCAAGTGTTCAGTGCCGCGCCTAACCCAGGTTCTTCTGTTCCCGCGTTTCTGGTGTGACTGAGGTACATTGTCTACGACAGCATTCTGGATGATATCTCTCACTGTTTGCCAGTGATCATCTACTGTCACCCTCCACCACTCCTGTGGCCATGGGGCATGCAGTAGGACCTCTCTCATGCTTATGTAGTTTGCCCTATTGTAGCGCAGGTAAGACTCGTTATCGTCCCGTGTGAGTATTTCGTTTATGACCATGTTACGCAAGACTGTGCCATCGTCACTATTACCTACTAGTGCGCGGACGTGAACATCCTCAACCAGGAGCTGGTCATTAGTTGACAGATAATCCAGGTTTGAGGACTTCCCTTCCTTAGTCCACCCAGTGGCACTGCATACGTGCTCAGTTTGCTTTTCTGAGCCTTTGTAGCCGAAGGAGGTCGGTAGATCCCTCCAATCAAGTATTTCGTGCCATTCGAGTGGAAACAACACCAACACGATTCTGTCACCTCAGTTAGTTGGGAGTCGTATATTCGTTCTGCTTTTAAGTGGCTATATAAATATATCGCCACTCCACCTCCAATTAGGTGTTCCCAATCTCTTCGGAAGAGTGTCATGCCCGGCAAGCCCACTCCGTCGTCTGCAATGTCAGAGGATAGCCATGTTTCAGTTAGGATTAGGATCAGATCCATATGTGCTCTCAGATGGATCTGAGAGGTTGCACTTGGTGGTTTGTCTCAGCACCTGGTGGATATCTGCAGCAGCAGCGGTTGTAGGATTTTCAGACAAGTTATTCAAACCGAATCGGCCAGTTCTGTGGGAACTGGCCTCCGCAGGTTTTTTGCCTCCGCGGTTGGTTCGATCATGTCTTGTGCCAGGGGTAGTTGACAGAGGTTAACTATCGGTTTTGTGCGTTCATTTTGGCCTCCCTGCTGTTGTCTCACAGATCGAGGTTGGCTCTCGCGAAATCTGATGTGGCTAGACAGATCGTTCCTCGAACTGTACCAAGCTTGTAGTGTTTCAGTCAGGTCTTCCCGGTTCCTCAATGTCACGGCCATCAGCCTCCGACATTTCGTGGCCATGGAGCATGTAGAAGCTTCTATCTCATGCGAGTTAAATTCGACCTATTGTAGCACAGGTAGGGTTTGTTTTCGTCCGGCATAATTGTTTAGTCTATGAAAACGTCAAACAAGACTGTGCTATGGTCACTGCATTTTACTAGGGTACGAACATCGACAATCTGAACCAAGAGCTGATCATGTGTCAACAAATAATTTCGGTGTGTGGATTTCCCCTCCTTAGTCAACCTAGTGGCACTGCATTTATGCTCAGTAAGCGTAGCACTTCTGATGGCTGCGCCAAGTCGTCTTTGATACCAACCAGTGAGAGTTGCAAGCTGACAGCTGAGATTTAAAGATAGTGTGTTGAAATCTATTTCTAACAGAATGTGACCGAATCCAAGGAGTGGCAGTTGCAGTATTTCCTCAGTCGGTTTATCTTTCTGAGCATTAGTACCCAAGTGGTCCGGACAGTCCCTCTAATCAAGTATTTTGTGCCATTTGTGTGGAAACAACATCAATATGATTATATCACCTCAGTTATATGGGTATCGTAAGGCCGCACGGCTTTGAAATGGCTGATTATCAATACAGCCACTTTGCCTCTTGTTTGGTGTACTCTACCTCTTCAGAAAAGTGTCATGCCTTGAAAGCTCACCCCGTTGTCTGCAATATCAGAGGATAGACATGTTTCAGCTAAGATTATGATCAGATTAATCTGAGAGCACATATTTCCGATTTTCTACAGCTTACCCCTTAGTCCTCTTACGTTGCTAAAGGGGCACCTAGTGGTTTGTCTGATCACCTGGTCACATGTGCAGGAACAGCCGTTGTCGGATTTTCAAACAAGTTGTTGAAATCGAGTTGGCCAGTTCTGTGGAAACTGGACTGTAGAAGTCTTTTACCCGTGTAGTGCATTCTATCAGCGATACTATTATCTTCGTGTTTTGTGCCGGGGGTTGTTGATCCACGTCAACTGTCGATTTCGTGCGTTTATTATGGTCCCTGCCGTTATCTCACAGATCTGTTGGGCTTCCGCAACGCTCAGTGGTGCTAGAGTGGTCGTTCTTCAAGTTATACCAAACCTGAAGCGCCTCAGTTAGGTTTACCTGATTTTTGAATTTCACAGCCATCAAAAATGTTGACCTAGTGTTTATGAGGTGTGACCTACGAGAATATATATCATCACTTATATCATATTTAGTAACTCCTATCTCTATCTTTAAATTTACTCCATGTCCTAATTTCAAAATTTCACTCCTAAGTGTATCCCGAAAAATAAGATTTTGCTACTAAACTGTCTGTGAACATTACTATGTATAATTCTATTTCGTCTCTCTTTCTAGACCTAACGGCTATTCAGTGAACTATCAATCTATTCTTAGTTTAGTACACCCATTTACGAACATAGAATTCTCACATTCACATATGAATTTTGCTTTAGAAATCCAACAATGTTTTAATCATAATAAGTATGGACAAGTGACGAGAGCTCTTAGCAGTTACACGTTCTTACTTGTAGCTCTCTATAAACACTGATTTTGTGATTTTAAGAATGCAAATATAATTAAAGAGAAAATCAGAGTGTGACGACTAGTACTGCAGATATATACTTCAGTCTCAAAGGTGGTGAGTGATTACATTTTCGATATCCAGTGTGACGAATTTTTCCCAAATCGAACTCATGAAAGCTCGTGTAATACATATATTCACGAGGCCTAAAATGTGACACAAATATTATCGGTTGTCTGTCCGTTGGCGTCAACTGACTGAACGAAAAGCAAAGGAAAGTAAGCTTCGTACAAGTATGTCGTAAGTTCGCATTCCGCCGCGGGTTATATTTGAATGTAAAATCAATGTAGCACCTCAAGAACTTTGTCTGTTCATTGGGTAAAATAAAAAAGTGTTGAAGAATTATTGATGAATAAATTGTTCTAGTTTCATGCCCAAAAGCTTACAATATGTCGCAGTATGCCACAGTTTGTCTGAATAGGTCATGTATTATATTTAGTTATTCAGGTTTTAAATTTTCGTACAGTGAGTGGCATTTAAGTACATTTTGTGCGTATTAAAGGCAATATAAGGTACGTCGTGATGCTCCATTATGACTACTTTACGAGTGACTAAAATACCTTCAGTCAGATAAAATCATGAAATGAGAAAAACGGTGATTACGTGTGGTGATTTCCTATGTCAGCTACTTTGCGTTCTTCTCACTATATATGAAATATTTTAAAAGTCCGCTCCCTAATGTCTAATCAGAGCGCGATCTCGATTTAATAAAAAACCTCCAAACGATCCCAAAAAATTGGGGTCGCAGCCAAGGCAAATGCGACTCCTCACTTCATGCAAAGGCAACCTGGTGCTGTCAGCCCACAACTTTTATTAACCTTATTTAAGACATAAGCGCGCCTACGCCTTGAGGTTCACAACGTCACCGTACCCCCCTCTGCTTGAAAGAGACATAAGTCTCTTGGATCGAGACGGATAACGGAATGGGTGATAGAGTTGAGGAACAGACCTTACGAAGATAGACTCCAGCAATTACGATTATTTTCCCTGAGAATCAGAGGTGATCTGATTATGGCGTACAACATTTTAATCACGCAAAATCATCCCAATATGATCATCTTACCGATGCATCACCACCCCTTCCCTCGAGGCAGTCCTCATCAAAGAGCGAATACTCAGGTTCGTGTACAGTTTTTCTCATTAAAAGTCGTTGCAACTTGGAATGCTCTCCCAGATTATCACAGCCCCCTCAGCGGATAGCTTTCAAGAAGAGACTTGATATACACATACTCACATACGTTACCTTCCTGGGCAAGCTGTGCCTGATGCATGTCTTCATACTTGCTAGTTGTCCCTATTTCCATCTCCTCAGATTACTAACCCAATCTATCTTGCCTATTATATCTGTTTCCTTTCCTTTGCTTACACTTTCGCCCTCTCTCACAATCTTCACTGACAATTTATAAACTAAATGAACTATTTGTATACTTAGTTCTAGAATCTTCTTCTTATCATTGGAATTTGCTCCTTATTATTCTCCACACTGAAACTAACTGATCTCCGGTCTAGTAACACGATAAACGCCGGCATCCAGAAATCCTACTGCCCTGAAACAGACGTGCTCATTCAAATCTCGGGACACAAACTCGCAAACAACTGCCAACTGACTAAAATTAGCGCAGTCGAATGACTTGACCCCCGTTCATTGGACACTAAGAAATACCTATAACCGTACCGATATAATAATAATAGAGCGCAAAGAAATCAATTGGTCCATACTAGTCTGTCTGAAAGTTATTAGATATTGATCCCTCATAAGCATACATTAGTTGCGGTATTTTGAATTAGCCTTTTGTTTCTGCGAATGTGTAGGAGCACTCCTTGATTTTAACCACATAATTTTTGTGCACAAACTTAATCAATATTAAAATCAAAGAATAATTTTTCAATGATGAATCATCTACATAATGGTTCTCCTGCGTTAGATATAAAAAGAATTGAAGCTGCAAAAGCCAACCGTCAGTTACAGCTTGAAAACTGGAGGGATTATGAAAAACAAATGCAGATATCCGAAAAACATTCAAAGAAATTTCTTTCGCATAAGGGGAATCGTATATATGTTAAATTTACCGATAACTGTGTGCTGCTGGACGCTACGCTTCGTGGAGATTGTGAAGAGGGTGAGTTTTGTTGTTCCAAATCACTTGGATTTTGAAAATTGAAATCTTTTTCGTTTGAATAAGGGTTATCTCAGTACTTTTATTAAGATTTTGTGTACAGACGAAGAATGGTGTTTATATTATATTCTCTCGTTAGTTCTTGAATCCGAGAATCTTAGGAATATATATCTTTCATGGTATCACACTGCTTCCTTGCACCTGCATTTTCAAACTTTTCTTTCCAGTAAGCATTTCAGACCTGGGTTAATTTTGTTATTCGCTGTCACATCAAGCTCAATATTTCATGTGTATGCATTATACTAACTTTTTGTACTCATGGCTCATCCATTTAAAAATGGTAAATAAAATCGCTGTGAATCAGATGCTTTTACGTTAATTTTGTGATTCCGACGCGTTTTAAATGTAGTTTAAACGCTTTTGATTAGATTAACTTTAAGGTTCTTCACAATAAGAAATTTCATTTCCGACTCAAAATGGAAGTGTTTACATTCAAGTTCATTGTACGCTTTAGGTACAACATACTTTTTATTTACCATGAATCAAAAAGACCTGTGGTGGAGGAGCAGTCTTTACTGAGCCGCGTGGCACGTCAACACCGTGACGATTTAGTTCCATTCTGTTAAACCTACATAAATGTGGATGTAACTGTGAATGTTGACTGTTAAAAACTGTAAATAAAGTAACGCTTCTAAATTACAGAGCTTTATAAAACTGTATAGACATAGAAAAATCCGTGAAGAGAAAGCTTATATCATAAATGAATAATAATTATTTGCCTGAATGGGAAAATAGAGCTTTGCATTTGATGAAATCGATATATACAGTATCAATTGTTATGTAGTGATTATGATGCAAAATAAATCTAATAAATGTGCAGTTGTGATAATGCGTTATTCAATTAAGATTCATCATATTAGTAGGCCAAATAATTTTCTTGAATGTGCGTATTAGCAAGTATTTTGTCATATCATTTTGAACTTTTATCTGTATCTCAAACACTATTATTACACCTAGTATGATATTGACAAAAGGGAGGGCATTTTATGAAGTATATTAATAGATCGATTACATATAATCGCCCCTTAATGTACTCCTGCTTTATGAGGTGCGTTATAGCCACCTATCTAGAATGCATAAAGATATGAGTATGTATATAGAACATTAGGTCAGAAAGTAAGTGGATTTTATATGTTCTGAACATTTAAATCTTCGATATATCAAAATTAGTGTTAGTTTAGAAGCTGTTGTGTTTAATAAAAGCAAAACTTTTGGCTAGTGGTTATAAATAATGCATTTGTTACAGCTCTTGTTAGTCATAAAAAGGAAACATTTATGCAAACACAACACATACAATATCTTTTTTAATTAAAAAATTCAGACTAAACCTATTTGATCACTTAAACCAAGCATAATTGAGGATTGTTTTGCATATTATCTCCCACTGAGAAAATATCTAATTAAGATAAGGTCACTTGTTCATGAGGAGACGATTAGTGGTTTTTACCTTTAGGCAATTAAACTACTATTTTTTGTGCCCATTTTCGGCAGACCATCATTAAAGTTAGTTTACTATTTTATATTGGATGAACACTAAGTAGTTATTAATATCATATTTATTATATCCTTTATCTTCATCCATTTCTATGAAACGAGTTGAAGTCTAGGGTCATGCCTAAGTGGTTTGAAGCAACATACATCACTGATCATCGTCATTTTTCTGGAGAAAAATGGAAAGATCCTAGGTGATAAATAAATTGTAGCCCCATCTGATATCAGTTTCATTCTTTCTGTGACTGTAGTTGTGAAGCTGTGCTAGGCTTATCGGATTTTTGTAGCCATGAAACTCGTCATCACTGGAATAAACCCCAATACTACTCAATCATTATAAACACAAAAAAGGTTTTAAAAAGTTATCTGGGTATGAAGTAATCAGGAAAATGTAATAAAAATTATACTTTTTACGTATTTTATGCTCAGTAAGATAATTTCAGCTACGTTATTGAAATACGCTGGGATGTATTATGTAAACAAATATATTACAAAAATGATTTTTCACGCCAATCTAATATAAAACAAAATTCTGAACGAATGAGTGCTAAAAGTGATGAATAATTGCATTTTAAAATCAGCTTGATACTATATTTACCCATACAGTTTTGTTGTGACCAGATGAATGATCGCCAGTAAACAAAAAATTACGAGTTTGAAATACACATAAACAAAAGTATGTGGTATTTATTTGGACAAAATTCTCTAACGTTTCAGTAACATTGAGTGGTTCATTATTCAAGTGCTCCTTTCAAATACGAAGCTTAATGCCACAAGAAAATAACTCGTCATAGATCAGGATTTTTTCCCATTAACAATTTATTTATGAGAAAATTCTGACTGAAACCATTTTAGTGCATCTTAATGTCATAGTGTACTGTTTAATATTTATATGATTAACGTCAAATGAAAATATCCAGGACAAAATGTTTTTTCAAAATCCACTTTTCCCAAATATAGTGAAAACTGGGTAATCTATCGGACTGAAAGTAAATAATAACTATGACGCAAAATCAGGACAGTGTTCGGGGAACTGATATACGATGATAAAGTGGAAACGTACAGCTAAGAGTTCAGTAGAAGTGATTGATTTCTATTAGCTTAAGTTGGAAAAAAACTTAATATAGACTGATGTGTAATTTCGAATTATTTTAGCAAATTTATCTAACTTTCTCATTTTATTTACTGTTAAAGACTTATTAATTGCAGAAAAGATAATATAATCGGCCCATATGTTATTACATTCTTTATTTTTAATTCGATATTCTTACAGATGATTTACAAGTTAGTGAGCCTTTGGATTTAAACACTGTGTGACATGTTTTGATAAAACATTTCATAGTGTAGTGATGCAGTTATGTCAGTAATTACAGTCTATGGTGTCCATAGAGGGATACAAACTGTACAACAAAGCCTAAATATATCTGGACCACATTGATGAAAATACTCTCTTCCCTTTGATTTTTTCAACTAACGTATTTTATTTATTTTGTGATATGGTGTTATTAAAAATGCTTTCCTGTGTGGGTTTTCATTTCGTAGCAGACCAAGTTTATTTCAGTTTCGGCGACGTTTCGTTTTAAAACTAAACTATTGTGAATTCAAGTTAACATAAGTCATCTAAGATTTCGTTGGAAATCACAGACAGAAAAAACAAAATATTTTCGTTGACGGCTTTTCATTATCTGTCATAATGCCTATACTGGAAAACATACTACTTACTACGTTTTATAAACAGATTAAATACCAATCACTTACCAGAAAGTCTTACGAAAAGTTCCCTAATTCATATGACGCAGTAAAAGATAATGTTTATCAGTACATTTAGTTCATAAATCTCAGTTAAATAATTGGCGGTGATTTTTAGTTATCAACGTCATATGGTTTACTAATTCTTTGGTCTTTAAAATAGTTCATCTGTTGGATTTCATCAGAAACTCTTCAGATAAAGTATTTTGTAAGCTAATGCAGTTACAGTAAGATGAAAGTAAGGCACTTTTCTATATTTGCTGTTGGTGTAGGTTAAAACTAAATATTTTTTTAATGAGAAACAAGATTTTATGCTGCGGATTGATTAAAAGAATAATCTAAAAAATATTTTTTTTCTATGTTGCTCTTAATCGCGATTTCATTCACTTAGCAAGCACAATAAGGTTTTTGGATACGACTTTTGGTCGTAACGCTTTTATAAGGACAAGTGAGGTTTAAAAGCCGTTCAAACTAGCTAGAACAGAGTAAGTTCAAACATCCATCTATGTCCGTTTGTTAAACATTCATATTTCGTCCTAAGATCTTTTTTCTTATTATGAAAAGATAAATGTAGTGCCTTGTGAATACAGACTATTCGAAAGGTGCAATACACGATTCTTACTGGTCACATAAAAACAGTGTATCTCAAAGTTGGTCTATACCCGCACTATTTTGCGATAAGCTAAGTAGTTGAGTTTATTGATTAGTTCATTTATCAGACTGTTAAGCTAACTCTTTTCATCAAAATCTGACAGGAATTTGGAAGTTGATATGATATTTTTCTGTCTGAAAAGTGAGAAATCAATAATAATTTTTCCTAATATTAATCTGCCTACTAAAATCCAGAACGAAACGTTATAATTTAACAGGCGATAACTGATTCTTAATGACACTGTTAATGTCTGTATCTGTAAAAAATCTTCTTTAAAACCTAGTTTTGATAAATTTCAACCTTCTAACGTGTTGTTCTTAAGATAGTAAAATTTCCTTTAGTACCTTAAGCAAATGTTGACTCATTCTTTTTATTGTAATTCACTGCTGTAATACATAATGCCAATAAGTTTACTCAACTGAACTTCACTGCTTCCCCTCGACGTGAATATTCCATCTACGTTATGTTGACATTTTTCACTTGATCACTTTCGTTATACTTGCTTTTCTGGGAAGTATATTCTTCAGAGATAAGAAATAAGATGTTAATCGGAAATGCTTAAAGCAGTTCTCAATGATTTGTTTTATGTAGTGATGACATTTGTCTCTCAGGTTCATTCTGATAAATAAATCACTAATCAAATCTACACTATAAACATTATTTATTTGACTTTACAGTGTTGCATATTATTGTTAGACAAAGAGTTGTTTGTCAACTCTTTTTTAAAAATTGTTACACGAACTGGTTTGCGTTCGCTTGACAAGAGAAAGCACAGACCTACCGTTAAAAGTAAACTTGTTTTTTTTTAGATCTGTATAAAGCCGTTTATAGAGATTTTCTCAGTCAGAAGTATGTTGTTCATAAGAAATATATCAAGTATAATTTATCATCCTTATCATACCAGAGTTCTCAATTTTGTACATCGTCGGAGAATTTGTCAAAGTAAAATCAATGAATAGTATCATTAATAATCAATATGTAAAGCTGATAATATAATTTAACCTCATATAAGAAATGAAATCGTATAAACGGGATTGTGTTTTTAGATAGT